TATTTTTGTGTATGATATGCATTGTTGATTTAGAATTGAAAAGTTCTGAATTAAAGATATGAGTTACTTACTAGTAGGCAACTAGCACTGAAGCTTTTAAATGAAAAAAATCTTCATAATATGTTGTTGCTTATTTTAAATTTTTTTCAGTGCTACAATATAATTTGCATATATGCATGGATGTTACTGAATTTGTGAGACATGCTTAGTGATATATATTTGCATATTCATATATAGCTTGATTTTTTTGATTGCTATATGCTGTGGACTGGCTCTGTGTTTCAGCCGATTGAAAAGAAACAGAGAGAAGCTCGGAAAAAGTCACACATTAACATAGATAACCTGAAGGCCTTTACTGCCCGGAAACGTTGGAAGGTAACATCATCCTATCCTTCATATGTAATGCAAACAAAGTTAAATGTCTGGCATGAGAGAACAGTAATTGATTTTTGTTATCTCACATTCTGTGTGCATTTGTTTTTATCTCGTCATATTATGTTACAGTGATGAATTAAGTGCATGTTGAATGTTAAAGTTAATTTTCATACAACATTTTTCAAGTGTATGGGAAATTGTTTGCTATCAGTAATATTGAAAGCTGGTGCTGTATAGATAACTGTCCTTGTTGCCAGTTCATTTGGTGCCTATAGTGATCAGACAGTTTCCATTTGTGTGTGCCTGGTGGCTCCAAGTACCATTAATCCAGATGAAGTATGGGCTTTATGACAAATATCTATTTGCATTGTATTTCACTCTTTACTCCCTACACTTTTTTTAGTACTTAATTTTGTACATTATTTGCAGCTATGAAACTGAACAATTTTATTTTAAAAAAATATTATTGTAATCCTCTTATGTTATTCATTATTGAAATCTCCTGGAATTTCCTGGAATTGTAATTTTAAGTAGCAGGTGTAGATATTTATGTTTCTTCAACTAAATGTCACGTCATCACAGTCCTATAGCTCTTGGTTGAAAAGTGATAAGACATACCATCCCATGTTGGGGGGTACTTATGGTCAGGCTCAACAATAAGGTGAACCTGGGGAAATTGAAGAAAAAGCAGAGCCTGGTCTATCTAAATATTTATACTTATCTTAAGCGTCAACTAAATGTCACAGTTCCATAGTGGTTGAAAAGTGATTTAGATGAACCATCCCATGTTGGGGGGCACTCTCACTAATTCACAACAAGTCTGATTAACCACTAACTAGTTTTGACCTTGGAGGAATACATGTACAAAATGTTTACGGTTTACCATTTAGTATTCCAGTATAGTTATATACTGTTGAATGACCTTATAGTTTTTCAGTTTTAGTTTAGTTATTTCAATATCACTGTTTGGTTTCTTTTGATTCCTCCTTTCACTACAAGTGTGTTGTCATTGTTGCAACTGGTAATTTTTTATTTCAGCAATCATTGCGGGTAGTCTCTCTATGCAATCGCTTGTCACGAAGCATGCTACTCCGCAGGAGTGGGGATGTGGTCAACAGCACCAAGAGTATCCCCAGTGTGGGAGGGGTGAGTACACTGAGGCTTTCTGCACCAATATTTTGATGGAAGTAATACATACTTGCCTGTGCAACTGTTTTTTTTTTTTTTCTGAAATAACGTTTTCTTCTTTTAAACTAAGGGCAAGAAATGAAGCTTAAGCTGTAATTTCGTATCTTTTTAGGCTTTAAATGCTGCTTTCAGTTTTATTTTTGATCCATACTCTCCAATTTTTACTTTTAATATGACATTGAATTATCCTTGGTACATTCTGCTCATATGAAGCACCAAACCATCCCATTATAGAAGTATTGTTGTGGACTGACTGTAGTAGCTTAGGTGATTTTATGCCTAGATGTTGATCACACCATTAAGCTATTCCTCTCCTGGTTACCACAGTATGGTAGCTATTAAGCAAGTCTGCATAGGGGATGCAGCCTAGGCGCCCCTCTTTCCGTTTTCCACATATACATATACATATACATATACACAAGATATATCTGTATACATACATATGATAAATGATGTAATGTCTTGCTAATTTGGTAGTGATGATGTTCACATCACTTATAGTTGAGTTGTTTCAGAGGAGTGCTCACTTGTATGTTGTGCCAAATTCACCATAAGTAATAAAGATATAGTCAATAACTTTGTAGTTATAATATATATATGTGTAGTATAATAACTGGCATATGACAAGGTATAGTTGTCAGTGTTGATGTGGCATGAATCACCAGACATAAGATAGCTAGCACTGCAAGTGAGAGTTTGTAATATATGTTCATATGAGAACACTAGGTAATACTTCTACTTGGTATGTATTTATGTGTGTTGTATCACCAAATGGATCACTTATAGATGATTTATGTGAATAAACTGACAATTTCTGCATGGAAACCTAGCTTTGCATTTGTTTTCAATAGCATGCTCCATACTTTTCCTCCTATTTACATCTTGCATGGTAAAATTCTCAATACTTCAACTCTGTATTGCTATCCTATCACAATCACTCTTGGTTTTACTTAGATACTTTTCAACATTAACTTCACGAACCTCTGCTAAGATGACTAACCTTCCATATAGCATCAGCATTTCAAGCAGACCAAGATTATTTTGCAACTCTCATGACATTTCTTAAAAATCGTTGGTCATAATCATTTTATTTTCCGAGTGAAATTGATACACAATTATTTGATCCTTGACATTCTGCTTGAAATGCTATTTTAACCCGTATTAATCCCTCCTTCAGTTACAGTTAGATTGAGTTACTTTTGCTGTTCTTTCTTTCATTTATTTGCACTTTATGCCAGGCTGTGGCTTCCATGGGGAACATTACAGAAACACCTGTAGAAAGTGCAACTACCAGTGTAGATGCTGAAGAAAGCATGGAAGAGGCCAATGTACTTAACTCCAATGACGATGATCAGGGAGATGATGTTGAAGAAATTGTTGCTGATGATGATAATGATGATGATGATGATGGCAATATTACTGACATTACTAACAGCTCATAGTGTCTTGTACTAATTGTGACTTTAAACTTGGTTATGAATATGATTAACAATTTATATATATGGACTCATTTGACAACTAACAATAGAAAGAAAAAGTACATTGTATCAAAAAAAGATAATGTACCATATTCCAAAAAAAAGCTTTTACAAAATATGGAATTTTAAGCAGAAGATTATACACAGATTACTTTCAGAATTGGCCAATATTTGCCAGTGTTACATAAGCTCATTTCATTTAATGTAATTCTTCTGCAATTTGATTAAATTTTATGTGTTGCTTCTTCCAGTCATAATAGCATCAACTAACAGGTTATTAATGTCTTACAAGATGAAAAGTTAGATTTGAATATTAATATTAAGATTTACTGTGATATTAAGGACTTATATTGCCATTTTGCCCAGTGTTACTCAGGTTTAGATTGACAAATAACCATAATGTGAGACAGCATGGGGAATATATGAATGACATGAATTTGCACCAGCCATGATTCAGCCTTTTTTTTCTGTCGCAAATGCATTTTTCAGGCAGTTATATCAAAGTAATTGTCATTAACTGTATTGCATGACAGAAAGTGGTGAATTGTTTGTAGTGGTTTCATTGCTTCTGATTTTTTTCCTGTTGAAGTCCTTAAGCATGCTTATGACTGTGCAGCAATATGCAATAAACACGCTGAAATTGATTTTTAATTGTTATTTTGTGGTGCTTAAAATGACATAGCTGAACGGACAATTTAAGACTAAAAAATATTTCAAGAATGCAAAGTGGCTTCATCATTTTGAACCATTTTGTAACTCATGTCTACATCCATTAGTTTGTCTTCAATCATTTTTGTTGAAGACCCCCCCCCCTCTCTCTCTCTCTCTCTCTCACACACACACACACACACACACACACACACACACACACACACACACATTTTTCACAGGAACCAGACAATTTCAGAAAATTGAAATGGAAGAGGCTGGTATGTTTGTTTTTAATAGCTGAGAATATATTGCTTTTAGCATACAGAGCTGAGGTAGATTGTGTGCTATAGGAAATTGCCTTTACAGGGTTATTGTTTATGGCAAAGTTATTACCCAAATGGTATTATTACATTTACATAACTTTGACACTTTATGTAAAACAAATTTAACATTCAATATTTAGCAATACTATACATTACCTGTGTCTGTGTCATGCCAGAAATGTACTGTGTTACTAACTCATCATGAACAAAATCTTTACTTTTTGGTTGTTACATTCTTCCATTTTTTTTTTATATAGAAAGTTATGTGGGCCACTTTGAAACTTAATTTTAAGTGTATAATGTTAGGTCTTTTTTTATCTATTTATTGTCAATTTATTTTCATTATTTACTTTCTGTGGACCATTTGTTTGTGTCTTTGTAGAGTGCTTCATGTTTCACAAACCATATTAAGGAAATCTTTAAAGTATAAATCCAAACTTTCATCCTGTTTTGAAAATGATCACATTATCTAGCCCCTTTTCCTCTCTTCTCTGTTTTGCCTGGATGGTATAGTTAGAAACATAAATTGTACATAAAGAGAAAATGTAATTTCATCACAGATATAACACATAACTATGATGAGATGGCATTTATTTACTTTATTACCTAATTCTTGAGATAAAAGTTGTGGTTGTCATTGTATCAATCTTTTAGCGAAATAAAAATGACTTTGTTCTCATTATTTTTGTGTTAACTCGCCCATAAGAGAAAATGACTCTTCCAAGTTGATTTCTTCTTATGGTGAGATTCTCTTTTTAGTGAGGCAGATACATTGACCTGAGTATATTTCATTCACCAAATACCATGAAGGAAATTGTAGTTTTCAAATTTTCCAAAGTAAATAAAGACATTATGAAAAACTTCATTTTTTATTTTTAAGCACATTTTTGAAGTTACAAACAATTTATTTGATGAATACTATGTTGTTCGAAATTATTTAACTCATTTTTGACAATTAGTGAAAATAGCTGAAAGTAAGTCAACTATGTCCAGTTTTTGGTGTTAAAATTATTTAGGGGACAAATGATTTAGTTTTTTAAACAATGAAAGATAAGGTTTCATTTGTCTTATCAATTTGTTTTTCTCCATCCTGAAAAGATGCCCCATATAATGATCCAGCAAACTTGCAATGAAATGCTATCTTGTCTCATGTAATGACCTCAGCTCATTGTATATAATGGCATTCTAGAGGAATAAATTTTTCTCTTTTGACAAATTGCAGAATGAATCACTTGTCTTCTTGACAGCTGATTTGACATAACGAGACCAGTCTGTGTTACTTGGAAATAAATTTATACAACTGTTCAAACAGTAAGCTAAGCCAACCGGAAATTCATCAAAAATGGATGTAGTGGGTAATGTGGCAGAGGTCGTACAACAAAAATAAATGAGCTAATATGAGATGAAGGGTGAAGTATCTGGCAGTGCAGCTAACAAGTTAACACGATTCTATTGTATGTGCTCCAGTTAAACTACCTGACAAGCACAGGTTAGGTGTAGGATTTGAGGGCCTGGGTGGAAAGAGACATAAACCAATATACGGTGGATTAAATCATAAATTCAGCATCAGCAGGCCAGCGGGAAAGCAGTAACTTATTCATCCAGAAGTTTGGTTGCAAAGCTAATGAGCCACTAAACCACAGTAATGGTCTTTTAAAATAAATGAAAGGACTCGCGTGAGTGGTACCTATTTCAATCAGATCACTGGCAGGAAAAGGCATCCAGCATTTGTTGGTTAAAAAGTCACTTGCTGATAATGACTTTATGATACCTTTGGGTGCTTCAATTAAATGCATTTTGTGTGGGATAATGGCATGCACAATGTTAGGCAAGGTTGTACTGTATGCTGAATCTCAGTTTCAGCTGTCTGCAAATGCCCTTTAACACTGAAAAGCATTACAAGGCTCGATTCATCAGGGACTAGGCGAACAGTATGGAGATTGAGAAAGCTGAACTTGGAAAGCATACGGAAAACTTTGAGCTCCAGAATTTGTCTGAAGCCAAAGTGACCAATGTGAAACTTGATGGGACAGATATGCTGGCTGTGGATGACAATTTCTGCACGGCTGAAACAGGAGATCATATTTCATGTCAGACTTCGACAGAAGTGAAAGAAGCACCGGTGACATCTGTCTCAAAGATGGATACTTTTTGCCACCAAATTGTAGATGATGTAAAACTTGGTGTGATACAAACTGACAATTCTCAGCCACCAATTAAAACGGGGGATAACTCTGATGTAGTGCTGGGAAATGTATTGGACACTGTTCATCCTACAGAGGAACTGGAAGAGGTAGATCTGAACGAACCTGACAGTTTTCCTCTTAGAAGAGTAGACTGCGGTGTTGTAGCCATAGACAAGGAACAGGCAGAAGGTGGTGAGGACTTTGAGTTGAGGAGGAGTCATTCTGAGAGCACTTTGGTTGGATCCGAAGGCACCAGGACCCCGGTTCTGGAAGAGAGCTGTATATTTGGGGTAATATTTACCTGCTAACTTGGGTGTCAGATAGATACACAGTCATAAATAACATTTACAAACAAAGTATTTCATAGATGGAATCAGCCTGCATGAATTTTACATGATGCAGTGTGTAGTTAATATGTGGGCACATGTTATAAGCATTGAACTCAGCATGATATAAAAGTAAGCTATCAGGTAAAAAAAGGTGAAAATATTGTGTGCCAAGTGAAAGAAGATAAATTAAGCTTTTAGGGATGCTAAGCATGTTTGTATGTACCTTGCTGTCACAAAGTGCGTCATTTGATGGGTGTATCCAAAGTGCTACAGTGTTTTTCATATCCGGACATGTATCTTTGCTAATGAGCCTGTTTACAGGTTGAGTTGTAGTTGTCTACAGTGTTCAAGAAGGAAAAAAAATAGCTACATTATCTAGTATTTGGTTCTGTCATTGTTCTCAATGATTTTTGAAGAACCATAGTATAAAAGAAAAAAGTGAATTATCAAAGTTGAGTATCAGCTTACATTCCCAAAGTTTGTATGGTGTGTGATACAACTCATCACCATTCACAGTAACACATTATACCTAGCAAGTTGGCAGTGTTACAGACCAGACAGTTAGTCTACCAGCATCAGGTACATCCAGTAATAAATGCCCAGTTTTATGTGTTTGGCAGAGCTGAACTGTAGCTACATATATACAAGTGGCATTTTTATTGCATTTATGGAATGAATACATTTTTTTGTAGTCAGATTAATGAATTGCAGAACTTTTCATCTCTGAGTGAAACCAACAATGTGCTTATGGTATTTGAATTTGTAGGTGAAAGAATAAAGTGGTGTGAAGGCAGTTTAAGCACAGAAATATCTTACTGGCATATGTTATCCAAGTAATCTTTAAGAATGGCATTTTCTGTAATTTTTTTTGTGTTTTGTTTAATTAATCTTGAAAGCTTACATGATTGAAAACTTAAAAGAAAATTTTTTAACTACGTATTGTACTTCATTTTTAGAAACTTATTGCCATCAGTTGATGTTTGCCAGTTAAAGATGGCTCATTGTGCACAAAAAGATTACCATTTTGAACAGTTGTTTGATAAATTATAAAAATTTAGGTGATGTAACCTCAAATATTAATGCCCAGATGGAACCTGACATTGAAGATATTGTAATCAATTATGAGCCTTAGTTTAATGCAATGTGCAAATTTAGCAATATTTCAGAGATCCTAGTTATGGTTGATAAAAACCATAAATTTCTCATATTTACACAAGAACAGGTTTTTTTCTGCTTTTGCTCAGAGAACTGTATATTACAACCCCATTATGTTTTGTTAATGGTGGATATCTTTAAAAAAGTATTATATTCAGACTGTAATCTGAGCTACATATATTGTTACACATGGGAAAGATAGCATGACGAAAGTATCATTTCATCTTTTGTAGGAAGAAGAAGACAATTTTGTCCTGACAGCTTTGTTTTGTGCCACTGAAGATGGGAATTTTGCTGGAATAAAAAGGTTGCTTTCTATGACTTCACTAGACATCAACATATCAAATAGGGTAAGACATTTGCAGACTTACAGTGTCAGCATCTCAATGTGACTGTAACTTTTCATATATAGTCACAGTAACACTCCCCTGCATCTGGGCCCTATGTCTGCCCATGTCACAGCAAAACTTAAAAACTGTTTTTTTCAGTATTTTTTCCCTTTTGAAGAGGGATGAGATTTTTCCGACTATTGGTGGATTTTCTATTTTTTGGGGATCTGGAAATATTGGTCTAGGTGGCCCCCTGGACCTCACGCCATTTTTTCCGACCTTTTCAATGAATGGCAGTCTCATCCATGTTTGAATCTTTCTGTCCATACATATAAATTAACTCCAAAAAATGGTTGGAAGTTTTCTTCCACTTCCTAGTGCATACCCTACAGATAGTGCTAAAATTAACTCAGGAGGTACCTACAACTCTCCAAATTTGAAGTTCTGTATGTTTTCTTCATTATGTTCTAGCATGGGGAGACAGCGTTACACAGGGCTGCCAGCGGAGGACATGTGGAGGTAGTGAAACTGTTACAGAGCAATGGAATGAACCTCAATGTCACAGACCAGGTAAACTACTGACTCAGAGAAATAGAAATTGGTAGAAAATTTTCTTCCTGATAACTCAAGACAAAAAAAGAAAAAATGTTTACACAAAGATGTTTTTAAATTAAAAGAACGGTTTGTATTACTTTTGAAAAAGAGCAATGACCAAATGACCTCCTCAGTTTGTAATATGTCTATTGGAATTGTAGCAATATACCTTGCAGTTAATGTTTCATCCTTGCACATTTTTATATCAGCTGTGATATGCTGTGTTCCTTGCATAAAGTTGTATTATGCTGAACGAATACTTCAGATAATTTGGTTATCAATGTATGATATTGATGTTAAAAAACTACTTTCGAATGTTGAAAGGATTTTACATTTTATCCTTTGAAGAAAAAGGTATTCAAAGTTGGCAAAGAACTCTAGCTTGCAGGACTTGTTTTCTTATATTTTCAAACCAATTATATTATATCTATGAGATGCAAGCTGAAGTTTTTTACAAATATGATATAAGTAAGACAGATTTAGAATATAGAGTAGACTCGTTTAGTGCATCCTGGGGGACCTTACATTAGGTGCCTGTTGCAGAAAACAGAAAGCTTAAGTAAAAGATGAATGTACTTTTTAAGTCACTGTCAGTACAAAATGAATAATAATGTTTAAGATAATTAATATAAATAATCATAGTATTGGATGTGACACTTACAAAACTAAAAATTACTTTGTTATAGAGAATGCATAGGCATTAAAAATGCATAATCAAGAACTGCCTTGAAATTGCAATTTAAAAATTGAAATTGAGATTTAGAAATTTTAGAAATGATGACATCAGTTCTTGTTTGTAACTGAATTGATAAGAGTCTCTAAAGTACTACAAGATCTACTTGTGTGTCTGACTCATAAAAAAAAGAGTAATGATGTAATTAGGCTTAACTGTATGAAGAAGCTCAACTTTGATCAGCAAGTTAAATTACCCTCTTAGGCAGTAATGGTAGGATAGATAGGATAGAAGAGGATTTTTTTCATAACTAGGCCTTCAGACATTACTGTATTATGAAGGACTAATGTGTCTTGGTATTTCTCCTGGGTTTTACAGTGAAAATCTGGGCAATGTCAGACAGAGCTAGCTATTCTTGAGCATTATTGCCAGGATATCAGGTCGGATGCACATTACCAAGAATGATTGATTTTCAGGTTGGTTGATTCTTACAAACAGATAAGGATTTTCGTTGGTAGTGTAGTGGCACTGATTGATTTCGGCACACTACTTTTATGAGATGTTCTTCCTGAGAATTGTTGTTTAATGAGCTATCTTGGCCATACCGGAGACGATGTTCAATTTCTATTTACCTGTTATTACAGTTATTACATATAATTTATTTTACAAAGATAAAAGGGGACAGATAGACCAGGGAAGTACTCAAGTGGGATATATTCAAGATAAAACATAACTCAAAGGGCTCTGAGAGTAAACCTTGTATTAATTTTTGTTTGGCCATTGCTTTAGATAAACTAATGGTCTTATTTCAAAGAATTTTTTATATCTTGTGCCTAAAAGGTCACAATATGAAATTACATCTGAGTATCCTACTGTCAATAATAGAGATTGGTACTAACTCTCTTAGGTCATCTTTTTTTCTTGTCTGCCATTCCAAGGTTACCACATGAAGAAATCCAATATTTTACTGTGTGGGAAATCAATGTTTCCAGCCCATTTGTGATTGCTGCAAGATATTGTGGCTGCAAACTGAAATCTGTTTTCCAAGTCAGCAAACAGATTTTTCGTTAGAAACAAAATAGATGATAGTGAAAGGCCAGGTTGTCAACCACCCATTAAACCCATAATTTACATTTACTGACAACTAAGAAGTGATATTGACAGGCAGACATATGTATGAATGTTGCTGAACAATAAACGATAATTGCTTCTCTTCTAATGATTAATTGTTTCCATATTGGTTTTGTATGTATGTACGTCTAATTGTGCTGCAATGTGCAAACAGTTGTTGCCATTAAGACATTTCTTGTTATTAAGACGTGTATGTGCCATCCCTTTTCAGGATATTTTTTTAATGTTAAGAAATAAATGTGCTTTTATATCTATTTTAGCATGGGGACAATGCTGTGTACTGGGCTGCTAGGCAAGGGCACGTGGAAGTGGTCAAATATCTCAAAGAACAAGGGGTCTCTGTGGATCAACAAAATAAGGTGAAAAACCTGATGTCACTTTTACAGTGAAAAGAAGTAGGGTGTTGGTGGTGAATTTCAAAGGGAGTCAACCTTGAGGTCGTGACATACATCAATCACTTAAGTTGTTAATGGCACTACATAAATATATGAAAAAAAGGAAAATAACATTATATTTTACATGACTCTTCCATTACTTTGCACTGTGGTTAATGCGTTCTGAAAGTGATAATCTTCCTATTGTAAACTACATGGCTTCATTCATTTATTATGGTTTCTTAACTTCCTTTTAGATGTGACTGTCATTTCGTAAACTATGGTTACAAAAGACAATTGTGACATGATAATTTCTGTTTCTGTCTGCAGTCTGGCGAGTCGGCCTTGCATGTAGCTGCGCGCTATGGCCACAGCCATGTGGTCCAATACCTGTGTGAGGCAGGAGCCAATGTGGATCTTCAAGATGAGGTGAATAAACTGGGGAATGGCTTCAAATACCCCAGGCAGAAGTTGATAGTCATATGTAGAATAAATGTGTCAAGTGATATAATTACAAAATGAAATGCCAGCTTTGTATTTTCTTTCCCAGTGTACTACATACAGGCGCATTGCATAAGCCCAGCTTAAACGGTGATTAATTTGAGCTTAAAGTCGGGGCCAGGTGTAACCACATCAGCAAATATCCCAGTCTTCTGCCTATACATACCTACCTAAATATACCTTGTTATGTTGTAGCCTGAACCGGCAGCATGGACATCTTGATACATGGTGCCAAGATGTAATCAATTTAAATACTTGATGTGTTATTTAATTATTTGTTTTATGTTGCATGCATGCTTTTGTCTATATGTGTGGACACTTGTCAATGTCTCCTTGGCAGGCAGTTGTTGCATGTGGAATATAAACTTGAATATTGTAATCCAGAAAAAAGAATTCTTTGAACTTATTTTTATCGGAAATCAGTCATTTGATCTATATAGAACTTGTTGTCTTCAAGTGAAACTCTTTTGTGGAAATAGATATATGGTTTTGATTCTTTCCACTCAGTTAATTCTTGATGTTTAGTGTCATTTGTTGTGTCATTGTCAACCCGTGCATGGATGTTTTTTTTTTTATTATTTTTTTCCTCCAGCTTGGTGAGACTGCTCTCCATAGCGCAGCATGGCATGGTTTTTCCATTATCTGTACATACTTGTGCAATGCAGGATGCCAACTAGACGTGCAAAATAAGGTGAATCTTACAGAAAATTTTAACAGAAAGGGGTAGTTCATCATAAGATTTTATATGAAATGAAATAAATATTAATGACTAGAGGTCTAGCATAGATTTTGGCAGAATTATTCTCAGTTTATGTATTTTTTTTTTTCACACATTTGCAGCATTCTCCTTTATGTATTCCTTTGAGCCTGTGACATTTTATTGCAATGTCGAGTGTTTTTTTTTTTACAGATTTAAGTTGATAAAAGGGTATTCAGTTTCAATAGTGTAAGGTTTTTACATCAAAACAATTTTATCTACACAAACCTATGTTTATCTATGCATTGTCAACTTAAGTATATTTTCTATCTAAACATAGGCTTGTCAGAATTAAGTAGATTAAATTTCAAAAAAAAGTAAGGAATAATGATTTTTCAGATTTTTGATCTGTTAGAAAGTAGAATTGATTTTATTCAAAAGGAATACAGTAAGAGAAGTAGTGGCTTTGGTATAATTTTCCCCATAGTTTTAGAAAGGGTAAAACACTGCATTGTAAATATATTTAAATCTAAAGGCAGTGTGGAAATTAATCACCATAATATTTGAAACCATATTTTGTTGTAGGATGGCGAGGTGCCCATCCATAATGCAGCTGGGCGTGGTTACCTGGAGTGTGTGAAGGTACTGCTGAATACTGGGGCCAGGCTGGACCTGTATGATAAAGTAAGGAGAAAACGGGCCACATGATGCTTCATAGATGATAATTGATGGATTTTGTTTCTAGTGTTTGGAAGCCGTAATAACATTGGGCAACAAATGTATATATTCCAGGTTTATGGAACAAGAGTTCACAGGACCAAATTAGATACCTAATTAGCACGAAAGTTGATATATTTATATGAGGAAATGCATGTTTTTTTAAAATAAGATAGAAACCTTACTTTAGTATAAAACCTACTTTAACTTCTTATCATTTATTTGAGAAATTCATTAAAAAAAACCATAACATTTGATTCAGACAGATATATAACTATAAACAAATGAGTTTGAGTTTAGAGCATCATGCTAAGTGTATATATATTCAATTATTAATTTGTATTCCAGCGTGGTAGCAGTGCCCTCCACTGGGCCTGCAGGCGCCACCACACTGCCATAGCCATGCAGCTGGTCCAGGCTGGGTGCCCTCTAGATGTGGTAGATGAGGTGAGCAGGAAACACAATCAGAAGAATGTGAAAATATCATCACATACATGGACAGCTAGGCATAGATATTAAGTGACAAGATTTACTTTACAGACGCTATTTACTATATAAGAGTGATTAACTTCAGATCTATCTTATTCACACAGGAGAATGTAAATATAGTATAAAGCTTGAAATTTATTTTCTTAGACTGGAGAAAGTGCTATCCATGCAGCAGCACATGAAGGACTGTTCTCTGTGGTGCAGGCAATGTGTGCTTATGGTTGTGATGTCAATATTATTAGCAAGGTAAACAAAACAGAATTTAACGTGGTTTTAGTGTCAGTTTCTATAAAGGTAAATCATTAGATTGTATCCTATTGTCATAACTTTTTCAGAATTTTCAAGCAAGTATTAAAAAAAAACTTTATTCTCATTGTCTCTGAATAGTTGCTCTTGGCAGGTTGCATTCAAAAAAGTTTTTTTTCCAGAATTCTCTCACTGCTCTCCACTCTGCAGCTAAGGGTGGCTACCTGGAGATAGTCCGCTGTCTGTTACTGGCTGGAGCTGACCCTGATGTGCCCAACAAGGTAAGAGGCTTGAAATTTGTAACAGTGACTGGATAATGCATGTCACACTTGATGCAATTACCTCGATTGTCTGTTCCACAGTCAAAAGTGTGCGGTGTAATGGTTTTGTTACTATCCAATAGCATTGGATACCATTATTCTTTTATGATAATCATTTTAATAGGAAAGAGCTTGTTCTGCCAAAAGATTATCTTTTATTAAAGTTATTTGTTGAAGGTGACATGGATTATGAAGAAAAAAAAGAGAACATTTGTTTGCTACTGATAATATAACTACTCAGTTAATTTCACCAGCCTGCACAACAAATGGCTCATTTATCTCGGTGTTACATGTAAATTGAATCGGTGATCGAGAAGTAATTGTGTAACTTCCACTCCACAGGATGGCGTGATTGCAGAGATCCTTGCCTTGGCCCAGGGGCACTCTGAAATAGCTGATCTTCTCATACGGATGAAACCAGTAAGTATATGATCACTTTCTGTCTTGTTCCTGTTCCACCTCACTAAGTGTTATTTTGTTGTGGCTTAAGGTTCAGGTGAATGTTATCCAGGCCTATAGCTAAACATCATCACTTTACAATACAGGTCCTATTGCTTTCAACACACTCCTCTGTTCGGCTTTGAACCGGAAATTAGCTACTTGTTGTTCATCATAGTAAGAGACAATGTTTCCATATTACTGCCTCCTACTTATTCCCCTTCAATCACCAGGGACCAATCATCAGCTATTTACCAAGAAAATGGAATGTTATTTGACAAGTAAGCCACCTGCTATCACACTGCTCCACCTTGATGTATGAATCAAAGAATCCACTCTATGGACTGTATTTTTCCTTTGAAGTACTATTTCCTGAACTGTAACGACCAACAGCTAGGTCATCAAACCCAGGGTGAGGAGTGGAATTGCCATTCTTCTCAAACTAGCTTAACATTTAAATTAAAACAGAGATGTAGAATACTTGTATTTTTTTTTTTTTTTTTTTGCCAAACTCTACCAAAACTGACCTTATAATCTTTGTTCATTTACTTTTGCCCTTCATTAACAGTTTTAAAATATTTAATCAAATTTATTAACACCATGACCTATGAAAGAGCTAACCATGCTGAATCATAGTTAACTGCTTATTGACCACAATTTCCTTGCATAGCTTAAGCCAGGTGCAGAGCATGGCTTTAAGAATGTATTGACTAAATAATGGACTTTAAGAATGTTAATGAACTTAAAAAGCTGTGTTGCTATAAGGAAATAATCAGTCATTCATTGGAAAAAGAGGTGGTGTTCCAGTGGGTTTCACTAAGTGGTATATGGTCCCAGTAAATGGATGCAAAAACCACAGTTAATGCAGCAAATGATGAATGAAATGTGATTAACATGCTCTCTGTAGATTTACCATCCATTAATATCACGTAACATTTTCATGCAGATGATGCAATAGATTTTTTTTTCATTTTTTTTTTTTTTTTTTTTCAAGATGAGAGTTTGATGTACAATTTCAGGGTTTTCTCATTCAAGACAAATACAGCTACTGTTGTTATGTTACAACATTGTTAAAAGCATATTTCAGTCTTTTCTGAATAAGTGTGATACTGATTTCTTCAGTCAAAATGTAAAACTAAATTTGCCTTCTTTGTTTCCCTATGGACTTAAGAACAAAGTATTTCTTGGAAATCTTGGGTCCTTTGAGACTGTTTTGATCTTTGCCTATTCCTTGCCTATCAATAAAAATTTTAAGATAAAATGCATAATCCATGCTTGAAACCGGTTTTAGCCCTTCTTAAACCAGAAAAATGTTATTGTTATAGCACTACAGCTTAAAGCCTGTATGTGTGAGTAAGCTACCTCTAAGTTTTCCACAAAGAAAAATATACTTTGTTGCCTACCACAAATCAATAACTGGCTCACTCATTTTATAGAAAAGCATACTTTACAACAAGGATTTCTTATTCTTAGATGTAAGAAAATCAATTGTATGCATAGGACATGTAAAAATACCCATTATAGTAATCCAATATATCAAATGTAGCAGATGAGAAATATTTAATGAGGCATTAACACTTGGATTGTGTTGAAATTTGTTCAGAAAAGAAAAATGTGAATTTATGTCATATTCCATTTTCTAAAATAGGGGCATTTTTGAAGTGGCATCCAAGAGTCACATTTTCTTATTCTACCTTGCATCTTATCCATTATACAGTCCTGGTATTAGCACTAATAGTGATGCATGTGTATATCTAAAGCACTTACTGTTGTTAGGTAATGGAGTTTCCTAAATGACAATAAAGGAAGTGTTATTTCAAGGCTTAAAAAATGGACCTTGCTTACAATATGGTAGCCAGGAATGTCTCTCCCTAGTGGCCCCATTGCTAGCAGCAAAATGCCATTTTTTTTTTCATAACTTCTGAATGGTTTAGTCGATGCTATCATATTCTGCATCTTTTCGTTAGAGTGCACAAACATCCAAAACGAATGTTCATTTACCAGGTTTTGTTTTTCAAATAGTTGACTCTACAGATAATGCTTTGAAATTTCTTTAATATTTGTTAATGAAGAGGCAAGGGACTTGGAGCTTCTTGGAAATAAATGCCATGCTCATAGGCAGTTAAGGCGTTTTTTTTTCTGTGCAGTGAAATACTATACTATAATAGCACCTATGATGAACATCCATGTGCAAGCTGCTTTTTCTGGGAAATAATTATTCTATACAGTTAGTTGTTTCCTTTACATAGTACCCTTTTCCTCTTCCCGGCCATGCATTCATGCAGTTAGCCCTCTTATTCACCAAAAGCTCTTTTTTTTTACATATCTCAGAATTAATTTGATATTTTTCCACTAATTTTTCCCATATGATAAATCATGTGTCTTAGCAACAGTTCTGCCAGGATATCTTTCAGCCAGGGGCTTGTGTAAGTATCTTCTACCAGGGCTCAATAAATATCCTCATTGAATTGATAGACTGCTGGAAAGGCTGCTTTTCTTCCTTATCTCTCCCATGTTACAGCACAACTCAACAGGTATATAATGCGTATTGTTCCAGGTATTCTTGGAGCACATGATCCCCTGGGACTACAGTGATACCAGCCAGTTTTATTTTGAAAAATTCCGTCTGGTTAGTCGAATAGACTGTTGTATGCACTCAGGATGGCAATGGGGGGAGGGGTTGGGGTGGAATTATATCTAGTGGGGTTGGGGGGGGGGGGTAATTAAGGAAGCGATAGATATAAGTGATTGATAAAAGCAGCAAAATCACATTTTTTTTCTTAATATGTTGGTATAATCTGAAAATCATTTCTGAAAATCTCCATCCTGGATTCATCCCAGTGCTATCCTAGTCTCTGGCATTACTGCCTGGCTTAGCAAGATCAAGTATTGCATAAGGTTGATACCCATGCATGGCAATTGTATCCAGAATGGTTTTCTTTGAAGTGAGTAGGACTCCTCCAACAGTTATCTGTCTTCATTTGCGTGGGCAGTTGCATTCATTTACCTAGATATGCTAGCTTGGAGCAAGGGCTTTCTGTTGCAGGTCACCTTGATATTCACAAATCAATTACGCCCATCTTCTCAACATTTATTTGTCAAACAAATGAACATTTTCTGCTAAATAATACTTGATATGAACACGCGCAAGATAAGACAGAGACGTGCTGCTTTGTTCATCACGCTTTATCACAAATGTCAATAAAATGAAAATAATGAACGATTTTTGGAAACAAATAAGAAATAAAACTGCGCAAATGTCAATAAAATGAAAATAATGAATGATTTTTGGAAACAAATAAGAAATAAAACTGCACAAAATATGAATAATGTTTTTTTGAGAGGAATAGATCATCAGTGCTTTTTGTAGAAGTACATTAGATCTCAGTTAAGATTAATATCCTCTGACTACAGGGATGAATGATTTGCTGGTAAAAGATCAGTAACATTCAATATTTGCTGATACAGACTGCTGGCTATATGATGTGGGTGTATGGTTCACTCCTGAGTGTGTCCCAGCAGGTGGTGAACTGTAATGCCCTTTGATATAGCAGGCCATTAGGCAAATTGGCACTTGTTTTGCACTTTGTCTACCTACTTATCTGAGCCTGTAAACATGGTTTGATTGGAGTTTTGAGTGCTACACTGGACATGCTTTGCACAATTATACTGATAATGCGCTATAAAAGAGGTTTTATCTAGGCCTCTAGATAGGATGATAAATTAGAATTATTTTTTACTTAGAGACTAAATAACAGAAGTCAGATTCTGGCACAAAATCACCATTCATTGTGTTTGGCTGATGTTATTTAGTCTCTAAGTAAAGAATAATTTTATTTTCTATGCTGAAAATGTTTGTGAAGATAAGGCTTGGCATGATGCTTTATGACTTTTCCATTTTTTCCTGAGGCATGTATATTGTTATAATATTCAGTGGTTGAACTGGTATAGAGATTTTACTGGTTTCTGATATATTCATTATTATGTATGCGACCTTCTGATCACCTACCGCAAATTCAAGTAATTAAAATTGAAAAAAAAAAAACATGAATGTAAACTTCTGAGATTGTCCCCCAGTAAGAAAAAAACAATGAAGTGGATTGAAATTTGGCATCCTGTTTGTTTTGAGCATTTTGAGGATATTCTATTTTTGTCATACTTGTACAGAATGCAGACCTTGGCAAGAACTCTTTGTGGGCAAGTGCAAGTAATCTTGGAAATTTAGTTGCCTCACTCCAGAACAAAAAAATTGGGGGAGAGGGGGGGGGGATTAATTTATTCTCAATGCACTGCACATAAATTTTGTTTCATTACAGTATAATGTAAGTAATGCAGATTGGTATGCAGAGCAATGGCATGTATCCTTAGATTTAGAAATTTGAAATCAATTTGTTTCTTTTTTTATGAGTAGGGGAGAAATGATTTAAGATATGCTTTTCAGAATGAAATTCCTTTGCATTATATTGGGATTGCCTGATATATTAGACACATTGCATGATTTTAGTATGTCAATCTTTTAAATTCTTTCACATTTTTTACCCCTTTTGTCTAAAAACTATTAAATTCTGTAAAACCAAATTCATGTATTTACACATTTGTCTTGTATTTTTGATTGAAATTTTAATATCTTGAAAAATACAAACTGAATGTTATATCACTGAACTTGTTAACTTTCATAAATGATATACATAATGCATTGTTATTTCTGAAAAGAATGTTGATTCTATATTTTTAATATAGGCATCTTTCTTTGTTAATTGTCTCAGGACCGACGGGTGAACTTCATCAACCAGCTAGTGCCAACACGTCACCCATTGAAGAGAATCAAACTGAAAGTTTTTGGTAGCAGTGGTGTGGGCAAGACCACCCTGATTAGTTCCTTGAAATGTGGCTACATCACTGGGTTCTTCCGGCGCAGGATCACCAGCACTAGTGCCATGTTGGCCAAGTCACACTGGCACCAAAACCATCACAGAAGTAAGTTTTTTTTACAGGGTAACCCAATGGTTTTCAGTTCTTTTTCCTGACTTAAAAAGCTGCCATGGTTTTGAATATCTACAACTTACCATGGCAGTTTTCCTGTAAGTAAATAATCGTAAGTGAAAGGAGGTGGCTTTGACAGGGATAAAAATGCATGCGACAGGCAAATTATCTTTCACTGTATGCTTGCATGGATGAAATGGATGAGAAAGTCACTTTAAAGGTTCTTATGCTGAATTAGATTATGATACATGTTTCTGTGCAGTTTTTATCAATTAGATTGTAGTAGGGCATATGCTTATAGGGAGTTATTAAAACATACTTTTTTGTGGGGCTTGGAAAAAAATGAATCAGAAATACATTTTTATTGCAAGTATACTACTGTGACGTGAGTTTTCATGTTTTAGAAATTAAATGATCATTTATTTTTTTATTAAAAAAACATTATTCTCTTCTCCCCATACCATCAAGTATAGTTACCAGTAATTGTTGTCAGTAGAGTAACAAATCTTTTTTATGACCAAAAATGCATTTGACAAGAGTGGGGCTTTATTGTGAAAATTTTGTTTGTAAATACAAATTTGGCTTAAAATGCAAAATGATTTTTAAGAGAAAGGTCCACATATTAAAGGAAAATCTGGAATTTCGTCAAAAAAGCGTGGGATTGATGCAATGCACAGCCATGCAATTACACTGAAATGAATCATTTATTTGCCATTTAAGTGCGCTCTTTGAGTCAAACTGATTTAATAACCTATGTTTGGAACGTGCTTTATTTTCATGTAAGGTCATTTCACATTAACCATCTATCCAGTTGACAGAATGGAACACATTTGACGGATGATTTCTTGATAGGCAGTCTAGCCATATAGTGTGTGCAAAAATCAATTGGAAGTTTGTGGGGATTGCTTTCACCTGTAGTATGAAGTGTTCAACAGAGAATAAAAGAGAGAAATGTTGCTAATTTAGACCTTACACTTGTGTTTCACGGTTTAATGGTTTACCTGGACAAAACCACTTTCATGTCCAAAATTATATCAAGTCAGATCAATTTGTAAGAGTTCCTTTTTTTCAGATAAAAAGTCCTCTACTTTAGTTTTTTATTATCATTATTATTTTGTGTGTGTGTGTTTGTGTGTTATGAATTAACTGTGAGCCTGTACATCACTTTCACAATAGAAGCAATTTATAAGAGGGGCTTATACGAATTCCATCAATTTCCCCCATTTCAAGGGTATTGCACCAACTGTTCTCTATTCCAGTGGGACCATCCCCAGACAAAAACTGACAATCAAATGGAAGGAAACTTTTTCCTGGCTTTTTTGATATTATTCTGCTATTGGTGACAGCTTATCTTTTAGCCTTTTTAAGTGTCACTTGATGAGTATTAGTCATCTTTTTAGAACAAATTATTCATAGTATTTTATGCACATTTTTGCATGTTTAAAACATTAGCAGAGCAAAGTTGTGGATAATTTGGTTATTTAAAAAAAATACTTAAACAATTATCTTGTCTGAATTTACTTTAAAATTCTCAAATTAGAATAATAAAATGGTGGTTATGTGATTATTCATCAGTGCAAAAAAATAATCACGTTATGTTTTTCTTTCTCATTAGGTCATGTGAATGGGTTGCAGCGTCACAGAAGTCTTCCTAGTCAGTTGTCCTATGAAGTCCGACATGACCACTATACAAAAGGCATAGATGTTCAGCTTGCCAATATCTCTGGTATGTGACCTGGTCTCTGGTGTACAGCCAGAAATTTAACATACATGTGGAGATAAAGGGCTGTCACAGGTCTCATTTAACTACAAAGTGTTTTTATTCTATTAACTATGAAATATTTCTTTTGAATGTAGACATTAAATTAATTTGAAAATTGAAAAGACATTAAAGTTCAGAAAATAATAAATTATGGCCCTTTGCCAAAACGTGCCTTTAAACATACCAAATTTAGACATCAATAAAAACCGGCCTGATTGTTATTGGTTGAAAGACTTATTATTCCTCTACATATTGCAAGTCATATATAGATAACAGAGTACAGCGTTTCTGAGAAAACGACTGACTAAGATAATGCTCAGCTGATATCTGATTTTAAGATATGACATTGGTTGCACTTTGACATAAAATGGGATACAACGCTATGGGAGTAATAAATTATTTAAGGCTATGGATTTTTGCTATTCTTTCAATATGTTACTTAGAAATAATACTTGTGGAAGCTACCACCTGCACCATATTGACAATTGCATCAGCACATATGCTGCTGCTGTACTTCTGGTTAGACAGGAACATTTGACACAGTGCCTTATGTCTTTTGGTGTATATTTTCAATTTCTGATATATAAATCTTTCGATTTACTCATTCATTTTGGTACATAATGACAAAAATTCAAACTTGGTTCGTAAAAATGAATAAAAAAAACTAGCAGTAGTGGATAAAAAAAAACATGCAAAAAAAAAAACTTGGTTATGAGGCCCCCTTTATGTGACTTACTTTGTAACCTAAGAATCCCTGCAGCATTTTGACTTTTTTCTCTTTGTTGGTGCATGGAGGCCATTTTCTCCAGATAAGTTTATGTGGATTTATCTCAACAAAATATCTTTTTAACGAAAAATCAATCTGTATTAAGAAAGATTAAATAACAAGGAGAAAATTTTGATAAAGAGAAAGAGGCATGTATCCACCCAGGCATGTTTTGGCAAAGGGATATATATCTATATCTGGTTGGCACTAAATAAAAGCAGTTATTCTAATGAGTGTGCCACACTTGCATGCCTGCCATGGTAAACTGATGCTAAATTACCACTGTAGTTTTAAAACCATTGAAACCCCACATAAATCATATCACTTACATCAAGGGGATGTACGTTTTAGGAGAGAGAATGGCCTTCTCTCTGCAGGTCATGTCTGATATCTGGTGGTGAAAGTCTCATTAGGCTGATCATGGTGTAGTTTGACTTGATGTTACCCCTTGTATTCAAAGTTGTCCTCAAATGAACTTATTAAAAAGTACAGGTGTTATTGGGAAGGCCATGTGATAATATAACTGAGATATCAGTCCTGCCACAGAAATATGACAACTGGGTTAATTGGTACACGTGTTATTCATTACGAATCTTTGTTCTAAATGGTTTTTCTAGAAGTGATTGATTTGAATTGTCAGGACTGAAAATAGTTTTTAGTGCATTTGAGGTGTCACTTAAAGAACTCATCCTTTGAAATATATTTTCACATAGTTTTTGAAAATTAGTAAACAGGTGTACGTTCTGCCAGCTAATTTCCTGTTTCCTTAACAGCCACCCTCAAATCCACTTCCTCCACATCTCATCAGAATATACGTATCCCATGCACAAACAAAAGCATTTGTCAAATAAAAATTTGAAGATTTTTCCCCCCTTTTTTTTCAGTTGCTGGAGACCTGAGTATCTGGGAGTTCTCTGGCTATGAGCCTTACTACATGCTTTATGACAACTTCATAGGCGACATCAACTGTGTCCACACTGTATTATTCAGCCTGGCTGACCCCCCTGACATCAGGCGAGCTCAGGTGGCCTACTGGTTAAACTTCATCAGGGCTAGAATACAGCCATTAGAACCAATAGGTAAGAACATCTGCTTTACCAATTCCCCTGAAAAGATATGTTGATTAGCTGTAAAAATGCACATTCAATGTGGCATTTTCATGCAATGGATTGTAGCATTTACTTTTTTAATGTCAATAAATTAGACTATAAGAGACCCTGATTAGATTTCCGGAACTTGTTGAAGGAACCTTGTTTGCGCAATGCTGTTGCAGAGAACATGTTGGTAGAAAGTGTTGCAGATTATATTATAGATTGAAATTGTCTTTATTCACCTTTCAAAACAGAGGTTGTTGGTCAGAATTTGCTTTAAAAATATGAAAATCAAGATACTGTGGAATCATTAATACAAACTAGACTATGTTTGATATGCCCTGATGTCTGACTGAGGAGCAATGAAGCTATTTCTCCATAGCATATATCACAAGAAATGCAGTTCTTTTTCATAAATCCTCAGCTTCCTCTGCACAGAAAGTTAAACAAAGAAGGTAAAAATGGCTAAGTTCTGTACTTTATGCTGAAAAATAAATAAATAGACAATATATATGTAATATATAATAGATTCATTAAAGAGCAGTGTGATATAAAGAGCCATTGGTTTGGTTTATTTTCTAAGGTCATTGTGGCAAGCAGGCAAACTTGGCCAAGATAGTCCTGATAGCCACGCATGCAGATAGAGCCATGTGCTTCAAGAATTCTCGCGGGGAGTTTGTCAATGCTGAGGCTCTGTCCCTGTTAAATGAAATGCGGCAAAGGTTTTGGCTGGACTTTGACATCTCAGAGTCCATGTTTGTCCTGGATGCCAACTCTGCCATGTCCAATGATATGAAGGCATTTAGACACTATCTTGCAGATCTAAAAATGTCCACAATCCAGGTATTTTACTATTTTTATTTTCTTTGTCATTTCTCCCTCTCTCGCTCTTTATTTTGTGTGTGTTGGGGTATTTTTTAAATTTTAGTTAATGGTAATTCTCTTTATTTATTTATTAATTTATTAATTGATTAATTAATTTATTTATTTATTTATTTATTTATTTATTTATTTATTTATTTGATTCCAGTGGATGTCAGGTAGAAAGAGCTTAGTAGATATTTAGCAGATATAAAAAAAATGATGATTAAGTAATCAAGTCCAGTCAAAAAGAAATATTCCATTGCTACAGCTTGAAAATAAAGATTAATGTTGTTTCCCCTTGATGTAATAATTCCTAGATACTGTTTGAAGCCCCTGGAAATGTTTAATTCAAAAGTTTCACCACTCATTCCTTTTAATCGTTTCAACCAAATTTCCACTAGCTATTATTTTCCATTTTCCTATTATTCTGGGATTGGTATTTGCTTTGGGCTTTCCAAATATGTTTAATGCCTCAGAGCAAAGCTTTGGGAATATGATAGAGACCCTGTTCTTAGATTATGTTTGAAAACGATATCAATCAGACATTCAGTAGGGAGTATTAAAATGTTATTTTTTTACCTCCCTCTAGGTTTATAATACCAATCAAAACTGTTGAGAGTTCTTTTAGTTTAAGGATGGCATTTATCTTGGTGGTCTTAAGACACGTGGTGCAGAAGTGAACCTATATTAGTTCCAGACTGACGGATTGATCAATAGAATTAATCAATTAAGTTGCTATATGAATGCATCAGTTCATTAATATTCTGAAAAACTGCCTGGAAAAACTTATAATATTCAATAATCATCCAAATATTTATTTTATTTCAGCATCTTCCAACCACCTTAGGTTTTACTGACGCAATGGTGGCTCAGCTACCATCATGGAGAAGGTCTTCCTCATCTTTTCCTGTGTTGTCATGGCAACAGTTTGTTGAGTATGCTAGGGCCAAGGTGAACCCTCTGGCCAGTGAAGAGCATTTAAAGACTCTAATACAACAGCTTCAGTTGATGGGAGAGGTAAGCACCTACTTGGAGTAAAGCGCTTCTGGGGAGAAGAAGTGGATTGGAGAATAGCATGTATTTGCTCCATCATTTAAGTTTTGTTGTTTTTGTTAAGGGCGTGAACTATTTGAAACCAATATGTTTTATTGACAGCAGTACATTGAACAGCTATAAACATGCTGCCAGTAACCACTTTGCATGTAATGTGGCAACTAACATTAAAGTGAGTCAGCAGTCAATGCTCCTAGCCTTATAAAACTAGAAGTAGACAAAAGCTGAAGCCTTTGAAGTTAGATTTTGAGTGAATATTTAAAAATGATCTTTCCCTGTGAGCGGAGTGCTGCATTGTTTAGGTATCTTGGAACATTTTCCTGACGCTTCAAATAACAATAAATTGTTGAAGCCATTTGATTTACGGAACAAAAGTTACTCTGATTCATTTGCTCAAATGAAAATTTTCAGTGAAGTCAAAACAAAGACAAGATAATGCAGCACGTGAGTCTTTTACTCATTGCCTGCACAGTTTTCTATAGTGGAAAATCAATCTTCTTTTTCAAAGTGCTCATACCGTAATGTGTATATTGATTTTTGTTCAAAGAAAAATCATCTGATGGTATGAAAACATGGCATGTCCTGTGATATTCCCATGGTATGAAATGGAAATTTCTTGAACAAATTATAGATGGTGCATGACATGCAATCCTATTGTTGTTTTTACACACACTCCACTTGAGTGGGTAATGTGCTTGTGAATTAATTATTGTTTGTACGTAAATTGCTCATAAAATACACACCAAAATGGTGATTAGATGTATTCTGAAAAAAGTGTAACTAATAGCGTAAGTAATGACTGAAAATATTATTTGAATTTTTTTTAACAAAAAGGATAAATCTTGAAAATTTTGAATATTAGTGTGAGATGTTGGTAGCATTTAAGTCACTTTTGTACTATCTGTTACCTATTGTCATTGGAATTTCCCTTCGAGTAAAATCACTGTGTTCTACTTAAATGTTTAGTAACCATCATACTGTTAGACATGATTATATTGTCTCATTTAAAAGAATATATATATATATATATATATATATATATATATATATATATATATATATATATATCCTTATCTGTTCTTATACTTAACTTAAAATGCATGGGTTAATTTCTTTGTCTGTTGTATATTCATGTTTAAGAAGGAAAGCAGTTGTTTGCTGCTGTAGCTGTCCAGGAGGTTTGTTATGTTGTTGTTTTGGTTTACTTAACAATATATCATACATATTCAGTCATACTCCTATGTCTATATTTTTGTTGCCTTAGGTAATCTACTTGGAGACAGATTCTGAGCAAGATCTGGTGATATTGTCCCCCAAATGGCTGTGTCACGATGTCATTGGTGGTTTACTGTCACATGACCGTATTGTGCACACACGCCCAACAGGTTGCTACACAGTGGATGACTTCCAGATGATGTTTCCGGAGGCAGATGCCTTGGATCTGCTACAAGTCCTGCAGGCTGTGGAGATGTGTGTGCAGTGTGAAAATGATGGGGACATAGAGTATGAATTCCCATGCTTGAACTTTGTGGAGACTTTGCGAGGACTCTGGGAAAGTGATTCTACGCTGACGAGTTATGGAGGTGTCCGTTTGCAGAGTGAGGTCCCAATGCAGCTGAAGCATATATTTCCTAAAGTTCAGGTCCAGTTAAGAAGGAGCATCCAAAGTGAGAACCAAGACCCAGACAATGACTTGTACCAGTGGTACCATGGCTCAAAATTCTGTTGCGGACTTATGGAGGGAATGATAACCCTAGAAGACTTCGATGCTATAGATATTAAAGTACGTGGGCCGTCTGATTCTGGGAGCACATTATACTATTTCCTGGATGACCTTGTGTCCCTAGTGGAGCAAGTGTTCATAGATGCATGCCCAGGGTTGTTCATTGAAAGACAGCTTCTGAGTTCCGCCCAGCTCCAGAGGCATTCTCTTCCTGTGCACGCGTACTCCAACACAGTGCTGCTGAAACAGCAATTGCTGGGCGAGCTAGAAGTGACATACAATGGCACCAAGGAAAGGTTCTTTGATGTTTTGTGCCTTCATTCAGAGGAGGTTGAGGCATCGTTAACACTGGGCATAGACTTGCATGTATCTGCACTGTCACTGCACACACGGAGACACCTTAGTTCACTCCTAGATATTCACGACCACATGGGGAGAGACTGGTGTTTGCTAGCAGTGAACATGGGGATGACAGATGCCTTGCCAAGACTGGATTCCTCTCAGGATGAATCTGAGAGCAAGACGGACAAAGTGTTGCAGAAATGGAGCAAAGAGGCTGGCAGTACGATTGGACAGCTGATTCTCAAGCTACAAGAACTTGGCAGGCAGGATGCTGTGGATGTCCTACTGTATACTGCCCCTGCATATAGAGTGTCCCCCCTGGAAGAGCAGAGTCAAGATGGCCTAGAAGGTGCTGGAACCCAGGGGTATAACTCTACTAACACTGTGTCAGACCTTTCCAGGTAGTTATTTTTTCAATAGACACAGCTTTCAAACAGTGGTGCCCCCTGATTCAAGTTCTCAGGAGGATTAGTAATTTAATTCCAGAGCATAATGTCTTCAAATTAGATGTATTTATTGTTATTTGTGATACCATACACTTAACTGAAATGAACAGAGCAAGAAAGGGGTTAGGGGCATTCTCAAACATATTATTGTTGCTTTTGTGTAGCCAATTTAGGAGGAACCATTCATCTTGTAGTCTTAGTCTTTCAATTGACTTAGATCAAAGCAATATAAAATGTGTTGCCTTTGAACATTAGCAAGGACAAGGAGACTTTTCACTTGCCCATGTATGAATTTAAAACAAAGAGATTAATTTTGTTTCATATCTCGTAGTAGATGAAATAAAGCCAATGCCTGTTGTCTGAAACTCAAAGGATAAATTTAGATCAGAGTATCAATTAGCTAGTGAATGGTTATCGTTGGGTAAATATAGTTATTATCTTGGGTAAATTGGTTTTGTGTTATCTATAACTGAATCAAAGCTAATCTTTATGCACTAGATATTTCACAGAAAATTTAGCAATGCTTTTTTGCACTTTAGGGTTAATTAGTTATTTGAAGGAACCATTTTTCTCTCCGAAAAATGTAATTAAGCTGTAAGGCTGATGTTATTGAATTTGCTTATGGCCATTTCCTTCTCTAATTTAATTAGCTACAGTAATTTGGGACTAGATCATAAGTGTCATAAGAATTGCCATTGCTTTGTTATTAATGCTTACAGTGCTGCCATGGATATATCTCCATGAAGCACATCTAATTTAAGTCTCTTTTTTTATTTATTCTGTTTTTCACCAATGCATTTATATGAGAGAGAAACATAAGAGTATATATGTAACCAGGGCCAGAAAATCATCATATCAATTTGTACGCTCACTATTTCACAAGGTTTGGATTCTAATAATGGTTATTAATTTCTGATAGTTACTGTTATCCACTTTGTTGAAAAGTAGAGCAGGAGAGGCAGGGAGGAAGAAAGGAGTTGAGGAAGGAAAAGAGACAGGCGTTGGATTATGTAAAGACTCAATTGGAATGTGTTCCAAGAAAAAAATGCCAAGGTATTTTTATCACATCCTCAATTAAGCCTTATCAGCAAAACAAATTTCATTATCTGAAATGCTGGTTGCAATAGATAAAGGGAACTTGGATGAATCAATCTGCATAGAGTATCAGAGATGTAATAGAATTGGTTGTTGCCACTTAGCACTGTATTGTCCAGATACTTAGGGGACTACTTGGGAGTTTGACATTCTTTAAACTAGTCACAAAAGAAAGGGTATTCTATTAAATGTTGTATTCTACAGTTGTCAGTTTGACTGGCAGTTTTCAGTGTGATAAGTGATTCTGATATTATTTAATGTGCGAGTTAATATGAAGTCAGTTGCCATTCCATGATATTTTAATTGGTTTTAAAGCCCTAGATGCCACAGGTATACAATTGATTATATTTATAAAAGGTTTTTGAATGATAAAATGGCGACCTATTTATGGATGCTCAGAATTTTTCTTTGGCACAAAATAAAATTTAAAAGAGACTTTCATTGATCAGTTGTGTTAGTTTATCTTTTATCACCTGCTACATTTTAATTATAATTTTTTTTAATTATATTATTTAACATATTTATTTTTAGTATTATTATTAATTTATTATTAATTTTTATGTTTGCAGTATAATAATGTTCAACTTTTTTGCAGAACATAACACTGGAAAACACGAGAAATCGTTAAACTTTGTGACATCCTGTATGCAGCAATTTAACTCTTAATTTATTCCTAAAGTAACATTAGATGTAATGAAAATGAGAGCTCACGTGCGATGTAGGAATGAATTAACTCTAAAATCCTTATTTTATTTATTTATCTAAAATTCTCTCGTTACTTGATATTGGTCAATTGGTAATTTTATGAATAACCAGAGCTGCCCTATTGAACGAACTTGATAATGTATGAAATTCGGACAACTGTTTTTAGTTTCTTGTAACACACTAGCCGCAGACTGTGTTTTTGGCCCATAGTACAGATTGACAGCGTTACTTATTGGAGTCAATAACCTAGGTGAGTTAAGCCCACAAGCTATGTAGCGGGTGTCTGCAGGTAAAGCACGGGGTTACCTGCGCCTTTGAGGTACGAAACGGCTTTTGGAATTGACCGAGCAAGTAGTGAAATGCCATTTGGAAAAGTCGGAAGGGAAACTCTGTTGGCCTTGCTCGCTCCTTGAAATGTCAAGAGTAATAATAATATTTGGGGAAAGCTGAGGTCAAGCTATTCACTCTCCGGTTCCAGAACAATTTGAAGAAGGATCTGCGATTTTGAGCTTCGAAGTAAATACGAGGGAAAGGTACCTTAGCGTTTTGCGCATAAACGGACAAACATAATAATATACATCCATGCAAATTTATTATGATAAACGGATGTCCCCAAAGGTTAAGATTAGTGCCACTGCTCGATATCGACCTTTAAAAAAATGACACCAACAAGACGTAAATTGTACGATAATTTTGAAAATTGGCCATTTGTTAATAATTTGTACTTTTCATTCGTGCTTGTGAATTTCATCTCATGGTAACAGTCCTACATGACATATTGGAACTTTTTCAATGAGAAAATTTTTCAATGAGAACAGTGATTAATTAAGATGATCTCAGGATATATGACTAGCTTGCCAAACGTGCGTCTTCAATGTCAGTATTATCCCATGAGCACTGTATTGAAATTTTATATAATCTGAATTAAGGAACCATGCCCGAATTATGATTTTTTGGCGGAGACTCTCGGAACGTTCCCATTTCGTCTGACGAAAGTTGACTCACCGTAACTTTTCTACAATTAAATCCGAAGATATCAATCAATTTCAAACGGAACGTACGTCCTGTTGCAACGTACAAAATGAAATTAATTGAGTGATTTGTGTACATAAGCATGAAGCAAATGCTCCGCGCCAGTCTAATCTTCGCCACGGAATGCTTGTCCACGTTTGTGATATCTGCATACACTACCTCTATGACCGTCATTGGGAAGACTAGCAGTATATATGCAATGCTGACTATGATTGGAATCATGGTGAAATATCCACGCGCATCGCGGCGCTTCTGGCGTTCTCTTTGTTCCCCGCTGTCCGTATTCAGACTGTTTCTTGAAGTTTGCCTGGTGAGAGAGGACGAAAAGTTTTGCTGTCGTCTTTTGTCCAACTGTGCTAGGTTGACCACTAAGACAATGTTCATTGGAACCAAGAGTGACAATGGTAAGAATGCATAGGCGACCATGTCCATCCAGGGCCAAATTTTCCGCGCCTCGTCAGTGAAACAACGATAATGAAGCTGTAGTTTGTCAGAATCGGAGTTAAACTTGAAACATTCTTCAACTATTGTGTATGTGAAAAGTGTAGATGAGTCAAATATCGCCAAACACACGCCTAAAACTGCTATCGTAATTATGGCACGCTTCTTGCCGTTTTTGGCAGAACACTTTGTTGGAAATATAACCAGTAACAGACGCTCCATGGTGATTGCAACAACGCACCAGACAGCAAAATGTCTCGTGAAATGGTACAAAAATCCACCAATAATTGAGCACAATAAATCACTCTTCATCTTTAAGTCCTCCCCCGTGATTTTCCCGACCCAGAGCCGGAACGCACTGACATATAGCACGAGGGTGTCCATTACAGCCATCACAGCTATATACACAGATGCCGAATGTTGCCGAATAAATTTGTCTTTGCTCACCACCAGGAGTGACAAAAAGTTACCAATTGTTCCGAGTAGAACTAATGCGGGTAAAAACCACATGTAGAACGTCCCCGACAGTTTGTACTCGTCAAAAGAAAGCATAAATTCATCGAAATCATCCCTTACGTTGTCCCAACTTACTTGGACATGCTGCTCGTTGTAGTAGCACGTGGCTGTCTTGTTAGAAGACATACTTAGATGGCATGTGTGACAAAAGTACGCAGCAATGCTCGCTATATATGTTACTGCGAACAATTCTCGATGTAAAACTCTACATCCCTACAGCTCATGTAGTCATCTGGCTGAGCAGGCTACACTGCTGGTCTTGTTGTTTGTGATATACAAACATCACATGGGATTGGCTGAGCCTTATGCAGCGTCACGCTGCCTCCGTTAATGACATCTAAATCAAGGAAATCGGTTTCTGAACAGCCATAAAAAGGTAGGCCTGAGCCTACAACAAAAATGAGGAATTGATTGGAAAACAATTTGGACTAAACTGTAAGTGACGGTATGATATTTTTGTAGGAAAATGATGGAGCTCATAAATTATCTTTTTTGAACCTCGGCAGTAGGGCCTACATGTTATAGTTAAACAACGATGCCAATGCGAAGTTGCACTTTAAATTCTTAAAGACATACTGAAATCAAGACAAGGGGTTAAATGATAATTTTTGTGCCCAAAAGTTACTTCAAATTCATAGTACACCTGAGGTTTCACAACAGAATCCGAAAACAGATTTGAACCTGAAGAACAAAAATTTGATCTACTTCAGTTTAACAGTAAGATAAACTCCTATTAATCCATTTAAATAGAGTAAGTCTTGGTCTGAAACATTAACCATGTTTCTTAGTGTAGTTAATGGGCGCAATATTTCATTCAATTGGACTACCGGTGATTTATTTGGGGTCAAAGTAGGCTTAAATTTTGCTCTATAAGTTAGGACCAAATTACGTCTGTAGTTATTTTGTAAAACCAGCACCCAAATGTTGATAAAATACCATAAATTCGCTTTGCATATTTTTACTTCTATTTATTTCTATTTTTTAGTGAATTTTTATTTTTATTTTTATTTATTAGTGAAAATCTCTATATAAATATATCCAATAAGATGTCAAGTTAAAGGTCCAATATCTCAAACTGAACATGTTTTACAATCTCTTAGAAAACACAGCTGTCTAGGTCTCTAGGGAACGCCAATACTTATCAGCAATTAGTTATTCTACAATATCCATTGGCGTGAATTCGTGTATTCTGATCTTGACTCCTACAATATATCTCTATTATTTAGCAAATAAAATGATATGGGGGTCCAGCAAGTAGCTGTCAAGTAGTTCGAAAAAATTCAGAGGTATCTTGAATTCCAAGATTAATTCCAAATCTGAACACAACCTAAGCAAACCTTTAAGTCTGTTTGCTGTGTATCATCAATCTAGGGGCCTGTTTTGTAAACGATGACTTGTTAAAAAAGTTTGTCTAAATAAAAATCTTTCCAGAGCTGAGTACGTTAAACCTACTTTGTGTTCAACGAGAAACAGAGCCCAGTCTAAGATGAAGCGCACTGCCTTTTTCATTTCTTATTGAGTTGTCATTTTATCAGCAAACTGCAGAGAGCTCTGTGATTTCGGGCTTGCATTGATCTCTACTAGTAACACAATTTCAGAAGTATTATCCTGCTGTTGCCCTTATATCAACTTTTACCTTAAGATACTCCACTGGTTCTGTAATCTTTTCAGCGCCATACGGAGAGTTATACTGAGATATGCAAAAACTGCTACCTGTTGGTTATGACTTACATACAACCTGTCATGCACTTGATTTATCTAAGCATTTTTTCAAAGAGAGAAGTTATTAAAAGGTAGAAATTTAGCATAACCCTGTGCAATGTTGTCTGATGACAGACACACAGATCAACAATCAAGACACAGAACGTCCTGATGTTGGAAGTTGGCCAAGATATGATCATTTTGATTCCAGTAGATCAATTCCGAGGTGGCCTTTCTGGACTCCTTCCTTGTATCAGCTATGAAATAAGATTAAACGTTTCCTGGAGGCAGAAAAAAGGCAACAAATAACATAGTTAATTATCTTTGATTCCTGTGAGGAAATGTTTCTAGGACTCCACATCTAAATGTCAAGTTCAGTTGCGGTTTTTTCGTGAATGATGGATTAACTAGTCGACTGAAAACGGGTCAGTAAAAAACGTAATTAAATTAAGCACAATTTGAGTTGAAATAAGTGGGCCAATGTATGTCACGTAAATGTAATTTTAAGTCCCCCAATATGTAAATCGTCGCAATGCTTAACGTATTATATGCAGTTGTAGTTAACATTTGTTGTCCGAAGTCGGTGCCCGAATATTGCCTGTGTATCCATTTTGTACGGAGGTAGGCGTGAGCCGTACGAAATCGCACGGATTCTCGGCCTACGCAATCAAACCTAAACTTTTGACAATTTATTAATCGTTTGCCCGTATAGTAGGCTGTACCAATTTCATCGTAGTTGACACTGAACAGTTCCCGTGGGGGCATTGTTCGGTGGAATCGCAATGATCGGAATGGTCGATTCCGTTTTTGTCTCTCTACTTTCCACCTTTGGTGCTCTGGGGGTAGAACGATAGTGAAACTAAGCGCTATTGCATTTCTAAGAATTTGAAGTCGTGTGTTTTCTTATCCTGACCATGTGGGGGCTAAAAACGAAGAGGGATTGTAGCCTACAGACAACGTATCGATCTTCAAAGAAGACACGTAGAGGGTGCACGGCAACTGCACTCAGACTGAAAGGGCTCCGTATGATCACTCTCAACCGACAAACCGATTTTCCCTACCTGACCTCAAGGTCATGTCGGAGAAATGGGATTGCACCCGTTCAAAATGTAAACTTGTAGGTACTCTCCCGTAGCCACTTACGATGTCAAGAAAATCGCACGGAGAATCATGTAAGATTTCATCGTACGGTGCCCGTGGCAAATCTAATCTAGTCCTCGAGGCGGTACCACATATTGACAAGCAATCGAACAACGCCAATGTAATCACACTCATGGGTTTTGTAAGTGACACAGGCAACATTTCTAAATCAGATTTAAGTTTGGAAATTTCTTCTTCATGCTGATGTGTTAAGAGACAATTGTGAATTTTCTGTGAATTCTGACGATCAATATCTTCACACTGTTATGTACAACAATCCACTTACGAAGAGCGTAAGTGGAAACTACATCTTGTATCCTTTTCTTTTATTTTCACATAACAGCCCCCTCTAAAATAAAAAAAAATAGCCCCAGAAATTGGTATTACCAAGTTTTTCCTGTTAGTTCTTTAAAAAGATCACTAATTTACAAACTCCTTTCAATCTTATTTCTCGATCTATCATGACGTATTCCCTGAAGTAATATATACCAAAAATATACCATCCCAACCCACTGACACATTGTTCTTTTATCCGACTGCAGTGCCACTCCCACTACTTACAACATTTTGTTCTAGGTAGGCACTAATATTGCGACTCGTTTTTTATCTAATAGGCAAATTGTGAATCTAGTCATCCATCATCATCGGACACTTGTTCAAAATCATGTGTGGGACGATGCCCTTTCCTTATAAAAAAATGTTATAAACACTTGGAGAGAGGCTGCACCAGTCTACGAGACTACGAAATATTAGGCGCTGCATTCATTTGTACAATAAACCCCAAGTGGACAATACACTGACTATTGAATAATTCAGAATGCCATGTAGTTGTGACATGGGATTCCTGGTCCTGACCTCTGACGCCAGGGGCTTCTAAAATAGCACACAAAATTAAGGTATCAGCGATATAATGATTTTGCAACACAATACTACTCTGACCACACACTGTGGTCAGAGAGTAGCCTGACCCTAGCTGTAGGAGAAAAGTGTAGGCTATATGATAATTAAGGTTGTAAAATAAGGTTGTCCAAATGCCTTCAAGTTTTCCGGCGGGATTATAGCCCTAATTCCAGGAACTTGTCCAACTTAAACAGGATATTTACTGCTTTGATACAAAGGACGCACACCCCGTTATATATGGACATCAAGCAAAGGTCTAGCAAGAACATGTTCCTAGTACGTCCAAATTGCCTACTTTTGCTCAACGTAAATTGAATTTTAGTTAGCAATCCCTTTGGACAGATCTCTTAGGTCATTACTAACTCCATTAACATGCGGTATCCTACCGATACGCTCTGTAACCTGTAGATATTCAGGCGAAAAGGAGTTAAATCGCTAGTGTAATCTAAAAAGAACTTTGAAAATAAATACGTTTTCTTCAGTTGTAAACCATATGAAAAACAAAGTGACTATCTTTGCTGCCAGCAAGCAACAATATGGTAGAGATTTAGGGGGAAAACTCGACGTATCTGTGCCATATTCTTCAAAACGCCCGAGCCCCGTTCTCATATTTTTTATTCTGTATTGATTAAACATGGCATTGCGAATGACCAGTGAATAAGTGACCACACCTCACATAAGTGCGTCCCCGAAGATTTAAGGGTATTTTCAGACAGGAGAAACTCATTTTAGGAGTCAGAACATAATTTGTTTAAAAGTGAATTGAATACAACTAAAGAAGTGTATGAAAGCACATAATTTTAGAGTTCGGCACTGCAGTCTTGCATTAAAATACGATCACAATGCTGCAACCATTTTGCAATGTGTTAGTTGTGCTCTTCATTCCCAGTAGGTTACGTTTTTCATCAGTTTCAGTCGATTTTCTGTGTCATACCTACTTTTCTTCTGAAAAATAACCTAACATAGAATAGTAACCGGTGCTGTTTTTTTTTTTTAATCTATCAGTAAATGTTGGAGATAAACATGAATTAACCTTTTAATGTTAAATTTAACGATGGATCATTGTTACGTACGTTTTACAATAAATGACAATATTCTCCCTTTTCCTATAAGAACTAAAACGTAGCTCAGTAAGCGATAAACTACATGAACAACATTCCAGATGTTTATCAAGAGAATTCAAAAACTGGAAGATGTATTATTTCTATTACGATTTTTGGAAAGTTGACATCTGGATCATGCATCAGAGCCCTACATACCACTTCAATCACGCAGATATTGACGGCTTCTTCCGCTAGCCAATCGTGTAAATTTTTGTAAGGGAATTGGAAAAAAATTCTTAGCAACGAGTTATAGAACTTTCCTCAGATTAATTTAATTCCTCTTAAATTAATAACTGGAAATGTTCTGTAAACTTCGAAAAATATTAATACCATCTTTCAAGTTTCAGAAATTCGAAATAACAAGTCACAACAAGGGAAGTTTAATTATATCATAATTGTTATATTTACATTTTATACAAATGTAAGCATCAAACTTTGATTCTGAATGCTCTTCAAATTGCTTTGGTACATACCTGCAATCTATAATTTATTGTCAGGATCTTATTTTTTCAATGTTGGCTTACACGGATGAAATAAATAGTACGATGTACTTTTACGATAAAAGAACAACATATATAGTAAAATTACCAGAAACGATAGGCGCAAATCTGAGCAGCTAGTTAACATTACAATGGGAAATGGATTATATACGAATGCTTTGTACATTTTTTTCCTGCAGAAATTAGCTACTTTTCTATAGAACATGGTTTGTACAAAAAACATAACTCTTCTCTTTTCAAACTTCACACCTTATCATTTCCCTGACATCCAACTGAACATTCAAATAAACGCTTTTGATTTATAATTGCTCATGCATTATCAATATACAAGTCAATTGCACTGTCAGTTAGGTGTCATCCAGAAAGGCATAGAAGGGGGTGGCATCTGGAACCCTGGGGATGCTACAGTCACTAGCCCTGCTATTACATCAGTTAGGTGTCATCCAGAAAGGCATTGTAGGTGGTGGTATCTGGAACCCTGGGGATGATACGGTCACTAGCCCCTGCTATTACATCAGTTAGGTGTCATCCAGAAAGGCATTGTAGGTGGTGGTATCTGGAACCCTGGGGATGCTACAGTCACTAGCCCTGCTATTACATCAGTTAGGTGTCATCCAGAAAGGCATTGTAGGAGGTGGTATCTGGAACCCAGGGGATGATACAGTCACTGGCCTCTGCTGAACATACGTGTCTTGGGGGCTTGACCTTCCAAAATGTTCTGGGTTCTGTCCTGCAAACTGTGTTGAATTCCCAGCAGCAAATGCTTGGCCTTGCTGCTGTGGTGGTGGTGGCGGCGGCTGATGTGACTGAGGCAGTTGCTGTGAAAGGGGTAGACCTGGTCCCTGTGGCTGTGTAAACTGTGGTCCAAATGGCTGCTGTGGATTAAACTGTGGCTGTTGTGGTTGTCCAAACTGACTTTGTGTGAACTGGCCCCCTTGTTGTTGCTGCTGGACAGCAAACTGACTCTGTTCAAACTGTTCTTGACTAGTAAAGTGTGGCTGGCCTGGTTGGCCATATATTTGGGGTTTGCTAGAGTACTGATTGAAAGCATACTTTGCAGCTTCTCTGTGTTGCTGCCTCATTGTCGAGTTCACATCAGTGTCTTCCTCATCATCTGATCCATATGCTGTGACATTACGCAAAGCTCCCTTCATACGCTTTCTCTGGGGCTCCACTGCTGTAAAGGTAAATTGTACAATTTCACCAATTTCAACCAAAAATATCTAAAACATCAGAAGTAACATTAGACATTTCAGGGATGTGGTTGTTCAGGGCATTTGCCCATTTAAGATTTTATCAAGACAAATCACGTCCTTCCACTGTTCTCAGGAAAATGACAATTGCAATTTCAATTTAAAGATGAAAAAAAGCAATAACTGTTAAACGCAACCATTTCTCAGTTTGTGGGAAGCAAATATTACAACTACCTTGATCTTGTAAGGCTCCTAGGGGAGGTGGAGGGGGTGGTGGCATTAGCAGACTGTCTTGATTTTGCCTGCAAAAATGACATATGGCATGGAATTACAAATTCTGGTGTAACTATTCATATCATTTGAAGCTGTTTTGAATCTTCAAATGCAATTAAGGATATGGATATCTGGCATATCTTATATTTGTTTTGTGTGCTGAAAAGTAGCCTGCTGATATGTAACTAGCAGTCAGAAGATTGTTCTCCCAGCAGTTTTATTTTGGAGGGGTGTATCAGTGATTATGTGAGACTTGTGCATAGATCACTTTCTTAACCCTCCGCCCGTTAGAGAAACTTGCACTCATTTTTACTTCTGTCACAATTTCTATTTGTTTTTCTGCTGCAATTCATAAGCAAATATGATCATTTCTCTGCAACTCATTTCTACGTCTTATATCAATGAACCAACAACCTAAGAAAAAAAAAACGATGACAGTTTAAGTACTTTGTAGCAAATAAATGTCCAGATGACAGGATTTATAATGTGGGGCACTTGAAAAGTATTTCATGCTGAGACAACTACACATCTGATCTTTTCTGTATCAACTGTACCTCAACTCCTCTGGGGGTGGTGGAGGTGGTGGAGGCGGGGTGATACCAAAGTGTTGTTGCTGTGGCTGTTGTGGTCCTGCCTGTGATGATGGTGGGGGTGGCGGTGGCCCAGATGCTACCAAGTTCACCAGGTGTGTTGGACCATGCTGAAAGAGCGCATATCCAGCAATAAAACTTTTTTTATCAAAATTATAGTATTCACTGACATTGGTGGGATTTTTTTTTTTACCATCTCAAAATCTTCAATTTGATGTATGTGACATATTATGATGGCTTTAACAAAACACTGAGGAAGCATCCTCAGTATTACTCTTTGCACAAACTATTATACCAAATGTCAACAAACCTGATATCCCAGCAACCCCTCCGGTAATTTCTCCTCCTGTTTCTCCTCTGTAAACCTCCTCTTGTGTGGCTGCTGCTGTTGTTGCTGCTGCTGCTCCATCTCCCTCTGCATGCCAGCAAAGTTATTATAATAAGGAGGCAGGCCCGAGGGGAACCCATCCCCACCATTACTGTGCCCTGGGCTCCCTGGAAGATTGGAGGCCACACTGGCCTGAGGTGCTGGACCACTAGGGCCCATCTGACCCAAGCCTGCCTGCATCTGCTGTTGTTGTTGTTGTTGCTGCTGCTGTATCTGTTGTTGTAACTGCTGGAACTGCTGAGGTGCTGCCTGCTGCAATATTTGCTGACCACCCCCTTGGATTTGTTGCTGGACCTGAATGTAAATGTCAAATAAAATTGCATAAAAATTTAGTTGAATTTAATGCCATATATTTCATAGAAAATGATGTTACATGGGAAACATAACACTACCACAAATAAAACATTTAAATAATTCTGCTATAAAAGTTAGCAATTAGACCCTTTAGTGATTACTCAAACTATACAGAATTTGTCCACTTACTTGCTGTTGTTGCAACTGTTGTTGTTGTTGCTGTAACTGGTGCTGCTGTTGCTGTAACTGTTCTTGTTGTTGTTGTCTTATGCGTGTGATCTGGTTGAGCTGGTTGACAGCATCATTGAGCTGCTGGCTAAGACTGACACTGGCTGGACTTTGTAACAGTGGAGACTGGGATACATCAGGCATTCCCCCTAAAACACCGGTGCCTGAAGAAAAAAATTTCCAATACATATAATAAATAACAAAACCTGACAATAATCATGCTACTATGCTTCTTTCTGGTTCAATCTTAAATCAGTGCTCCTTCCTTTTTATCACAGTATAAAGTAAATGTGTTCCTAAAAAATAAAATTTTGATGCTACTATATGAGTGTTTTTCTTTCTCTTAAACATCAACTCCATAAATTCTTCTTGTCTATTACTTACTTAATCTTGGATCATTTGACTGCAGCCCAGGTGACAGTTCCCTGGGTGGTGGTAATATATGTGGGTGATTGACTAGAGGGGGCGGAGGCTTGGACAAGATCTGATTCAATGAAGTGGCCGCTGTGAGCAAATCTGAAGACCAATGATAAAATCTTTATATATGTCATAAATCTCATACGGCCGATTTCATAAAGTAGGTTTAACTAAACCTAATTTAAGGCTAAAACCTAGACTAGCAAAACCTGGTCTAACTCAAGACCTAAATTGCATTTCACTAACAGTGTAGGAAAGCCAGAAAACCAGGTTTAGCTAAACCAGTTTTAACTTGTCCTTGACCTCCTCTTGAATGTAACAGGATTACATAGACAAAGAAATCACTGAACTGTGTCAATCAGGTAGGCGTAAATGAATAGATGACACACACTAGCGTTGAAGCAGATAAGCTGTGTAGCTCATATGAGAAAAAACTTTGGAAGTAAAGAGCACGTGAAAATGAGCCGAAAGAGAGCGGAGAATTTTTCTGCTGAAGAGAAGGGATACATCTCAGAACTAATAAAGGAGAAGTCCAACATCATTGAATCAAAGAAAGCTCCGGTGAAATGCTGCGATTTCTCAATGTATAGGGTGCTAATCGATCCTCTATCTGTGCTATGACCTCACGTGCTATTTCTTTAGAAATTCTGAACCTGATTTTGAAATCTTGTTCATCATAGAAATCAAAATAATTAACCCTTGCACGAAAAATGCGTCGGCGACGCTCGGGGCGTCTTCTTGCGTCCAAATTGTTAAGTACTCGAATATCACGCAAGTCTATGTCAGCCATCTTTTTTCCAAGCTACAGAGTTAAACCTGGGTCTGACCAGGTTTATTTTTAGACTTGCTCCGAGTCCATAATCCGGGTATCAAAAACTTAGACCTCAATTATGAAACACAAACCTGTCAAGACCAGGTTTAGAATGATGTTAAGCCAGGTTTTACTAGACCAATGGTCCAATACTAAAACCTCCTTTTATGAAATGCAGGCAATCCCTAAACCTGGTGTAAACTCACTTTAGACCAGGTTTAACTTTAAACCTCCTTTATGAAATCGACCGATAATATCTAAAAAGGTTAAACAGCAATCCAGAAAAAGTATGATAAGCTCTTTAGTATTGGCAATTATAATTTACTTTAATCCATGCTTTACATAACCACTTTCCACATTTATAGTTTTCCTGATACAGCCTGTAGACAGCTAGATATATTCTAAAGTAGGCAAAATCCATTCTTTAGTAATGAGCTTTGCATAAGCATACTACATTCCCTGGAATACATACTTTCTGACTGTGCCAGCAGTGATGGCACTGAAGAAGGTGCCAGTGAAGTGGTTAGTGTTGAGCCTGGCTGGAGCAGAGAGGCCAGAGTGGACATCAGAGAGGGGCCGGACACTGGCATTCCCAGGCTGCTGGAGGGTATGACTGGAGTGCTCAGTAGGCTGGGTATACTAGTTGCCACTGGAATCAGCCAATGGAGGCCATCATATACAGTGATAAAACTCTGTTCCAACAGTTTATTTGACATTTTTAGACGTTTTACTTTCATTTGGAAACATGCACTGCTTACCACTTTCAGTTACATTCAATTTTATTTCAGTGCCACTACCACACAATGAACATTTTAAATGCAGATTCATATTAACACAACCTTAACATAAAACTAGAATGCCCCAGGCAGTTCATAATCGATTCCTGCAAATTTTCCCTGCATGCCATTTAAGCTGCGCGCATAAATATCATTTGAACACAACAGCAGAATTGTAATCACCTGAAGTGGGTAGCTGTGCCACGTGTGTCAATCCTAACCCAGGTGGGGCAATCAAACTCTGGCCTGCAACAGATGCTGAAACAGGGGAACATGTCAGTGAGAAAAAAAAAAACAACAGAAAGCAGCATACGCAGACAGTACATGTCAATAGTGGTTGCACCTTTTCCAATAAAAGCACAAACATACAAATAAAACATTTTCCATATGACTTTACATAGTTTTCATTTTGTATATCAAATGAAAAATACTGTACAGCAATAATTGCAATGGTAGAAGCTGTGAAAAATCATTTTGTCAGTCCCTAGCATGCTTCGATCTTGCCATTACTGCTGTCTTTTTGACAGTTTCCCATTGGATTGGGATTCTTTTCCTCCACAAACATGCGCATCCATTAGCAGTGAATACCTAAAACTGATCAGGCAGCTGTAACTGAGTAGTCTTCTTGCATTCCTTGATATAAATCAGTGTTAAAGAAAGGGACATCCATAATCTGTTTGCGCCAAACAGAGAAATATTCTTTGTGGAATACCAATAAATGATGGACAAAAATACAGACAGGAATAAAATATCTTTTGATATTCCTTTTAGTTGTCGGGTAGGGTACTCCTTCAAAATCATTAAATATGGATGGCTGGTGTCTTGAGCAGTCTTCCCTCAATTCTGAGTTAAAATGTTTAAAAAAATTCTATGTTTAATTAGTGAATTATTGTCAGAAACTTAAAATCAACCTAAATATAACATATTACCAGGAATAAAAACATATTACATATGGTGTTAATTGGAAGCAGCAAGTTCAATTAGGTTACTAATATCAAGGTGTAAAGACTTCCAAAAAGCACTTGGATTGCTGTGTAGAAGCACCATCTTACTGCAGTTACTGAAGATTGTATGCAAAGTGACACCTGGGAAAGAACAGGGAGAGGCAAGAGGGGACAGCAGACAACTTGCTTCTACACAAATAATCAAGCACCAAAAATATTTAAAAAAACATGCTTTGCTTTTTACATATACACTATCTACTTCTCACCTCCAGCCCCTTAATTTGTTCAAAAACACAGAGCACATCTTCAGATCAATAATAGGTGCAGAACAGAAGAATGCTTAGTCTAAATAAACTATCTACATTGTGAATTAACATACATGCAAAAGATAGCTATTAAAAATGAGAAAAGCATCATTGGGCTGGAATAACAATTAAGATAATAGCCATTGCACCATTCAGTTTGTCTGTTATTTTTGACAACAGTACTGAATAATGTAAAACAAACATCTGAAAGAGAAACAAAAAATGCATTTCCCAAAGAAAGTAAAATCAATCAAGGTTTTGACTGTCTTTTAATGGTAATATAAAACCACATACATATCTTGCAAAGCAGTTTGTGAGGATGAATCTTTGACACAGGAAACCCTTTAGTCTCAACCTCTGTTTCAGAGTAAGGATATAACTTTGGACATCACGAGTTTCTAGCCAAAGGAATCCACCATATACAGCATCTTCATTGGGAACATCTGTTGTTAAATTGTTGACCAAAAGACCTTTCAGGCAGTTGGCATCCAGGTTACTTTCAGGTCTTCGCATGAGGGAAACAGTACAATAGCCATCCAAACTGCATGAAGTGGGAAGTGATTGTTGTTTCTTTAGTTACATTCCTTCACCTATATTCACTAAAAAGAATGGGAAAGGTCCATTGTCTGAGAACTGAAACAGGAAATGTCTGGTTGCCATGGAAATTAGTGGTAAAGACTTACTCTGGTGCTGTAGGCCTGCTAGCAGTGCAGCTGTACCTGGTGATACTGCAGGAGGCATTGCTGCCAAGGCTTGCTGGAACTGGGCATATTCTTGTTGGACCTACAACAGATTTCACATGGCATTTCAAGGTAAAAATCAAGACAAACAGTTGACCTACAGAGGATGAACAAAAAATGGAAAGTCCAGAATGAGGAAACATACTACCTGAGTGACTGTAGCACTGGCTGGCAACCATCTCAGCTCACAGGAGGTGGAGTTCACTGCTCTTTCGAAACTGACACATTTCCATTTAATCACATTTCATCATTTCATACACACTGCATTCCTTTAAGGAAAGGGAATGTTATAAAAACTATTTGGTCAAAAATTATATGTTTTAGGGAAAATACCCCGTAGACATATAATGTGAAATTCCTGCAAATTCCAATCTGGGCATATTTCTTTTCTATTCACCTGCTTTAAACATCAAGACAGCCTAGTTTTCGATACCTTTAATGACCCAACATATGTAATACGTCCTCTGAAATGGTTTCTCATTGAACGCCTGTATTTTTTGGAATAAAAGGTTTCAGGCATTCATTTATGATCAAAGGAATACAACTGGAGAAACAATCAACCAATCATTCCACACAGTATTTCCTACATCTGACCCACCATCATATCATTCCCTTGCAAACATGATAATAAAAACATATACATATTTACAAACCTTGTATATTACTAATTATGTATAACTTCCTTGGGATTTGGAGAGTAATCTAAGAAATGCAAGCCAACATGCATCAATATAACAATTTGTAAATTCTTATATAACTTTACCCTAAAGAGAATTTTTCATATAAACATCCTTATGGTTCTCTAAAATATATCTTGTTTTTGTTATTCATTTTTTTGAAAAAGAAATCAGCTGCTGAAAAGAAAGAAATCAGTAACCGTACATATTAATTAAGATGAAAAAATTCCATTCCGACAACCTATGGTTAAGAAATGAGAGAGAGAGCACTTTGATCAATTATCTAAGGAATTATAATGTTGAAAAAAAAAAAGGCAAAAACTGAAATGGCAAGTGAGAGAAAATGTGGGTGGATTCCTGCTTAACTTGTGCTAAAATTCAAATGAAGTCCAATCATGAAAAAAATTGACTCATTAATTCAAATAGGGATCATTCAAAAAAAGACAAAAATTCCACCTACTGTTTGTATAAGGTTTGCAGCTAACTGCTTGGTCTGCTGTAAACCCACCATATTAGCATGCCTGAAAAAAAAAAGCTTTTTTTAAGAATACTGCAGTAACAAATTAAATGAATACATATTGATTCATCATTCAATTAACATGATCAAAAGCAATGGAGGCTTTTACAGAGCATTCTTTCTAGAAAACTTGCATGGTCATTGTACTGTCTATGTTAACAAACACATCAAAAAACCATAGACATTCCCAAATTGTTACAATCCCTAGCAGTCAACTCACTGTATAAATATGTGCATGGGCTCAAAGGACTCCCTTCCTGTGGCTGGGTCTATGTAACCAGATCCTTTCCCCTGAAGCATCACTTTGCCTCCAGTTTCCAGCTGGATGTGTTGCAGGAAAGAGCACTAGGACAGAAATAACATGGTTTGAATGAAAATGAATATATAATATGCACTGTCTTAAATTAAGCAAACATATATATATGAACTTGTGGACATGTGATCAATACATGGAGAAGTGTTCAGGTTCCAACTTACCCCTGGACCAAGAAGTTTGTTTTTGACATCAAAAGTGGGTGGGGCATGCTCCAGACCAATGTACAACTTTTCTTGGACAAAGGATAACTGAAAAAAAAAATTACTTCTTGTACATTCAAAGTACATCAAATCAGGAAGCCCATTGGTCATATCCACAAACAATTTAAACATCTGACTTCTAAAATTATGACAATTGTTTACTAAAAGAAAGAATCAAAAGAGCTTCTCACCCCTGGAGGCTGTGTGTTAAGTGACATGAGTGGAGGGGGTGGCTGACTAAGTAAAGGGGGCGGTACACTGGATAGCACTCCAGGCATTGGGGGAGCTGCCAAGGGGTTCTTTAAAGCTGCTTGAGCCATCTTCTGGGCCTTGTGCTTGTAACCATTGGCTATTATCTCCTTGATTCTATCTACTGCTTCTGAAATACAGGAAAGGATGAAAAGATTGTTAGTAAATGTATAATCAGACACTGACAACCTTGCTGACTCTAAAAGCTAAAATTATTTTCTGGAGCACGAGTTATATAACATTTTATCTAACCATTTTTTAAAATATCTCTGTTATGCACTTACTATCAACTGACTCTTGTGTAGCACCTTGAACACACAAATACAAAGGACGATCATTGGCACTGGAAAAAGCATAAACATCATGTAACAAACTGATGATTTCAGATCTTAATACTGAGGACGTTACAACATGAAACAAAGCTATGTCAAACAAAACATAAGCATTTTACTGGGATCAATTTACAAGCAAATAATTCAAGCATCTCAAACCAACTTACTAAAAACACTGTTTAACAATATTCAGATTACTTATCATTCTACATTCAAAAATATAAGAAAGAGCTCACTTGTTAGCATGTCTTGCCTTCTCCTCTGGGTTCATAAATCTCCCCCTGGTGGACACTGCAGCTCCACTCATCTTGGATATCTAGCAATAAAATAACACCAATAATTTACTATAGACTTTTATCCAGACAAATAAAACCTTCCTCTTTACACATCTTTACAGTAAACAACTGTCAAACATGTCTATCAATGAAGACTTTTATGATTACTTCTATTACTTTTGCAGCATGTGATGTTAGAAATGCATATTTTTCAATGCCCATCCTGGCTAATATATTTCAAGAGTAAATTTTAACCATTCGAATCAAGTTCTTTGATTTTACCTCATCTTGTGTTGACCCTCTTGTGAGCATGTTCCGACATCCAATAGGAACATCATTTATTTCTACCTCAGCAACTATCAAGCTATTTGGCTGTGATCCAGTCTGCAAAACAGAACAACCCAAATTTGAATGGAGTGGATAAAAAGGAACAAAACACAATTGTGTCCATAACTTGTGCAAGATCCAAAATCAGACATCTAGATAAGAAAGCCAAAATAGATGTTCACATGAAAAGATACAAAATTGCTCCCTCATGTAAGTCATTTGAAAACCATTCTCAAAATACTTCTGAGATTTCTCTTACTTTTGGTTTTGTTGGTATACTAGCTGGCTGAGATAACTGTGATGGCTTTAGCTTTCCCTTGGCTATTAACATGGCATTCACTTTGGCTGCCGCTTCTGCAGCAGCTTCCAGGCTACTACGTTGAGCACTGGATGCAACAGCAGGATTATCCCACTTGCTGGCTCTGTTTCTACAAAAAAGAAAAAAAAAAATCAGTAGATATTTTTATCAGTGGTTCCAACTTTTCTATCCTTGTTTTTGTCATATAATTTAATACAGGGGCAACTGCACTACCTCCACACAAGGGCTTATCTCCTGGAGGCCATTTAAAGATGAGAAATCATGGTTCACTTAAATGTTACATCAAGTTTCACTTCTGCCCACTGCTATAAATCTACTAAAATCTGATGACTTATACTTTGAATTTTTTCTTTCCACAAAACATGATTTAGTGATAGGGAAAGTATAGCATGTACCTAAAGGGTTTCAGTCATTTTTATATCATATAAGTCAATTTAATCACACTGATCCATTTTATTCGTTTTTCCAAAGGCCAAAACCGTCTTCAAATTTGCCCACACACCCTCCACACAACCTATACCTCTGTAATTTTTAATGCTTATTAAATTATGTGCTGACTTTGATTAATCTCTCTGCCATTCTGATGTACAAGTAACTGAATTGCCAATTGTACTGGAGTAGCAGAAACATTGCTCAAAGTCACTACATACAACCGAAGACTATGTGAGAAAAGGGAGAGAGAGAGAGAGAGAGAGAGAGAGAGGGTTGCAAAAGTGCCGCTAGTTGTTCGAGACGAATAATCACTAATAATGTAAGTGTAGGTCTATAATCTTGAGTTGTGGTAACTATCAACATATCACTTTCACAAGGCAGTGCTCACTTTTTCTACTTTTCTGATGAATTGATAATATGATAATAAATTAAACATAAATAACACGACCAGTTATAACTAGGCAGGAAAGATTAAATTTCTCTCTCTCCAACAAGTACAGTACATCCACATTCAAAAATGCTCAATTAGTATTTGACGCTGTATGCTGACTATTGAAATTGAAGTGTTAATCTTACACGTGAGTAAGTGATTTTATCGCTAAGAAGGTCAAATATTTAGAATTTAATGAAAAAACAGACGCACCTTTCAACAGCTGCCATTTTTCTGTAAGTCTCTTGTGTCGGTCACGTGACGTATTACACGGACACATCTCCGCTAACGCAATGAGTTAGTGAGTGGGAGTAATTTTGTAAAACCCTCACTACTCCAACAAGAAACTATTTAAATTAAATTACTTAATTCGTAATGTTACTTAATAGGCAGATATAATTATTATTTAGAATAATTTATTTAAATTGGTTTGCTTTTATTTAGTAAGTATTTGTCAGCCTTTCACTTTGATAATTAGATTGTTACTTGTTATGGTCTATCTTGGTTTTGAGAGTGAAAGAGGGGCAGTGGATGTTGCTGAACACTACTATGCATGTGTAACGCAATTTAACTCTTCTTAAATCAAAATTTTTTTGACATTGAAAGCTTTGGATATATCATACGACCATCAATCCAAAAGATCTCAAATGGAAATACTTATATTTCAACATAGAAAAGGCAATAAAATTCCTGTGTAATAAATCCTTGGTATTTTATTGTGTACAGACCAAAACAATGAAATACATGAGATGAACAGTGTGACATTTATTACTTATATAAACTTTTACTAAATGAAGAAACAAAACACATGAAAAATGACAATGAGGTTGTACATTAGTCTTTAAATTAACAGTGCACATAACATAATGAAAAAAAAAAAACTTTGGCGCATGAGGACCTTAATTAAATTGATTTTTTACTTGTGAAAAGGAATAAACATGAAATCACAAAATTGGTCCCACAAATTAAATAAAAATAAATACATCATGATGGTAATGATTTTAATTTCAACAGTTTTCTCTGTAAGAGACACATTTCACCATATCCATATACACCTGAAACAAATTATTTGGTTCTTTTACATTTCTCACAATTCTGCTGCAACAAAAATAATTTGAGTAAGATACTGTGACAAACAATGCTTTGTTTTCCAAATAATATAACGCTCTACATATTGCTTTGTTTTTTGATCAAGCAGTTGCTGACGCAAGGTTTAATGAGATAAGTTGTGTTCTAAAAGTAAGTTGTGTTCTAAAAGTTTTTGAAAGTAACAAGAATTTCAAAATGTTGAACATATTAAATATTTCATTTGGCAACTATATGATGCATCAAAGCTGTAGATATCTACTTGAATGCTTTTAAATATGATGCATACAATTGGCATGTATTTGCAGGCTAAAAAGCAAAATTATTTCTAATGTGACAATAAATTCTAATTCCATGAAATGGTTTGTCTTTTTGCTGGAACATGTCCAAATGTTATACACATCCTTACACAAAGAAAGTGATCTTGAACAATTCTTTAATAACTAGAAAAAAAAAAAACAAAACAGCCTTCCTTATGCTCTATATAAAATGATGATGAATTCATGAAGTAATCTTATGACGCTTAAGATAATGTAAGAGATAGTATGGTTGCTCTTAATGTCTACCATTGTGAAATATATATATATCTGACTGCAGCTTTCTGATGTAATTTTATAAAATGTCAGTACTGAGGCAATTACACCAATGGTGACACTCTACCTCAGATGAAATAGTATGAAAAGTATGAAAGTATGAAAACAAACCTCCACTAATTTAAAGTAAGCAACCAGGATTTTTTCACTTTCATTATGAAGACTGCCAATTTCATTTTTTACTATAAAATAGGTTCATAGTAATCTGTTGCATTGCAGCAAATAATTCTATCAAGACAAAAATATATGAGTGATGTCAAAATCTATCTTATGTATGTAATTGACTTCAACACTGAAACCTGCTGGAACAACACCTTTCTTGTTACCTCTTCATTTAAGAGATCAATTAAATATTTTGAAACTTTTGTTGAATATTCTAAAGCTTGGCACAGATTTTTTATGTACTCCACGGGCACTGTCTTTTTCACTTCTTGCTTCACTTTTTGGCGATTTAGCTCGCCTGAAGCCAGGTCTTTGTAAGCTTCCTGTTGAGCCAGGTCCAAGAGAAATACTGCCAGAAGGTTTGTCCTCAGTAATAAATAAAGGTTGTAAAGGCATTTGTCTCTCTTTCTCCCTCTGAATTTCCTTAACAATTCCATGAAAGACGGTCTCTACACACTGATAATCCTCTGCTGCTGTGGTCTCATAGAACAAACATTCCTGCTCTGTGGCAAGTGCTGAGCCTTCTGCTTTACTGACTTGTCTGGAAATAACAATATATTACCTTGTAAAATAAGCATAAATAACTATTGAATGAAAAAAAAATAATAACCTGAAATTATGTAAAACATAGTAACATTTAGAATACATTCAACTCTTAAACTACATTACTCAAGGTTGCCTTATTTATATTTACACAGTGGCGGATTAAAGGGGGGGCTTCGATTTCTGAAAAAAATCACACCAATGATCCCCTCTTGAAATTAGAATTTTCACTAGCTGACCGGGGGGGGAGGGGGGGGGGGGGGTCAGGGGGACCTGACTCCCCTCTTTGATTTCTGAAAAAAGAAAATCACACCAATGGTCCCCTCTTGAAATTAGAATTTTCACTAGCTGAATCATAGTTCTAAACTGTACCAAATGGTACTGTTCGCCGTCTAAAATACCAAAATTTTTCAGGGCCCTTCAGCTGCCCCAAACACCATGCCAACACAGACCCCCCCCCCCACCTTAAATAATCCTGGATTAAGTCCTGTTACATGTACATATATTATACATGTGCTATATTAATATAATGTATTTGTACTAGTAGTGCATTTACCTATATCGTTCTAGGTCCATTTTGTTCCCTACTAATGCCAGTGGAATCTCTCTTGTTGTTTTATTCTGATAATTCAAAACTGAGCAAATGTAGTTCCTGGCTTCTTCATAGCTCTGCCTGCTAGTTATACTGTATACTACTATGATGCCATCTGCCCAACGCAAATATCTTTCAGGGTCTGAACCCTCCTGAAACAAACAATAATCATCTGAGAATTATTCATCTTCAGTTTCATTTCATGTTTCAAATCAATCCACATTTTTAAATGATCACTTTCAAAACCCTTTTGCAACCACTCTAACCAGATATTAATGTATTGTTGAAAAAAATTCCATTACCCATACGACTTTTCAATGCTTTTTTCATCATAATAAAAACCATCTGCTTTAGAAAACAACGAAAAATGAGGTGTTGTTTTACAGTTATTGGACACTGAAATCTGTTTTTCATTTGATGGTTGGTTGCTTTTATTGCTTTTGGAGTGAAAACGACAATTGGCAGGAATATAAGATTAGGCTTTTTATGAAGATTTTTTGTTTTTGTTTTTCAAATTTCTAATTTAGAAAGTTTACAGGCCTTTTCCTTTAATAATTTAATTTAAATGAAAAAGAATTTCCTATTAAGAACTTTAGGGGGAGAGAACTTACCCTATCATAAGTATCCATTATTCTGACTATGATCTCTTGTGCATCTATACATTCATGCTTTGTATATGTATCTTCTAAAAGAGAAAAATTATAAAATTGTGAACATATTTTAACTTTTTTAATAGGAAAAATAAAATACACTTCATATTACATTCAAACTGAAACAAGTGTCCCTCAGATATAATCACAAACTACTGCAACAACATGCTGAAAAGATTTGGTAAATGCGTACACGTAAGTCGCCCACACATAATTTTTTCATAAACAGTGTTTGGAGCTTATCAGCTATATTTACTCCAGTAATACTTGTGTGGCTTTACATCTCATATTAGTAAATGCGTCATTACTCAAATGCCCTGCAACTCTTTCAGAGACTCAGAACAGTAGCATCCCACAAATCTCCTACCAGATGGATTATCAAAGCAATAAAGCATCTATTTCAAATGACCTCTGGCAAATTATCAGACTGAGTATGATTTGGTTAATAAACAGACGTAAATGAACTTATTGGTCTCTCAATGGCCTCATAGTGCCAATGGAACGTCAACAGCTCTTGTTTTTGTGCTGGGAAATCATCTGAATTCTGAGAACAATTTCCTAATTACAATGCAGGTCACAATGGTGCACAGTAACATATAATCCTTTTTCAATATTTTTTCTTTTCATTGTCTGATGAAAAAACAGTAACAGATAAAATGCTTTTTAAAGTGAGCTTTACTACAAAAATAAAATCACTTTGACTAAATTTGCAACATCAATGGGTATCTACTCAAAGCCATTTTGATGTACTTGTATACTCATTGTTAGTTTTCATGATAATCTGTGAGATAATTTTTACAACTCAAAAAGAAAAAAATCAAACATTACACACCATTCTTTCTAAAATATTTTCTGGCCCCGAGATGCTTTTCCAAAGCTTTGCCTTTTCTTCTTGTCAAAAAAGGTCTGAATTACAAATGCCTGATAATTCAAAACACAAATTTGAAAGATGCTTGAAAGTATGATATTTGCATCTACTGGTTTCAGAAACAATTCTTTCCTTTTCTTAGGCCTGTCCTGTCATTAAAAAAAAAAAAACATTTATAATATTGAGAGATACAGGTAATTCATTAAACAATGACGCAAAATTGTAATATGAGAATTGCATGATTATAGTGTAAACAAGTAGTATACTGAACATGCCAAATGTTGATTTTAATTTCCCCCATACAGCTATTTGCCAGTCATTCTTATAATCAATTTTTGTTGCAGGTGTTTACTGAGAGTAACATGGTCTGGTAAGCACATGGTGTAAACAATTTACGTCTTCTCTTCTCCTCTGCGCAATATTTTGTTACTGAACGGTACAGGAGTACTAGTAATCATATTTGCCATTACTTGATACAGCATTTCTAGTTTAATTCAGGGGAAATAGACCCATATATATATATATATATATATATATATATATATATATATATATATATATATATATATATAAGAAATGTGGAAGAAGGGTAATGGTCACGTCCAAAACATGATCTTTGCCTTTCTTCATTTTTAACAATTTTCAATGTAAGTTAGATATAAAGTGAGCGTAGAATCCCTATAAGGCATATAAACCACTTCCACTAGTTTCTTATACAACTAAAATTAAGTTGCCATGCAAGGTCATAAACCAAATTTATCCATCGTTCTGCTAAAAAATAGGTTTAAAACTGCACCTTCTTCAAATTTTTGGTCGTAAATTGACCTTTTTATCCATCACTTCACTTTATTTAAGTCCCATAAATGACACAGTTTTATGCAGGCATTGCATAATCATCACTCTCATTAAGATGTATCAAACTATAGCTGCCCACACAATTGCTACTTATTTAAATGAATTTCCTACAAATATTTATAGCACAGAAAGAAAGCAGAAAATATCCATTCAAATATCATTTTTCAGGAAATGCCCTTTTGTATTTCTCTACATTACACTATTTGAAATGATATCGCGGCATTTGGTTGGGTTTTATCACAAAAATTTGACTTTAAATGCATCTTTAATAATAATTTCTCTGCTTTTTTTCAAGAATACAGAAGTACTGTTTGAAAAAGATGTCTTATAAAAAGTAAATTACAAAATCAAAATGTGATCATCAGATGAGGTACAGAGCCCGTTTTAAGAGTCAGGCCTACTTAACTACCAGACGTGGCACGGAAGGATCCAGAATTCACTGTAGATCGCACCACACTACCAGTTTTCAAGATATATATATCAGAACGCGTTACAAAGTATCAGATGCAGCATGCAAACCAGGCAAGAGGGTGCTGCATCTGATACTTTGAAGCGCATACTGATATACACCTTGAAAACTGGTAGCATGATCCGATCTACCGTAAATTCTGGATCTTTCCATGCCGTGTCTGGTAGTTGGGTAGGCCTGAGAGAAATAACTGAATCAGAAACTGCTTCTGTAAAGCCTTTGGTCCAGTAAACCTGCCATCAGTGTACGTGATATCAAACAGGCTGTGGTTTATTTGGAAGCAGATGGGAAAGGGGAATGATTCCAGGCACATATCCAAACAACAAGCCAATTTACTGAGAAGTGAAAAAAAAAACTTGGCCAGTATGCCATCTCTTCAGGTATATCGAAAACGCCAACCAAAAAGTTGGCATGTTAGCATAAAGACACCGGAGTACCAGGTGTGAAATTAAAAAAAAAAAGAAAAAAATCAATGCATGGTGGGTTGAAGATAAACATACTTAAAAATGGATAACAAAATTCCAATACTTACCCATATAGGGATCATACTCCATTATATATCTCCGTGTCAGATACTTGACAGTCAAAGCTAAAGGAGAAAAAAAATCTGCATCAAAACCAAATGTTTGTTAGATCCAAGTATAGAAATGTATATAAAACATGATAACATTAAAATAAGAAATATATTTTTAATTCTGAAGCAAAATTTAAGCCGTAAATAATTATTGTTTTAAATTGCAGCCTTCTGATAAAACACACCAATAACATCTGACAAATGCCAACTTTCAAGACACTTAACACAGAGTGAATCTATGACAATAAGTTTTGTTGAATATGTATACATTAGACAGGTAGAGGTAAAGTTCAGACATCCAAGGAAGACAGACAGAGAGAGAGAGAGAGAGAGAGAGAGAGAGAGAGAGAGAGAAACATTTTTTTCTATTCCATACATTTTATTGATAAGAGAGAGAGAGAACATGCCTTTCTAAAAAAAAAATTACATGTGCAGTACAACATCCTTAAAATGGTTGGTTTCTGTCAGAGTTATGCATGTAATGGTGTTGAAGTAGTAAATAAGCCAGTTACTTTTTCATTAACCTGCAAAGCCTTCAAAATACCATGAAATGAACCAAAACGAGAAGCGTGTTTTATGGTACTGACCTTGTCACCCCAATCAACCAATCAAAGAGATGCATATCCTGAGTTATCATGATAAATCCCCTTGAAAAATATAGCACTGGGGATGATCACTTTACACAGGTTCTTATTTGAAAGGTAATTCCATTATACATGGAATTTCTTAAGTTTTTTGTCTTAACTGTTAATATAAGTATACCTGGATTTAATTAGAAGAAAAAAATGAGTCTATCAGATTTGACTGACTGAAATTAGTTTTTTTTTTTTACTTTATAACCTTTGCTACTGGATTTTACTTCATCCATCAAAAACAGCCTCATTCAACCATGATACCATTTTATGGTAAGTGGGAAAGTATTTTTTAATTGGACAGGGAAAGGTAATATTTGTTTATCAACTGTCACATTAAGAAATTCAATATTCAAACAGTTTGCATACATAGTTATTTTAGCTTGATCGTGTTACCATGTGCACTGTAGATGTAATTTAATATTCTTTTATTTACGCATAGAACTATCCAAATCCTTTTTTTCTTAAAAAAAATTAAGGCACTGAAAACAAAGCCCAACATTACGAGCAAGCAATCCTTGCTTCTGAAAAAGAAACTACTTTCTCCCAGCATTGCTTAATCAAATTAAAGATAATCACAACTGAAATTCCAAACAGATGGCACTGCCGATTTTGTGGTAATAATACAAGAAATGTACACCCATGTCTAAAACACTCTGAATGCCAAGTAAAGATGTTCCCTGATTGTTATGATGTAATAGAGTAGGCATTGCTAAGGTTACATGCTGGCTTAAAGCAAATGCTAAAGAACTGAATATCCAGTTCAGAGGTTGTGCAAAAGGCAGTAAAAACAATTTACATGCCTTTCATCTTTCATGTTTTTTCCTTGAACATTACTGGTTATGACATTTTTCTTACCTTTCACATATTTTACCTAGCAGGTAGCTGTGGCATGCCTGTAATTGCTGCCCAGAAATGAGAAGTCTGACACTCAATGAATTTTGTTATATTAATTTGTTTTTATTTGGTAGGGCACAAGTTTGCTTGGATTACAATATGGGATTGTAAGTTTGAGACATACTTGTTCAAAGTTTAAAAGAACCAAATGAGAAGTTTCAAGTCAGTTACGTTTTTCAAACAATGACAATATTATTTGCCCATGATAAAAATGACAACAACTATAATGCATAAAAATTAATGAAAAATATCTTCTCCCAATTTATCTCACACAATATGATAAAAACCATGTTTCTAAGCAGTCCTTCACAGTTAAAAGAGAACTACAGAGGCACTGAATAAATCTAATGTCTATTTCTTTAACTGAGAAGTAGTCTTTCATCTATACCTGAAGGTAAAAGTTTGACTTGTTTCTAAAACAAATCTTAGTGTAAAGTGTAAGCCGTGCATAATGGTTTTCCTACAACACTTGATGTTGTATTATGCTACAATCTGGTAGCACATTTCCCAGAAATTGCTTGTGGCAGGTTTAACAGAATTTGTGTAAAAAAATGTTCAAACTATGAAAAATGTTTGGATTGAGCATAATTACGGAGGATATGTCAGTCTTCTTGAGTTTTAAAGTGTATGCAAAACCAGTTGACCTTATCGGTGCAAGTTTTAAGGTGGCAAGATAACATGCCTCAGAGAAAGTGACATTTCCAAGGTACTTCACTTCTTCTTTATTTCCCAGATGTGCCGCCTGGCTGAATTGCTATTTTTAAAAAGAGCCAGATATGCCTTCCATTCTAATCATGTTGAGTCTCAATTTGATTAAATGAGGGTAAGAGATATACCATTAAATTCAATGGTCAAAGCCTGGGAGAAAATTTACTTCAGATATGTTCACTCTGGCTCCACTTGTGCAGAAAGTGGTGAGCTGGTTGCAAGGTGGCAAAACAGGCAGGTTTAAAACCCTCACATGGCACCCTTTTTAAATTGGCCTGTATCTATCCCCCTTTCCCTCATTTACACCCTGCTCTCTTCATCATCAAACAGGTAAAAAGCTTGAAGATACATGCAGATTCCAACAGTAACAAAAACTAGAAGAAATCTAACAGCTAAGAAGTAATAATTCTTTGTTTTAGTTTGACAATGTACTGACATTGGGAGTATTCCCTGACTGAGGTCCATGAAACTATGTGTTATTTCCCTCTCAGTTCAAATTGGATAAAACAAAATGATTAAGATATTCGTATGTCTCTTTGCCTTCTCTGATATTTGACATTCTTGACATCACAAACAAAACTGAAACTAAGGGACCATTCCCACAGATATTTGGATCGATCCACCTCCCTGGGGAGTCTCACTAAATTGCTATCAACTTAACAGGCTTAAATGTCTGTCACACCTAGTAAAGCTGTTAGGGGGAAATTATCTTTATCCCGTAGCTGATTCGGTAGGCGTGACAGACATTTAAGACAGTTAAGTTGATAGCAATTTAGTGAGACTCTCTAGGGAGATAGACTGATACATTACAGATGGATGGAACTACAGTAGGTGTGGGAAACCAGTCTAATAGCATACAGCTCTATGCAGCCACCTTGGATTGATTGCTTTGCATCAATTTTATTCTCTTTTCAACAAACATCTGATCCTGGGTTTCAGCAGGCAATACCACATATACATTGTAGAGCAAGTCATTACAATCTACTAATTATTATAATAGCCAGCAAAACAAAGAGAAAAAAATTCAATTCATACCAACAGGTGTGTAGGAAATGGTATTGGATGCTGTACATGGCAAAACAACATAAACCAGAAATTACTTTTACAGTATTTACTCCTTTTTGTGAACAGATGCCTGTCATCTTTCACACTGTACCTACTGTATCTAATTTCCACCAATCAGCTTATTTTCATTGCTTGCATAAAGAAAGATTACCGGAAATATAGTTCAAAGTAAAAAAAGTGTTTTCACCAATAACAAATGCTCATTTCCTTGATCCTTCATATTGTTTTGGACTCCCATTTCAGGAAAAATGATACAATAAAGGGACAAAAAGCATATTTCAAATGGAGTTTAGAATATCTAATTGTTTTAGATTTTTTAATGGTTTTCTTATTACAGACAGTAAAATAAAACATCTAAGGGTCTGTGGTATACCATGTTTCAATGCATATACATGTAGTTACCAATATTTTTAAAAACTCTGTATGTGTACATATTCATCAACACTGGAAAGTGCTATCCTATGGATAACACTATCTGAAATTGTTATCCTCTGGGCAATTATCCTGTGGGTTAAGTAATGTTTTCTAAACACTAGGTAATTGTTTTTGTTCCTGATATTGCTATCCAGTGGTGAAAAATGGCTACCAGTCTCAGGATAATTGTCCAGAAGATAACAGTTTTATCATAGGATAATGCTATCCAGTGTTAATGAAACTGGGCCCTAGTGCATAGAGAGTAATACAGGCCTACCCAACTACCAGACTCGGCACCAAATGATCCTGAATTCACCGGTATATCGGACCACACTACCCGTTTTCAAGGTGTGCGTCAGCACGTGCTTCAAAGTATCAGATGCAATACCGCTCTTGCTTAGTACACTATGTGATAGTACTGATTCTTAGTGGGGTTGGAAAGTAGTGCATCTTATCTCAAAATTTGTTCCGGGGTAGGATACTGTGAAATGCGTGCTGACACACACCTTGAAAATGGGTAGCGTGGTCTGATATACTGGTGAATCCGGGACCATTCGGTGCCGAGTCTGGTACGTAGTTGGGTAGGACTGTAGTAGCAGGTACAACAGCTAGGTGCACCTTGCTACATGTACCACAGAATGAAAAGTGACATGTTTCAGGACATTTAAGATATCTTGTGGTGCAAAGTTCACAAAAAGTGCAGTAACAAAGTGCATATACTGTTAGTCTGCAGGTGATAGTTTGTAAGCTCACTGCCAACAACGTATGTCAATCAAGTTAATGCATTGGCTAACTTATTAGGCAGCCCACACAATATCCTAAGGTGTGCCATTATTTAGCATGATCTGTAGCTAAAGATTAATTAATTCTGTCCACAAGTTGCCATCAATCCCCACTGAACCAAACCACAGATAAATCTCCTCACTCCCTTTTACCGGCCATAATCAGACTTCTGGGATTCTACCCTTTTCAACTAAAGATGATATACTGAATTAAATCTAACTTCATCAATATTCATTTATTATTTATGACTCTGGATTCCAGGAACCTGGAGTTTGTTCGATTTTTCTGATACCCAAATATGGCTGCAGTATTTTGCAGTACTTTACTAGGTCCACATTGGTCACTCACTGAGCTGGTTTACAATAAATGGATCATACAAATTCCTCCACTCAATATACTTGTAATCATACACATTATGCATTAATTCTCATTCAATATGGTTGTAATATTGATTAAAAGCCACACAAAATATGACATCAGGAAACCACCAAATCAAACCGACAAAACGCAAGTGGTTGCAACCCATTCCTAACAACCAACATGTTGTCTACATTCTCTTCAAAGGAAATCCAAAATAGAGTATTTCCAGCCTTCAAGCCACATGTTTCCCTTTCTCTCCTTCTTCATACCATATCTTTTTACCTCAGATACCTCACAATATAGTTGTATTATATTAAAATGGACAGCTTTTTTCTGAAGAACAGAGAAGCTACACCCTTTGGTTTACATCTGCAACTACTTCTAAATGTTTATTTTTCATTAGCTTACATTTCGTGTCCAAGACATAGTTAAAATCAGCACTGATCTACACAAACATTTTTTTTTTGCATGAAAGTTGTTCCTTTGGATCATAGTTCATATCTCTTTCACCTTGGTGTTCCTCTTAGGGCCTAAAGGAAAGGAACTCTCACCACACCACAAGGGTCAAGGTGTCTGCCCACATGTATATATACATCAGATCCCAGATAGACTATCCCACTGAATGTGTATTCTGTCTCTATCAAGTAGGAGAAAATGTATTAACAGGAAATCAGAAATACATTAGGTTATAAACAGCATATCATTTTGGCTTTTGCTAATCTAATTCCAAGAGTCTCTCCAGCCCCCTGTCTATGTCTGGAAAACTCCTGCTCAAATCAAATTAGTAATGCATAGTTTACCTTTACAGGCAAACTGAGAGATTTTCTTGGGTCAACAGAGTAGCCATATTCACAGTAGCTTTTTTTTTCAAACCATTTATTTTCTGAAAAGGTAAAATTGAAAAACATTTCTTGCATCTGCAGTTCTGAGTTCAAGAGAAGAGGGAGTTGGGAAGTGCACTTACTGAATAAATAGTATGAGTTAACCCCTATTAGACTTACAAAGATCAAACACTTTAATATTCCTGAAATAATATTCTTGCTTTAAAAGTAAACTAATTAAAGAAACCACAGAGCTCAATCTTTACCACAGACCATTTCACCAGGTGCTCTTTTCTGGGATAATTTGATCCCAAGTGCTGTGTGAGAACATGAAAAACCTAACAGACTGTGAAAATCAAAGAGGTGTAAAGCGACATGATTTCAGTGCCTTAAAAAAATGTGCAGCAGCAGTCAACTCATGTTACTACCAACTCCTACTCGACTTTGACATGTTTCAGCTTTCCCTGAATCAGGCACAGCAAGAATAAGAGTGTGAGTTGGAGGACAACTTGACAGCACTGACAGACAGCTGGCAGCTTGTTCACTCTTAATTATCCATTATAGAAATCCCCTCTGATAACAAGTTATGTCTGGCAGCCTTATATATTTGAGTTTACTAAATCAAATAGCATCAACACTGGAAAACATCCTAATAGATTTCTAGCGTTTGGATGCAGAAACTGCTAATGTTAGTGAACATGATAAATGCATTGGCCAAAGTCATACATCAATCAACAGGAAATTCACAAACAAATGATTCTACAAGCAGCAATAACTTAGTGAGAGAGGCAGCTATTTTTTGCAAAAAGTCTGCTCTGGTGATCATTTGTTGTGAATTATACTGTCTGTGCTCCAGATATGAATGTTTGTACTGTCCTAGAACAAAGAAAATGGATTAATGAATTTCAGCTTACCTGACTTTCCTACCCCAAGTACTCCTAGTAATGCAATGTTGAACTCTGGCAGCGAAACAGAAGATCCATTCCGCTGTGGTTTCCTAGAAGTCATAGTTGCTGTATTGCTTGCATTTGCTGTCGGCATGAATGTTGTCTTGTAACAGTGACAAATTACAGAACAATATTCTTCTTTTCCCTGAATCAAAAGCTGCAGATTTTCCAGACACTTCTTCACAGGGTCTTCACAGTCACTCTGTAACAATAAAAGCAGTTAAATTTGAGCTAGGCAAATGAAATGTATGCCATTTGGTGTCAATGTTTCCAAAGGCAATGGTCATCAAGTCCCTTGAAACCCAATTTTTTTCCTTGCATCAAGAGCAGTGTTTTGTAGTATCCACTAGTGACCATCATCAACAATGTCCAATTAAGTTATTCCTTGGGCAACCCAAAAAGTTGGGACTACTTCAATTTTCCTGCCTATTCCAGCAACTTTGTATTGCATAAGCTACTCCAGGTAGAGAGCAGTGACCTCTGTCTAAACAGTCAAGTAAACAAGCTAAAATAACAACAGCATACAGTCAGTTATCCTATCGTCTGGTTAGAACTTACTGGAAACTTATATCAAATCTTGAAATAAACTCAATATATATGTACCTTCAAGAACTATTACATGAATCAACACCAGTTCCAAATTTGGACACGAAATGTGTTATTTGTGCTTTTTATAGGAAAAATAGCACCTCTATTTGAAAACTTTAAAATAAATATACATCACATTTCAGTTTTACCAAAAGCTTTGCAATCTTGTTACTAACTGTTACATTAAGTTGAGAATGAAGAACCACGAATCTACATAACAATGAAAAACAGCAGGAAAAAACCTAAACTGTAAGAGCTACAGTACCAACCTTTTCAAGCCAATGTCCTTTCTGCAGTAAAATGCATTTGTTTCTACCAATAGTTCTGAAGGCTAATAGTAGTACAACTGGTTGACTCTGGTTCACAACTAGGCCTCCTGTGAAGAGTTATGACTTTCGAAGAGAAATAAATTACTCCACAATTACTTCACTTGAGCACTTTCAAATTAAGACCACATTTCCTACTTCTAGTTTTGCCTCACTTGTGCAGGAAAAAAATGGACCACATCAGACCCTTACCATAGGTTTACAGGAATTTTGGCGTAATGTCTTTAATTCGTCAGCCTCCAGCGAAAACTCAACCTTCCCACTGTTCCCTTTACATGTGCTTTTATATTTTACAACAGCACTGGTCCTCAATCAGATCCTGCCACTTTTGAGATTAATGCAAAACATAGTGTTCTTGGTGCAGTGGTTCTCAGTTCTACATACCAGTACAGCAGATTTTTACACCTATTTCCAGCTATCTGTACAATACATCAAACTGCATCTGATAATCCCATTCATTCAGCACTCATCTTCCTAATGACCAAAATGAACTTAGCTAAAGCTAAACCCATCTAAGCTCTCAGGTGCTATTTGCCCAGAATTTATGTCTTGCCTGCCAAGCGACCAATCAGCAACTGGTAGTGTGGGCAGTCCAAGCTCCAAATTGTTCAGCAAGTCTATCCATTGACTGAATGGGTGAACAGTAGGTAGAACCAGGAGTAACGGTATTATATATTTAAATCAATTAACGCAATGTTATATGTCTGTTCAGTAGTACACTTATGCTACCATGATATCCAGAAGGATTTGAATAAATACCAGAAGGATTTGAATAAATAAAATTGCTTTTTTCTTCTTATATCTAATATACATTTTTGATGGGCTAAATTTGATTTTGAATTACATAAAATAACGATATTTAATTTAGTTGAAATTAACAGATTTTACACACACACATTTCAAAAAATTGACTAATAATGAAAACAGTTTTAGGTTTAGTGTACTTTTAATTATATGAATGCCTGTCATCTGAGAGCCCATGTAAAGCAAAGGTGAGGCATAAAGGCAGACCACTTAACTGTGCTCTTTTTTTGTCTTCCACATGACAGGTGCTGACAGCATTGCCTACATTCTGGGCAAACCTTGTCCACCTTTCTTTGCAATTGGCCAGAAATGTTTCTGAGAACTTAACTTATCCCTTAATGATAATGATGGCAACTGATGTATCTATATATTTAGCAGAAAAGATAAAATTAATGACAAGTACTGAACTGGCTAACATAAACCACCATTTCACATTTGAGTTACGTAAGAGTGCAATTTTCAAACACTCACAAAATTGAAAAGTTTCATATCAACAGACTGCACTTAATGTAAGAGTTATGAAGCATGCTTTTTGGTTTATTTTCCACCTAAAAGCTAAAATGACATGATGGAATAAAGTGCTGCCTTAGGATTTTTGGGAGGCTTACTTCATCTTAAACTTATTTAGTTTATATGTATTGCAAACTGTGAACAGAAAGAATATTCTTCTAATGAAGTTTGACACCTGTGCCAGATCTTCTGAAATCACATTAAAAATAGGCATGCAGAGAAGCACAATAACCTCCATTTCCAGAAAATTTGTAAATTAAATCCTATAGCTTTTGTTGATTTGCACCACCTGATTGAGTAACTCTCCTCCGCCAAAATAAACACACTTACCAAGTGAGTGGATGGTAAAAATTTCTGTAGACATGGTAGGGAAACATACATTGGTTTTTACTTCATTGAACAATTTATTCCTTCTAAATGTATTAAGCGAGACCATAATAGTTCATTCTGCTGGTGTTTGATGGCAGACTGATTTGGTTTTTACAGCTGTGGTCTACCTGCTGCAAACATTGTGGTTTTATTTTAATGCTTATGTCATGTTAAATAGGGCTGTAAGGGCAGTGGTCTATTTTCAGGGAGGTAAGAGTCTTAAATTGTCAATATTAAGCTGTGTTCTGAATTAACATTGAGAGACAGAGACAGACAGATAAACAGAGAGAGAAAGAGAGAGAGAGAAAGAGAAAGAGATTCCTTCCTTCTATTCCATAGATTTTCTTTTTTCTTGATAAGTCACCATAATGAAAAGCTACTCCCTGTAATGCAGTGAATTTCTTTGGTGAAAACTATAGTCACACCTGTTGTTGTTTCTAAATGCTTGATACTGGCTTCTACAAATGTTCAAGGAAAAAAAAAAACTCAGCAAATAACCTTGCAGAAAAAAATGTCAAAACTCTTAAATTAGAACCAGAAAACACCTGTATGGCCAGATTAGAACTCTGATTATCTATTTATTCATTTCGATGAATTTTGGTGAAATGGAGGGATATTTTGTAACTTAAATTCACAAAAGCAAATACTTAACAATTCCTGCCATTGATTGTCAAAATTCAAAATAGCTGAAATTCTTTGCCTTTTATCTACTTTTTACTCTCTCGAGTTATCAATGAAAGTCCAACTTAAGTCCAACTGTGAGCTATGATAAGGAAATAAGTACTTGTACTCTCATTCCCTGACAAATACACAAAACATGTATTTCTCCGTTTCAAGAAGATCACCTGACTGAAAGTATTTCTGTAACAATTTCCGGCATTTGATGTGTGTGCTCAGCTACTGCAATTTTGTTTAAAGATTAAAATCAGTTGTGCACCTCCATGGTAACCAACTCTGATACAATCAACTTTCATTAATTAAGATCACAAGTTAGTTTCATTTTACCTTCCTACTATCAATACTGAATTCTAACACATCAGTCTCATGAAAAAGCATAGATATCTGCATCTGTTTAGTAACAATAAAAAGCTTAGTGTTACATCATGTTGTCACAACACATACTTTATCATTTCAAATATTACCTTTGCCTCAATCAAGGTGGACCTTCAACCAAAACATAATTAGCAGCACATCCTATCAAATCTGCCTCCAGGTAGGGTAAACCCTTATATCACAGTTGCATAATCTGAAGTGGTTACTTCCTGGGGTTAAGCTGTTTACTACCCAGACTGACTCCATCAGATCTAAACAGTTTATAGATAGCTGATCACTAGGAGTAATCATCAACCTTTGATGGACTAGGCAAAAATAGCCAGGTAACACAAATCATCAAAATCATATCCTAAACTAAGCTGCCTATAATACGTTCAATTAGAAAATATATCTGGAAAACCTAACATTTATATAATATAGTATATTAAGTTGGTGGTTTTCCGAAGAACTTTTATTTGGAAAACAATTACACATTATCTTCAGGGATAATGTTATTCACTCATACTTTCAAAGTAAATTTCATTCTTAGATTTAAGATTCATTAGATATACTTTTTACAAACTTGATGTGTAAAGATTTAATCCAAATATTGACTGTTATAGCCACTACTATTTCTTTTTCAGCCAGATACAAAAACGGATAGATCAAATTTCACAATGATTTCTGTTATACATTAAAGATACCTTTTCCCCATAAATTGACAAATGTCAGTCATACAATGAGTTTTGTTTGACTAACATAACCTACCTTGCACAGACATGTTATACACATGCATAAATATTCTACATGCAATAAAATGGTTCATACAGCAACATAAGTGGTGGATTTTTTGCAATAAGCTAGGAGGTTGCAATAAAATATGCTTATGTGAATTATCAGGCAATGTGGGAGTAAACTTGCATGAAATAATATAACAAAATATGTTGCAAACATATTTATTTCCAGGCCTAGTTGCTGCCACTTATGTTGAGTAAGAGATGTTTGTCAATCCTTTGTTACCGTTTTGTATCTGGGTAACAAGACATTTGCTGTTATATAGATTTAAAAGTGATAAGGTAAAACTGAATTTTCATGTTATATTTTTCCTGAAAAATAAAAACAAATCATCTGACCTGTTAAAATGAGAAAAAGTCACTTAAGCATTGCACAAAACTACCTGTTCCATCTAGTCAAGCAATAATACCTTGGGTTATATTCTAAGCTACAAAACTTTAAGACAGATCCAGTTTACCATTTGCTTATAAATGTAATTTTTACCTGCTATATTCTTGGGCTTTTCAATGAGCCTACATTTTTTTGTGGCTTTGCTTCCATTCTGACATTCAAGTTTGTCAACCAGCTCTGCACATGTTCTCCTCATCAAGTGGACTGTGCCAGCTTGTGCTCTGTCAACAATCATAAGAACAAAATCAAATTTGTTGACATGAACTCACGCATAGGTCGAACAATACTTCAAAGTTCATTCTTTCTGAATCTCAGAGCTTCCTTTACCTTTCTTCAGTTCTCTAAACAATAGTGCATAATCAGCTGTGCTTTATCAACAGAGGCAGGATGGGTAAGAATTCTAGGAGAGTTTGGTAAACAAAAACCTGGTACCCACACTGCAGTTTAATGTTTATGCATCTGATAAAATCCCCATAACTCCAGCTCAACTTCCACAGAATTAAGTATTTAGCAACAGCTCTTACAACTAACCTGTATCTTTTGTAGTCTTTAAAGGATGCCAAGTGCACAATTTATTCTGCCCAGGCAACATCATATATGCTAAACATACCTTTCAATTGTATCGCAATTTACAGGTCGCACCTTCTTTCACAAGTCACCTGGATATGCTAGGTGGTCCCATTGTCAGGGTGTCAAACACGTGCATTTGGCATTCATGAAACATAATGTCTTGATGCTTGAAAAAAAAAATATGATGCATGTTATATTTGCAGTGAAAACAAAAATTCATAACCTAAACTTAACAATTTTTTCACTCCAATATATTATAACATGTATGATGCTAAATCTTGTTAAACTACATTTTCATTTAAATTAAACATTAAATAATGATCAAAATAATTATTGCTACAAATAACGCCTTATTCGATCAGATGGGTCAGATGGCCACAGACTTATTCAATGAGACATGCTCAGCAAACAAACTAAGCTTTTGCCTCTTGTAATGGAGCCAATTTACTGATTTACTTAATATTTTGCTTGATAATAAATGTGAATTTAAAACTGTACTGGGCAAAGTCAACAGGCATTATCGTGTAGGGATCATGAGTGCTATTTGAGCTAATGACAATATTTTCTTACCAGGCAGTTTGAACTGGCATAGGAAATACCATAGTGCAGTAGATGAAACCAAGCCTTTTAAAGGCACCAATTAAATTTGGGAGTAGTTTGCACTGGATTCATACATTATGCTAAACAGCAGTTTTTATGTGAGAATAACAAAAAATTAACAGAACTTGTCACATAAACAAAAATATGAAAATTTTATCCTTCATATATCTACAACAGCATGTCTATATTGCAGCTTACTTAAAAGTTTGTGCATTGAACAATTTAACACAAAATCAGCTTAACATAAAAATTGGAATTTGAAATCAAATTCATTATAGCATACCTTTTAATTGGGTAAAAAATAAAGAAAGAAAGTGAAATTTTCTTTGCTAGAATAGGAAAATATCAAAATTTGTTTGGCCTCAAAAATACATTTAATTGTAATTATGACACTTTGGTATCTTAAAAGATACAAAAAAAAAAAAAAATCAAAACAAATTCTGAAATGAATTCAAGGTTTTATTTTTTAAAAAATCTAAAAACACATAATGAGCATGAGCACATCTGTGTACATTTCTTTAACACAATTTTACACAACTTGAATAAAATCCACATGCCAAAAAATAACAAAAATTAATCACTTGGTCAGTCAAAAGAAAAAAAAATGGCTTTAAATTTCTGATTGTTAACTTATTCTACTTTCCAGTATATCCCTCACCAGTTTGTGATAAAACAAGAAATTAAACAAAAGGAAATAACGAAACAAAACAACTTTATTTACAAATGATATACTTCAAAGTGCAAAGGACACACAGTTATTCCTATATGTGGATATTTATAGTGTTGAAAGGTTTGAAACACTGGGTGTTATGAGGCCTAAGCTGCAGTACGAACCTTATATGTCATGTAAGGCCAAAAACTGAAGCAAGCCTAGCATGCAAGCCTGAAAACTGAGGAAAAAATTTGGCCTGATAAAAATGTGACATCACATGGATAACAATCACATGGTAAACAAAGTAATAAAACATATTTCTTAATTTTAAAATCTTACTGTTTAACATTATATGTTGCAAGAACTTTTTTCCAAAATATACCCTGGCCTTTTTGGGACCTGAAAGAAATAATTTTTTTAATCGTTATTCCAAAACCGTTGAGGGGTATAACAGTAGTAAGTTTATTTTTAATGTAAACTTTACTTGTAGCTCTCTTCGACCAGACACCACCAAAAGCAACCACAAGCTGTGACCACCACTAAGCACAACAACAACATTAATATTTAACAACAAAACACACACACACACTTGGTTGCTATGAATGCTCGTGCTAAATGTATCTTGAAACATTAAACTATTTTACTTTTTATTTATCTTGTAAACGATTTGCCTGAATTGTCTTACCCTCGACCCTCAGGCACCAAACATCACACCAAAATACACATCTTGGCTCGTCTTGGAAACAATAAAAACAGAAATCATATCATTGGAAAATAAAATTTGACGGGAAGCCATTCAATTTGAAAATTGAATTGGTTTCTTTGAAGAAAAATTTCATCTCTTTGATTTTATTACATACCTTCTGTGAATGTTTTCTTATCAAATCATAGCTATATATATTACAGTTTTCCGGACTGAAATCTTAGTTTGACGCTAACCCCTGGCATGACGTCATTGTGCGCAAAATTGGGAGCGCACCACTGAGTGAACCGCCTGAAATGTCTACAGAAGTTTGTTGAAGTAAAATGCCGTGGGTGTAAATTACCATGACGTTAAACGACAAGCATCGTCAGGTAATACTTATTTACATTAAAACAACAATTTGATAACGACTTCGCAGTGTACCGTTCAATATAGATTTACAGGCTTTACTCTCTGCACGGTATGTATGGCCAGTGTTGCCAGTATCATTCACACTGTCTGGCACAGTAGTCCGTCTTGGCCTTTCAGACACTGTACTGGATAAGTATTGTGTACACTGCCTGGTACAGTAATCTTACCTTTTAATCCAGTTCTCTCTGCACTTGTTCTCCCCTGATCCTCCTCCCCCTCCTGTTATGTGGCCTCATAGGTTGAGGCTCAATATGAGGTGCACGCTTCTGTATTTTCCTGGTGTACCACGTTACCCTGCAGCACATAACCTTGCTGTCCAGGAAGTTGAGGATTGAGGTACTAGAGGGGCGTCTTCCAATTCCTCTAAATGACTGCTACTATCTTCATATAGCTGATTATTCTGTTTAAAGTAAAAAGTTAAATTCTAACACTTGTCATGGCAACTTGCGGAGGTTTCTAGAATATCTGGGATGATATTGCCCTATGTCTTATTGCTACTATGGCCTTACCTATCATATGCTTGATGCTACTTTCTCCATATTTTTATAATGCAAATATATATAGTCAATCATAGCATCATCATTTGATGGAGGCACGTTACTGAGATACACTTCACAACGTTTATCTTTAGCTTTATAAATCATGATGAGTTTAATCTTATAACATGTGCACTTTTCTTGCTAACTCACCAATAACTATCATAAACTGGCTATGTTCTCCACATCCTTCCAAAATAAATTTTCACAATTGGATGTAATGAAAGGTTTTTGATATTATTTACATTGACACATGATTGTCAGTACAGTTGTGCTCTATGTATTGTTCTACATGCAAGTTGGAATGTCATTTTCTATTGCCCATATTTGTAGATGGTGTCTTGTTCAAATTTTCAGGCCATTCACCTCATTCCTAACCCTTTCCAGTAGTCAGGAATCATTAAAAAAAACTAATTTATATTTTGTTTAATAGGTTCGTGTTTGGTTGGAAAAGCTTTATGCTGGTGATCCTATTCCGCAGTATGAGATTAGCCAGAGACCTGTAGAAATTCTCTATGAGCTCATGCTGAAGAACGAACAGAATGATAGATGTGCACAGCTCCTGATAGAAGATGACAGACAAAAAGCTGAAGAGTACAATTTGGAAGGTACTAGTAACTTGTGCTTCAAATTATTGTATATGATAAATAATGTTAATTATATTATCACTTTTGTGAGGGACTTTTCGATATAGAAAACAAAGAGGATATAAAATGTCTTTATATTATCTGTTTTTAAGACATTTATAAAGAGTTGCACATATGAGTTCTTAGAATAAGTATAAGCTTTTGCTATAAACACAAGTAATTAAAGAATTGATAACTTTGCAGCTGTCAGGCTTGCTGGAATACTGCAAGAGATTGGACTGACCACAAGCAGCTTGTCTAAGTCTGGCCTTGTCAGCCTTCGCACACTTACCAGTGTGGCACAGTTATTAGAAATCAAAGATGCTTGTGATACAAGGTAATAACTGATTGAAACATATTGACATCTAAGCTCTTCTTTCAACATGATTTTAGTGATCATTGACAAGTAGGAGAGGGGGACTGAGACCTTTAAAAATAAAAAGGAAAGAAAGGAAAATGGGGAGGGGGATTTTGCCACATGCCCACCCAAAGATCTGGAAAAAAAATCCACTTACTAACACTGCAGTATTCCCCAATCTAATTTTTTTTTTGGTGGAGAGTTGTAAAATTCTCTCCCGCTTCCACCTTTCTACATCTTCCAAAGATGATAAGATTTCACTAATAACTGATAATATAGACATGCCAGACACTGTTTTAAATTGTCATCAAGCATTTAACATAGTCATCATTTCTGACTAATAATGTGTGGATTGTTTTTTCCTAAAAACAGATTGTTGTAAAGAAAAAGAATTAATTCTGCACCATTTTATACTGAAAATAATATAATTTTCTTGATTTTCAGATGTTTTATTCATTTTTTATAAAAAAGTTTTAAGTATTTGATTAAGAAGTGTAGGCTGTGCAGATCTTTTATATGGAAACTAACCATATATTTCCTTTTCTCACTAAGTTTTCTGTTGGGCATCAGCGAAATTTCCCAAGCTCAGATGAAGATATCAGAAGCAAGAAATGCTGAACAGAAGCAAACAGGACAACTGATTTCCCAAACCAACTCGGCTCTTCACAAAACGGCTGCGCTGAAAAAGTATGTTTAAACTAACAGGTTATTAATATTTCTATACAAATTCATAGTTGCATAGACCAGGTAGTTAGTTTATGCAGTCACTTTGGCTTTCTGAATGTAGACTCAACTAAATAAAAGTGACTATTAAATTACAAATTTTATATGATATATAGTAAGTAACTAATCTTAGCTTAGTAGGTTAAGTTGGGTGTTTGCATGTCAACCAGTTACAAAATGCTAAAAACTTGTTATAGGACAATACATAATTTGAAGGAACAAGCAAAATACCAAGGGCCTGACCTAGAGAAAAAGGCTAAGCAAGCTGGTTTCTTGCAGAGCAAAGCTCGTGAATATAAAGGACATATACAGAAATATCAGGTAAAACACAAATTTTTGCCATGATATCAGTAAGTTTGGGCATATTATGATTACTACAGGTGTTTCAAAATGTTTGCTCCATAAAATACATAGAAGAGGTGATGATAATGATTTGTACTTTCTGTAAATGCTATTATAGACTTGATTATAAATTAATAGTGTAATATCTGATATTGCAGTTTAGGATAGTCTGTGATATTTTGTTTTCTTTGGAGATAAGGCTGCGTAAAATATTTTTTCTGAAATTATTTTCAATATTTCTGTTTTTAGACCACACTATCTCAGAGTGGTATGGAACCACATCTATATCATCAAGCACTGGGAAAGAAGGCTGAGGTAGCAATAACCTCTTTATCATAGAGTATCACTTGATATTTGGTTAAAGTAGGGTCGATTAGATTTGATAGAAACTGAAAATTATGTAGAAAAAAATGAGTGAAAGTGTAACATAGTTAATCTGAGTTGCTTTTTGACTAAAAATAAGTTAAAATATGTTAAAGAAATCAAAACATTTTTTCTTTCAGGAATTGCAACAGCTGAAAGCCAAACTTGGGCCATTACGATTAAAGCTGGATGGATATCATAGACTTCCTCCTGTAAGTGTTTTGTCATCATAGTTTTTGACACTGTACCTGAAGTATCAGGATATATATAGTTTTCTCAATGCAGTTTGAAATATTCTGTACTTTGTTCTTGTCTTGATATTAGTTGTGTCGTTGTGAGAGAAGAATTGCAGTACTTGGTGGTCTGCTACTCCAGCCAGAAAGTAGCCTATAGATAATATTTCCTTAGCCAGGAAGACAAAAATGTTTCTGTAGTATGACAGAACTGTAAACATTGGGTAAAGGAATGGAGCGAAAAACCTTCGTGTTTTAGTAAGTTAGACCACTTTCTCAGACGTAGATGGATCCAACAGGATGGATCTAACTTCACTGGGATTTGCGCTAATTTGCAACGTTTTTAAGCGGCTTAAATGTCTGTCATACCTACCGAAGCAGCTAGGGGGTAATAAACATTTGTGCACTTGGCTTCCAGTAGCTACCTGGACGCACATGTGCACTGTTTGCACTCTAGCTGAAGTCAAAATGACAGAAAGAAGGGAGAAGAAAGTCACGGAAGAGTGTGTTGTTGTTTTTGTTGTGAGTGTATTGTACATTGCAGTGACTCTCTGTGGATATGTGGCTCTAGCTTAAAATATAAGACCATTTCACACCTGTTTGGTATTGGGAGGTCATCAGCCTTAAAGTATTCAAAGAAACAATTGATGTCATTGCAAAACATCTAGCCCCCAAGTTCATCCAAATGTCTACTGGTAGAAGACTGGAAAGCATTGTGGAGGGGTTTGAGGAAAAATGGGGAGTCCCACAGTGTGCTGGAGCGATTGATGTGACCCATGTGCCAATCATTGCTCCCAGAGAGCACAGGACAGGCTACTGTACTACTTCTTAGGGTTCCAGCTTATTCACTAAAGTCATGGCTTCTGAAAATGTATTCATACTATGGAATTTTGTCCCTGATGCAAGAGACATTTCAATTACCGCCACTCCAGAGGGAGAGTGTGTATTGAGGGTTGCTTGGGTGGATGCAAAGGAAATTGGAATATCTTAAATTACAGGTTGGACTACTAGACAGAATTTTTTTTCATTGTTAATTGTAGCATGATTCACCCTCCACAAAATCTGTGTTGTTCATGATGGGGGTTTGACCAGGATTGGATGGACTTGGTGGAGGCTGATAGAGCCCATGCTAGAAATTCCTGTGCTTCAATGAAATATGTATTANTGGGTGCTCCAGATATGAATGTTTGTACTGTCCTAGAACAAAGAAAATGGATTAATGAATTTCAGCTTACCTGACTTTCCTACCCCAAGTACTCCTAGTAATGCAATGTTGAACTCTGGCAGCGAAACAGAAGATCCATTCCGCTGTGGTTTCCTAGAAGTCATAGTTGCTGTATTGCTTGCATTTGCTGTCGGCATGAATGTTGTCTTGTAACAGTGACAAATTACAGAACAATATTCTTCTTTTCCCTGAATCAAAAGCTGCAGATTTTCCAGACACCTCTTCACAGGGTCTTCACAGTCACTCTGTAACAATAAAAGCAGTTAAATTTGAGCTAGGCAAATGAAATGTATGCCATTTGGTGTCAATGTTTCCAGAGGCAATGGTCATCAAGTCCCTTGAAACCCAATTTTTTTCCTAGCATCAAGAACAGTGTTTTGTAGTATCCACTAGTGACCATCATCAACAATGTCCAGTTAAGTTATTCCTTGGGCAACCCAAAAAGTTGGGACTACTTCAATTTTGTTGCCTATTCCAGCAACTTTGTATTGCATAAGCTACTCCAGGTAGAGAGCAGTGACCTCTGTCTAAACAGTCAAGTAAACAAGCTAAAATAACAACAGCATACAGTCAGTTATCCTATCGTCTGGTTAGAACTTACTGGAAACTTATATCAAATCTTGAAATAAACTCAGTATATATGTACCTTCAAGAACTATTACATGAATCAATACCGGTTCCAAATTTGGACACGAAATGTGTTACTTGTGCTTCTTATAAGAAAAATAGCACCTCTATTTGAAAAGTTTAAAATAAATATAGATCACACATCACATTTCAATTTTACCAAAAGCTTTGCAAATTTGTTACTAACTGTTAGATTAAGTAGAGGATGAAGAACCACGAATCTACATAACAATGAAAAACAGCAGAAAAAAAAGCCCAAACTGTAAGAGCTACAGTACCAACCTTTTCAAGCCAATGTCCTTTCTGCAGTAAAATGCATTTGTTTCTACCAATAGTTCTGAAGGCTAATAGTAGTACAACTGGTTGACTCTGGTTCACAACTAGGCCTCCTGTGAAGAGTTATGACTTTCGAAGAGAAATAAATTACTCCACAATTACTTCACTTGAGCACTTTCAAATTAAGACCACATTTCCTACTTCTAGTTTTGCCTCACTTGTGTAGGAAAAAAATGGACCACATCAGACCCTAACCATAGGTTTACAGGAATTTAGGCGTAATGTCTTTAATTCGTCAGCCTCCAGCTAAAACTCAACCTTCCCACTGTTCCCTTTACATGTGCTTTTATATTTTACAACAGCACTGGTCCTCAATCAGATCCTGCCACTTTTGAGATTAATGCAAAACATAGTGTTCTTGGTGCAGTTGTTCTCAGTTCTACATACCAGTACAGCAGATTTTTACACCTATTTCCAGCTATCTGTACAATACATCAAACTGCATCTGATAATCCCATTCATTCAGCACTCATCTTCCTAATGACCAAAATGAACTTAGCTAAAGCTAAATCCATCTAAGCTCTCAGGTGCTATTTGCCCAGAATTTATGTCTTGCCTGCCAAGCGACCAATCAGCAACTGGTAGTGTGGGCAGTCCAAGCACCAAATTGTTCAGCAAGTCTATCCATTGACTGAATGGGTGAACAGTAGGTAGAACCAAGAGTAACGGTATTATATACTTAAATCAATTAACGCAATGTTATATGTCTGTTCAGTAGTACACTTATGCTACCATGATACCCAGAAGGATTTGAATTAATAAAATTGCTTTTCTTTCTTATATCTAATATACATTTTTGATGGGCTAAATTTGATTCTGAATTACATAAAATAATGATATTTAATTTTGTTGAAATTAACAGATTTTACACACACACACACACATTTCAAAAAATTGACTAATAATGAAAACAGTTTTAGGTTTAGTGTACTTTCAATTATATGAATGCCTGTCATCTGAGAGCCCATGTAAAGCAAAGGTGAGGCATAAAGGCAGACCACTTAACTGTGCTCTTTTTTTGTCTTCCACATGACAGGTGCTGACAGCATTGCCTACATTCTGGGCAAGCCTTGTCCACATTTCTTTGCAATTGGCCAGAAATGTTTCTGAGAACTTAACTTATCCCTTAATGATAATGATGGCAACTGATGTATCTATATATTTAGCAGAAAAGATAAAATTAATGACAAGTACTGAACTGGCTAACATAAACCACCATTTCACATTTGAGTTACGTAAGAGTGCAATTTTCAAACACTCACAAAATTGTAAAGTTTCATATCAACAGACTGCACTTAATGTAAGAGTTATGAAGCATGCTTTTTGGTTTATTTTCCACCTAAAAGTTAAAATGACATGATGGAATAAAGTGATGCCTTAGGGTTTTTGGAAGGCTTACTTCATCTTAAACTTATTTAGTTTATATGTATTGCAAACTGTGAACAGAAAGAATATTCTTCTAATGAAGTTTGACACCTGTGCCAGATCTTCTGAAATTACATTAAAAATGGGCATGCAGAGAAGCACAATAACCTCCATTTCCAGAAAATTTGTAAATTAAATCCTATAGCTTTTGTTGATTTGCACCACCTGATTGAGTAACTCTCCTCCGCCAAAATAAACACACTTACCAAGTGAGTGGATGGTAAAAATTTCTGTAGACATGGTAGGGAAACATACATTGGTTTTTACTTCATTGAACAATTTATTCCTTCTAAATGTATTAAGCGAGACCATAATAGTTCATTCTGCTGGTGTTTGATGGCAGACTGATTTGGTTTTTACAGCTGTGGTCTATCTAATGCAAACATTGTGGTTTTATTTTAATGCTTATGTCATGTTAAATAGGGCTGTAAGGGCAGTGGTCTATTTTCAGGGAGGTAAGAGTCTTAAATTGTCAATATTAAGCTGTGTTCTGAATTAACATTGAGAGACAGAGACAGACAGATAAACAGAAAGAGAGAGAGAGAGAAAGAGAAAGAGATTCCTTCCTTCTATTCCATAGATTTTCTTTTTTCTTGATAAGTCACCATAATGAAAAGCTACCGGTACTGCAGTGAATTTCTTTGGTGAAAACTATAGTCACACCTGTTGTTGTTTCTAAATGCTCGATACTGGCTTCTACAAATGTTCAAGAAAAAAAAAAAAAAAAAAAAAAAAAAAACTCAGCAAATAACCTTGCAGAAAAAATGTCAAACCTCTTAAATTAGAACCAAAAACACCTGTATGGCTAGATTAGAACTAATTATTTATTTATTCATTTCGATGAATTTTGGTCAAATGGAGGGATATTTTGTAACTTCAATTCACGAAAGCAAATACTTAACAATTCCTGCCATTGATTGTCTAAAATCAAAATAGCTGAAATTCTTCGCCTTTTATCTACTTTTTACTCTCTCAAGTTATCAATGAAAGTCCAACTAAAGTCCAACTGTGAGCTATGATAAGGAAATAAGTACTTGTACTCTCATTCCCTGACAAATACACAAAACATCTATTTCTCCGTTTCAAGAAGATCACCTGACTGAAAGTATTTCTGTAACAATTTCCGGCATTTGATGTGTGCGCTCAGCTACTGCAATTTTGTTTAAAGATTAAAATCAGTTGTGCACCTCCATGGTAACCAACTCTGATACAATCAACTTTCATTAATTAAGATCACAAGTTAGTTTCATTTTACCTTCCTACTATTAATACTGAATTCTAACACATCGGTCTCATGAAAAAGCATAGATATCTATCTGCATCTGTTTAGTCACAATAAAAAGCTTAGTGTTACATCATGTTGTCACAACACATACTTTATCTTTTCAAATATTACCTTTGCCTCAATCAAGGTGGACCTTCAACCAAAACATAATTAGCAGCACATCCTATCAAATCTGCCTCCAGGTAGGGTGAACCCTTATATCACAGTTGCATAATCTGAAGTGGTTACTTCCTGGGGTTAAGCTGTTTACTACCCAGACTGACTCCATCAGATCTAAACAGTTTATAGATAGCTGATCACTAGGAGTAATCATCAACCTTTGATGGACTAGGCAAAAATAGCCAGGTAACACAAATCATCAAAATCATGCCCTAAACTAAGCCATCTATAATACATTCAATTTGAAAAGAAATCTGAAAAAAACCTACATTTACATAATGTAGCATATTAAGTTGGTGGTTTTCTGAGGAACTTACATTTGTAAAACAATAACACAATATCTGCAGGGATAATGTTATTCACTCATACTTTCAAAGTAAATTTCATTCTAAGATTAAGATTCATTAGATATACTTTTTACAAACTTGATGTGTAAAGATTTTATCCAAATATTGACTGTTATAGCCACTACTATTTCTTTTTCAGTCAGATACAAAAACAGATAGATCAAATTTCACAATGATTTCTGTTATACATCAAAGATACCTTTTCCCCAAAAATTGACAAATGTCAGTCATACAATGAGTTTTGTTTGACTAATATAACCTACCTTGCACAGACATGTTATACACATGCATAAATGTTCTACATGCAATAAAATAGTTCATACAGCAACATAAGTGGTGGATTTTTTGCAATAAGCTAGGAGGTTGCAATAAAATATGCTTATGTGAATTATCAGGCAATGTGGGAGTAAACTTGTATGAAATAATATAACGAAATATGTTGCAAACACATTTATTTCCAGGCCTAGTTGCTGCCACTTATGTTGAGTAAGAGATGTTTATCAATCCTTTGTTACCGTTTTGTATCTGGGTAACAAGACATTTGCTGTTATATAGATTTAAAAGTGATAAGGTAAAACTGAATTTTCATGTTATATTTTTTCCTGAAAAATAAAAACAAATCATCTGACCTATTAAAATGAGAAAAAGTCACTTAAGCATTGCACAAAACTACCTGTTCCATCTAGGCAAGCTATAATACCTTGGGTTATATTCTAAGCTACAAAACTTTAAGACAGATCCAGTTTACCATTTGCTTATAAATGTAATTTTTACCTGCTATATTCTTGGGCTTTTCAATGAGCCTACATTTTTTTGTGGCTTTGCTTCCATTCTGACGTTCAAGTTTGTCAACCAGCTCTGCACATGTTCTCCTCATCAAGTGGACTGTGCCAGCTTGTGCTCTGTCAACAATCATAAGAACAAAATCAAATTTGTTGACATGAACTCACGCACAGGTCGAACAATACTTCAAAGTTCATTCTTTCTGAATCCCAGAGCTTCCTTTACCTTTCTTCAGTTCTCTAAACAATAGTGCATAATCAGCTGTGCTTTATCAACAGAGGCAGGATGGGTAAAAATTCTAGGAGAGTTTGGTAAACAAAAACCTGGTACCCACACTGCAGTTTAATGTTTATGCATCTGATAAAATCCCCGTAACTCCAGCTCAACTTCCACAGAATTAAGTATTTAGCAACAGCTCTTACAACTAACCTGTATCTTTTGTAGTCTTAAAAGGATGCCAAGTGCACAATTTATTCTGCCCAGGCAACATCATATATGCTAAACATACCTTTCAATTGTATCGCAATTTACAGGTCGCACCTTCTTTCACAAGTCACCTGGATATGCTAGGTGGTCCCATTGTCAGGGTGTCAAACACGTGCATTTGGCATTCATGAAACATAATGTCTTGATGCTTGAAAAAAAAAATATGATGCATGTTATATTTGCAGTGAAAACAAAAATCCATAACCTAAACTTAACAATTTTTTCACTATAATATACAATAAGATGTATGATGCTAAATCTTGTTAAACTACATTTTCATTTAAATTAAACATTAAATAATGATCAAAATAATTATTGCTACAAATAACGCCTTACTCGATCAGGTGGGTCAGATGGCCCCAGACTTATTCAATGAGACATGCTCAGCAAACAAACTAAGCTTTTGCCTCGTGTAATGGAGCCAATTTACTGATTTGCTTAATATTTTGCTTGATAATAAATGTGAATTTAAAACTGTACTGGGCAAAGTCAACAGGCATTATCGTGTAGGGATCATGAGTGCCATTTGAGCTAATGACAATATTTTCTTACCAGGCAGTTTTAACTGGCATAGGAAATACCATAGTGCAGTAGATGAAACCGAACCTTTCAAAGGCACCAATTAAATTTGGGAGTAGTTTGCACTGGATTCATACATTATGCTAAACAGCAGTTTTTATGTGAGAATAACAAAAAATTAACAGAACTTGTCACATAAACAAAAATATGAAAATTTTATCCTTCATATATCGACAACAGCATGTCTATATTGCAGCTTACTTAAAAGTTTGTGCATTGAATAATTTAACACAAAATCAGCTTAACACAAAAATTGGAATTTGAAATCAAATTCATTATAGCATACCTTTTAATTGGGTTAATAAATTAATAAAAGAAAAAGAAAGAAAGAAAGTGAAATTTTCTTTGCTAGAATAGGAAAATATCAAAATTTGTTTGGCCTCAAAAATACACTTTTATTGTAATAATGACACTTTGGTATCTTAAAAGATACAAAAAAAAAATCAAAACATTCTGAAATGAATTCAAGGTTTTATTTTTTGCAAATCTAAAAATACATAATGAGCATGAGCACATCTGTGTACATTTCTTTAACACAATTTTACACAACTTGAATAAAATCCACATGCCAAAAAATAACAAAAATTAATCACTTGGTCAGTCAAAAGAAAAAAAAATGGCTTTAAATATCTGATTGTTAACTTATTCTACTTTCCAGTATATCCCTCACCAGTTTGTGATAAAACAAGAAATTAAACAAAAGGAAATAACGAAACAAAACTTTATTTACAAATGATATACTTCAAAGTGCAACGTGGACAAACAGTTATTCCTATATGTGGATATTTATAGTGTTGAAAGGTTTGAAACACCGGGTGTTATGAGGCCTTAGCTGCAGTACGAACCTTATATGTCATGTAAGGCCAAAAACTGAAGCAAGCCTAGCATGCAAGCCTGAAAACTGAGGAAAAAATTTGGCCTGATAAAAATGTGACATCACATGGTAAACAATCACATGGTAAACAAAGTAATAAAACATATTTCTTAATTTTAAAATCTTACTGTTTAACATTATATGTTGCAAGAACTTTTTTCCAAAATATACCCTGGCCTTTTTGGCACCCGAAAGAAATAATTTTTTTAATCGTTATTCCAAAACCGTTGAGGGGAATAACAGTAGTAAGTTTATTTTTAATGTAAACTTTATTTGTAGCTCTCTTCGAGCACAACAACAACATTAATAACAACAAAACACACACACACACACTTGGTTGCTATGAATGCTCGTGCTAAATGTATCTTCAAACATTAAACTATTTTACTTTTTATTTATCTTGTAAACGATTTGCCTGAATTGTCTTACCCTCGACCCTCAGGCACCAAACATCACACCAAAATACAAATCTTGGCTCGTCTTGGAAACAATAAAAACAGAAATATCATTGGAAAATAAAATTTGACGGGAAGCCATTCAATTTGAAAATTGAATTGGTTTCTTTGAAGCAAAGTTTCATCTCTTTGATTTTATTACATACCTTCTGTGAATGTTTTCTTATCAAATCATAGCTACATATATTACAGTTTTCCGGACTTAAATCTTAGTTTGACGCTAACCCCTGGCATGACGTCATTGTGCGCAAAATTGGGAGCGCACCACTGAGTGAACCGCCTGAAATGTCTACAGAAGTTTGTTGAAGTAAAATGCCGTGGGTGTAAATTACCATGACGTTAAACGACAAGCATCGTCAGGTAATACTTATTTACATTAAAACAACAATTTGATAACGATCTCGCAGTGTACCGTTCAATATAGATTTACAGGCTTTACTCTCTGCACGGTATGTATGGCCAGTGTTGCCAGTATCAATACTATCATTCACACTGTCTGGCACAGTAGTCCGTCTTGGCCTTTCAGACACTGTACTGGATAAGTATTGTGTACACTGCCTGGTACAGTAATCTTACCTTTTAATCCAGTTCTCTCTGCACTTGTTCTCCCCTGATCCTCCTCCCCCTCCTGTTATGTGGCCTCATAGGTTGAGGCTCAATATGAGGTGCACGCTTCTGTATTTTCCTGGTGGACTCCCATGTACCACGTTACCCTGCAGCACATAACCTTGCTGTCCAGGAAGTTGAGGATTGAGGTACTAGAGGGGCGTCTTCCAATTCCTCTAAATGACTGCTACTATCTTCATATAGCTGATTATTCTGTTTAAAGTTAAAAGTTAAATTCTAACACTTGTCATGGCAACTTGCGGAGGTTTCTAGAATATCTGGGATGATATTGCCCTATGTCTTATTGCTACTATGGCCTTACCTATCATATGCTTGATGCTACTTTCTCCATATTTTTATAATGCAAATATATATAGTCAGTCATAGCATCATCATTTGATGGAGGCACGTTACTGAGATACACTTCACAACGTTTATCTTTAGCTTTATAAATCATGATGAGTTTAATCTTATAACATGTGCACTTTTCTTGCTAACTCACCAATAACTATCATAAACTGGCTATGTTCTCCACATCCTTCCAAAATAAATTTTCACAATTGGATGTAATGAAAGGTTTTTGATATTATTTACATTGACACATGATTGTCAGTACAGTTGTGCTCTATGTATTGTTCTACATGCAAGTTGGAATTTCATTTTCTATTGCCCATATTTGTAGATGGTGTCTTGTTCAAATTTTCAGGCCATTCACCTCATTCCTAACCCTTTCCAGTAGTCAGGAAACATTAAAAAAAACTAATTTATATTTTGTTTAATAGGTTCGTGTTTGGTTGGAAAAGCTTTATGCTGGTGATCCTATTCCGCAGTATGAGATTAGCCAGAGACCTGTAGAAATTCTCTATGAGCTCATGCTGAAGAATGAACAGAATGATAGATGTGCACAGCTCCTGATAGAAGATGACAGACAAAAAGCTGAAGAGTACAATTTGGAAGGTACTAGTAACTTGTGCTTCAAATTATTGTATATGATAAATAATGTTAATTATATTATCACTTTTGTGAGGGACTTTTCGATATAGAAAACAAAGAGGATATAAAATGTCTTTATATTATCTGTTTTTAAGACATTTATAAAGAGTTGCACATATGAGTTCTTAGAATAAGTATAAGCTTTTGCTATAAACACAAGTAATTAAAGAATTGATAACTTTGCAGCTGTCAGGCTTGCTGGAATACTGCAAGAGATTGGACTGACCACAAGCAGCTTGTCTAAGTCTGGCCTTGTCAGCCTTCGCACACTTACCAGTGTGGCACAGTTATTAGAAATCAAAGATGCTTGTGATACAAGGTAATAATTGATTGAAACATATTGACATCTAAGCTCTTCTTTCAACATGATTTTAGTGATCATTGACAAGTAGGAGAGGGGGACTGAGACCTTTAAAAATAAAAAGGAAAGAAAGGAAAATGGGGAGGGGGATTTTGCCACATGCCCACCCAAAGATCTGGAAAAAAAATCCACTTACTAACACTGCAGTATTCCCCAATCTAATTTTTTTTTTGGTGGAGAGTTGTAAAATTCTCTCCCGCTTCCACCTTTCTACATCTTCCAAAGATGATAAGATTTCACTAATAATTGATAATATAGACATGCCAGACACTGTTTTAAATTGTCATCAAGCATTTAACATAGTCATCATTTCTGACTAATAATGTGTGGATTGTTTTTTCCTAAAAACAGATTGTTGTAAAGAAAAAGAATTAATTCTGCACCATTTTATACTGAAAATAATATAATTTTCTTGATTTTCAGATGTTTTATTCATTTTTTATAAAAAAGTTTTAAGTATTTGATTAAGAAGTGTAGGCTGTGCAGATCTTTTATATGGAAACTAACCATATATTTCCTTTTCTCACTAAGTTTTCTGTTGGGCATCAGCGAAATTTCCCAAGCTCAGATGAAGATATCAGAAGCAAGAAATGCTGAACAGAAGCAAACAGGACAACTGATTTCCCAAACCAACTCGGCTCTTCACAAAACGGCTGCACTGAAAAAGTATGTTTAAACTAACAGGTTATTAATATTTCTATACAAATTCATAGTTGCATAGACCAGGTAGTTAGTTTATGCAGTCACTTTGGCTTTCTGAATGTAGACTCAACTAAATAAGAGTGACTATTAAATTACAAATTTTATATGATATATAGTAAGTAACTAATCTTATGATAGCTTAGTTGGTTAAAGTTGGGTGTTTGCATGTCAACCAGTTACAAAATGCTGAAAACTTGTTATAGGACAATACATAATTTGAAGGAACAAGCAAAATACCAAGGGCCTGACCTAGAGAAAAAGGCTAAGCAAGCTGGTTTCTTGCAGAGCAAAGCTCGTGAATATAAAGGACATATACAGAAATATCAGGTAAAACACAAATTTTTGCCATGATATCAGTAAGTTTGGGAATATTATGATTACTACAGGTGTTTCAAAATTTTTGCTCCATAAAATACATAGAAGAGGTGATGATAATGATTTGTACTTTCTGTAAATGCTATTATAGACTTGATTATAAATTAATAGTGTAATATCTGATATTGCAGTTTAGGATAGTCTGTGATATTTTGTTTTCTTTGGAGATAAGGCTGCGTAAAATATTTTTTCTGAAATTATTTTCAATATTTCTGTTTTTAGACCACACTATCTCAGAGTGGTATGGAACCACATCTATATCATCAAGCACTGGGAAAGAAGGCTGAGGTAGCAATAACCTCTTTATCAAAGTGTATCACTTGATATTTGATTAAAGTAGGGTCGATTAGATTTGATAGAAACTGAAAATTATGTAGAAAAAAATGAGTGAAAGTGTAACATAGTTAATCTGAGTTGCTTTTCGACTAAAAATAAGTTAAAATATGTTAAAGAAATCAAAACATTTTTTCTTGCAGGAATTGCAACAGCTGAAAGCCAAACTTGGGCCATTACGATTAAAGCTGGATGGATATCATAGACTTCCTCCCGTAAGTGTTTTGTCATCATAGTTTTTGGCACTGTACTTGAAGTATCAGGATATATATATATAGTTTTCTCAATGCAGTTTGAAATATTCTGTACTTTGTTCTTGTCTTGATATTAGTTGTGTCATTGTGAGAGAAGAATTGCAGTACTTGGTGGTCTGCTACTCCAGCCAGAAAGTAGCCTATAGATAATATTTCCTTAGCCAGGAATACAAAAATGTTTCTGTAGTATGACAGAACTGTAAACATTGGGTAAAGGAATGGAGCGAAAAACCTTCGTGTTTTAGTAAGTTAGACCACTTTCTCAGACCTAAATGGATCCAACAGGATGGATCTAACTTCACTGGGATTTGCGCTAATTTGCAACGTTTTTAAGCGTCTTAAATGTCTGTCATACCTACCGAAGCAGCTAGGGGGTAATAAACATTTGTGCACTTGGCTTCCAGTAGCTACCTGGACGCACATGTACACTGTTTGCACTCTAGCTGAAGTCAAAATGACAGAAAGAAGGGAGAAGAAAGTCACAGAAGAGTGTGTTGTTGTTTTTGTTGTGAGTGTATTGTACAGTGCAGTGACTCTCTGTGGATATGTGGCTCTAGCTTAAAATATAAGACCATTTCACACCTGTTTGGTATTGGGAGGTCATCAGCCTTAAAATATTCAGAGAAACAATTGATGTCATTGCAAAACATCTAGCCCCCAAGATCATCCAAATGTCTACTGGTAGAAGACTGGAAAGCATTGTGGAGGGGTTTGAGGAAAAATGGGGAGTCCCACAGTGTGCTGGGGCGATTGATGTGACCCATGTGCCAATCATTGCTCCCAGAGAGCACAGGACAGGCTACCACAACAGGAAAGGTTTTTATTCCATAGTTACTAAGGTAAGTTCAGAAAAAAATAATGTGGTTTATTTTCCTTTCTAATCTTATCAGTGATAAAACATAACACAAGTTCACTCTTGTTGATACTGTGACAGTGTGTGATTAAATTTTTTAAATAATGAATTTTAGTCATTTTTGTTTAAGTTTACTTTATGTATATTGCTACTTTCATATAATTTTAATCAAACAATTTCTGAGCCTATTTTCATAAAGTATATATTTTTTTCATTATAGGTTGAGTGTGATCATAAACTAAGAGTTCTAAGTGTTGTTACAGGGTGGCCAGGGCATGATGTGCTTTCAAATTCATGTCTCTACCAGAAAGCAGGGAAGAGAACTATGTTCCCACCAACATCACATATACTGAATAGAGTTGAGGTACCTATACTACTTCTTGGGGATCCAGCTCATCCACTTGAGCCATGGCTTCTGAAAATGTATTCATACTATGGAATTTTGTCCCTGATGCAAGAGACATTTCTATTACCGCCACTCCAGAGGGAGAGTGTGTATTGAGGGTTGCTTGGGTGGATGCAAAGGAAATTGGAATATCTTAAATTACATGTTGGACTACTAGACAGAATTTTTTTTCATTGTTAATTGTAGCATGATTCACCCTCCACAAAATCTGTGTTGTTCATGATGGGCGGTTTGACCAGGATTGGATGGACTTGGTGGAGGCTGATAGAGCCCATGCTAGATAGCACCCAGGGCAGGACATGCAACATTTTGATGCAAGAGCAATCAGAGAGGCTTTTGTACAATATTTTAGCAGCAGATAAAGGAAATTGTAAGTGTTCATGAAAAATTCCTGTGCTTCAATGAAATATGTATTATTAACCTTTTTTTGTGGTCCCAGATCCAAGACATGAAGTTTGAGAACAATTGCATTAATAAAGCTGGTTTTAGGTGTAGAAGTATTTTATCGCTTTATGTTGTTCTTGTTGACAGTTTGAAGAAAGTGGGGACTCAGTTAATTGTATTTTGGTAACAGTGGATAATAAAAATTTGATCATTTCTCATGTAAAGAATTTTGTTAGTTTACTAAAAAATCCTGGTGTAGTTCGCAGAAGCCACGTTTGAAATGATTGTATAAAAAAAGTTTGGTTGTGGTGAAGATGATTTTCAGTCATTATATATTATATTTTTTTTAAATCTATTTATTTATTTATTTATTTATTTATTTATTATAATCATTTCTTATTTAACAGAATTAGGTTAAGATTGTGTTAGATTAGATGCTGGTTGAAGAAAAAGAATATTTAGGGGTGTGGCTCTCAGAAGCATTAATTATTTACTGTGATCCTAGATCTAAGACAATTTTTATAAATGAGTTGTATGAATAAAGTTGGATTGTGATGATGTGGTATATGATAATATTTGGCTGAGAGGTACATCGAAGTTAATACTCTTTATATTTTATTATGTGAACAAAAGATATGAAACAATTGTGCAGGTTATTGACAAAGCACTTAACATAAGCAAGCAAATTTTCCCATATTTATGCAAATTTCTCATAATTGACATTGGAACCTACTCTGTCAGCTCTCGGACTCTTACTGCAGTTACAGTCATTCGTTCTCTGGCAAAACAGTTGCATCAGGCTTTCATTTAAATTCTTATTTGAAGGCAGTGAAAGCAACTTATTTTAAAGATCTAGTTGTTCCGTTTACTCCAACAAGAAATTCACAGTGTATCAGCTTATATTGAAACTGTAAAAATCCTGTAAAAATATGTCTTAAAACCTATTCAGGAAAGGCACTTTTTGACCAATTCAATTGAATAGAATGGAATATGGTATCAGTTGAACTCCTCTCAATTTTTAAAAGACTTCTAATCAATTCATTTTTTAAGTATAATATTTTTTACTCGTAATTGGTTCTGTATAAGAATACTGCAATGCTGACAGTTGTGTGTGAAATTGCTTTTTGTTGGATTATTTTCTGTTTATTTATTTATTTGTCTGTTTATTTATTTATTAAATTATTTTTCAATTATCTTTGTTATGGTGCAAGAATTTGTAACTGGACTAAAACAAAAAAAAGTTTTTGGTGACGCTCTAGGTTATTTGTGTGTCCATTGTTAAGCTAGCATCATTTTGGAAATAAATTGTCTTCAGTTGATTAAAATTAATTTTACAATTGCCATTTTACCTTTTCTTTAAGCTTCAATTCCTGAAGTCTTATGTTTTACCTAATTATAGACAACCTTATTGTCTTATTTTTCCTCTGTTCTGTTTATATAAACTACTGAATCATTACGTTAAATTGTTTTTACATCTTAATTTTTTTGTTCTTGTGTTTTTCTTTTCCAGAACATTTCTATGGCTAAAGTAAAAATTGAAGAAGTGAAAAGAGACCTGGTAAGTTGAATTTCTATGGATAAAGTTAAAATTGAAGAAGTTAAAAGAGAGCTCGTAAGTTGAACACTTTTGTTTTAATGGTATGCAAACCGTGAAAAATGGTTTACAAATTAGGAGTTAAGGCATTAAAATTCCCAATGAAAATTTGCTTTTTATAGTTTTTTTTTCCTCCATAGGCTGTATTAGAAGCAGAGCTGGCAAAGCGCATTGATTCAATGCACATGCTGTAGTACATGAACAAATCCAGAGTTATGCAACCAGCAAAGCCAAAGTCAAACAAAACTGCATAAGAGCCTTTAGACTGAGATGTTATTTAAAAGGTACAATTGGTGAACTGTTTCTGTCAAGATAAAACTTTTTTTGATTGTTTGATTAGCAGCATGAAGATGTCATGGTAAGAAATACTTTAACTACATGTTACAATGTGAAGAAATGGGGAATTTCATAATGAGGAGCACAAGTTTATAATGGCAAGATATGGCTATGAATTTAATTTGAGCGAAAAGAAATTTTAAAAAGAACTCAAAAATTCTGTTAGATTTTAAAAAGTTAGATTTTGAATGAATTGAGTTGTTGTTGAAAATAAAGGAATGGAACTCCAGAATCTTTTGAAACCGAGCAATTTAAACCCATAAACTGCTTTTTTTTTTTGTTTGTTTTTGTAACCATCTATGAACCATATAGCATTGTGCTACTGGGTAAGCTGTACTGGTTGTTCTATTGACTGTTCTATTTGTGAAATCAAAGAACTGCTGCATCTGTTTACATAACTTATCACCAGTATTAATTTTGATACATTATTTGTGTCAGTAAACTCATTTCGAATACAGCAAGGAGAACTGTCAGAAGATTATGTCCAGCACATCCTAGCATTTTCGCCAATAACTTCAAAATGTTAAGAAGTGATATTTCATTTATTTGTAATTTATCTCCAACTCGATTTAACAGTTGACATAAATAAGTTTTAGCCAACGGGCTAAAAAGGAAAATGCATTGAAATGAAATTAGTTATGAATTGTTTGCTTGGCACAAATGAAAGGCATTTGGAATTCCATTGTTGTGTTATGAAAAGACCATGACATAATAGCATTGCTGTCATTCAAATTCCATTGGATAGATGGCAGCATATACACTACTTCTGGCATGAGTGTCAATAGAGGAAATAATCAGTCAATATCTCGTGTTGAGCCGTGGTCTAGTGGGGTTATCCACTGAGCCTAAAGCATTGGACTACCCTATCCCAAACCTGCAGGGGGATCTGTACCTGTAGGGGGGTAACCTGCTGGACTAATTTGACACTCAGCATATTTTATGCTCTGTTTTATCAACAGTATGTATACCAAATTAAGATTGGTAAGTTATGTGTAATTGATTGCATGCCAATGTAAAGGACCACAGTTCAAATCCTGGCTGTCTGCTTTTTCAAGAAAAAAAATTCCTTCCTTTTTAATATTGTTTTTAGACAATAATACAAAAACAAAGTATTAAAAGTCATAAGTAATAAAAAACAAACTTTTTTTCTTCAAAATGTTTTTTCCCTCGATTAAGTTTTGAGTCCATATAAATTAAATCCATTAAAAGTTTGTTGTTTTTTTTTATTTAAAAGTAAGCAGACAATGTGATAATCTGATCAGGCTTGTTTTTAAACCCGGCCTGTATTTTAGTAATATTCACAAGTTTGTAGACAATGGGTCAAATTGTTCCCTACTTAATGCGTTATCTGATATATGTTGTAAAAAGCAAAGAGGCAAGATAAATTCCAGCATATTCAGATAATTTTTACAATTTTCTAGACCATTATCCCATAAGTGCCAAACAATGTTTTTTGTCACCAAAAAAAAAATTGCCACAAAAGCCAACCAAATGCAAGGATATTGTATCAAATAGTATAACTATGAGAATTGCCAAAAAGCATTGTTTAATATTACCTAAAAAATGATATTTGAGCTGATTTTTCTGCTTGCTTTCTATGCTGTATATAAATGGGGCAGAAAAGTAGGTCAGATAAGTAGGATAAAGGGATAATAACTCTTCGTATGAGATCTTTCTTTCACAATAAGAATATTGAAATATAATATGTTGTTTTACCACAAAAACGGCAGTTATAGTTATTTTTCTGCTATGTCAGCTTGTCTTTAGACTACGTGACCTCCATTGATGCCTATACTCTGTTATAATCTCTTAAGAGATTATAACAAAAAACCAAACTTAGAAAAAAACCAGGGACTAACTTTGAATGTAAAAATGGATTTATTAACCATTGGTAAGTATGTGAAAATTTTTGTTTACTTCAGGAAAATTCACTTTTTGACCAAAATGAAGAGTTATTATCCCTTTTAAATTTCTAACTAAAAATTTAAAAATAAAGCTCTTATATGGCTGATTGAGTGATTTATTCATGATTAAGTGATTAATCATGTTTGAGTGATTTATTCAGTTCGTCCACAGGGATCTTCCTAAGTCAAAATCTGGTTGGGCCATTTTGGCCCACCTGGTAAAAAAAAAAGTGGGCCATTTTTAAGAAATGTATGCCGTTAATTATTTAGTCACAATTTATGATATTTCAATATTTTTATATGATTAAAAACACTGAAAAAAAGGCTAGATGTTACTACTCTGAAGTTCTAAATAATTGAAGGCCTAATGTGTGGAAAAATCTTCAAAATTTACAATTGTACTGTCCGAATAATTGTACTGCATAGAAAAATCTTTCAAAATTAATAACGGTACTGTGCACTGCATGGAAAAGGTTGGCAATTCCCATGTTTTTATTATGAAAATAAGCCGTTGCTTTGAAAAGAATTTTTATTTTTCAAAATATTTGCATTCTTTTATAACCTGAAAATAATTAACATATTGATCTAAGCTGAGAGAAGGCTGTTTTACATGTATCTAAAGTTACATAAAATCTAGCAAGCAACTACATAACATTACTAAAATGAGTTGGCATATCTATTAATGAATATACACATTAATAGGTCCAATATTACAAAAATGTCTGTTAAAATTTAGCAAAGAGCACCTATCTAAATAACGAATGAATATTTCTCCTTTTCACCTATCAATTACTCAACATACGGCCCAACTGAAGCCATGTTTGTTTACCCAGCACGTATAGTTAGGTGTTCAAAGAGCACAGGGATAATACATAGTGCCTCGATATGAAACCAGACAACTTTGGTGTTTTTTTAGTCTCTAAATTCTATAAAATATCAATTTGTCTTATAAATAGGTTGACCTAGGGGGGGGTTTAGATGATGCATGATTATATTTATTATTATTGAAGATTCCAATTACAACCAAGACGTATTTTGGTTTAGCCCTTTTTAGATTTTTATTAAAACATTCAATTTTTACAAGGCTATAAATAGTCTCCTGTAGATTAGTGCCATTGCCTCGCTTTCATAGAAATTAAATTTGTTGATCATTTCGCGGCAGTGAAGGTTTAATGCGTTACATCGGTTAATTTCGCCGACCTGGTTGGTTTTCTGATATGAAGTGCCTAAACTTAACCTTCCTACATTTTCGATTGCAATTAGTAATAACATTCACATTAGCGATCAAGCACGTATGCCCTTATCAAGAGTAGGGGAGGGATGGAAAATTCATTTGGGGCCACATATAACACTATAAATACAAAAGGAATCCCCTTACAATAAAGGCAAAATAAATGTTATTCTAAGGAAAGTCCAATGGCTTTACTTTTTAATACATACAACCAACAGATTATTTCCAATATAATTTCTCAAAACGACACCAGAAAGCAAATTAAATTAAATCAACCAGATGGTAAACAGTGGCAGACTTTGTAAATTTCACCAACATGTTTATTTTAAGCAACGCACTTTCGCACATGCGCACTCATTTGAATCCTGTGCTTGTTCAAAGACATCCATATCTCCCTAACTGAAGGAATTATGGAAAAATTGCTAGACATGGCTGATCGAAAGTCATGTGGAGATTTCAAATATGTCCTTGGATTTCACCTTTGACCTTAATTTCAAAGTCAATTTTTTTTTTTTTTTTTTTAAAGACTTATTGGCATTTTCAAGTTGCAACTTTGAATTCCTTTGGACCTGAAACCTGGAGCCAGCTACTTATTCTGAACATCTGCATTAACAATTGAAAGTAATTAAAATTTTGTAATAATTACTGGTATGCTGTAATATTGCACTAAAATTGTTTAATCATCTGATCCTTTTAGCATGATTAGTACACATGTAGATGTTGGTTATGCACAAAATGTACACAATAACAAAATAATGTGAAAAATAGATTGCTGGAATCAGCCTCTTGACTATATACCATTCCCCGTGATATGCAAGCATATTCATCTTCAGTAGTAGTTTACATGACCAAAGGCAATGCATTTCAATTTGTTTACAGTACAGCAGTCTTTCTGGTCAAAGAAGTTAACCTCACTACTGGTTGTAAGATGCAATAACTTCTTTCCATTTTGCATATAGCTCATTTTTGTTTGTAGACCAAAATTTATCCATAACCCTCCAGCCACTTTCTTGGGTGATCAAGAAATAGGCGTTACTTTTATCCTTCAAGTATCCATTCCATCCAAAAGTCAATGACTGGGCAAGTCTAGCAGCAACACATATCCATAGTATATCCATTTCCTTGCTGGTAAGTTGACGAACCTGTAAATATCCTGCAAGAAAATGCCCACCTGCAAGCAGAGGATCAATGACTTTTGATTCTATCATCATGTATGCCATTCCAATAGCCACTTCAAAGGCGTAGCAACCATTATGTGAGTGTTCAACATCAATGAAACCACATAGACTGTATGTAACCTCTGCATCATCTCCAGATAAATTTTCTCTTGTCAGAATGTTCTGTGCATTTATATCTCCATGAACTATCCCTGCAATTGTACATGTATCACAAATGTATAAGGGCAGTGAATTTTTTTTTAAAAAGATGTATTTACAAGGCAGGATTAGGCTACTAGCCAGCCACATAACCCTACTCCCTTAAAGCAGTACACTTATGAGAATATAACTAAATGTATGTTATCTACATATATTAATTTAAGTAACGAGGAAATGAGAGGTGTGACTTTCCCAATGCTGCCCTAAGTTTTTAATATACTTGTCAATGGCAAAGGCAAATACAGACATTTTAACTGAGAGAAAAATCTTCAACCCTATAAGTGTGAGTTTTGGAAATTGGAATGTTGTGAAAAGTTCTTCAAAAATCTTATAATTTTCTTGCACATAACATAAAAATTTAAAAAGAAAAAACTTACCTTTTGTAATATCCATGGAGCTGTCTAATAATTCAGTATTAAATGTGTCAATAACCTCAAAAATTATTCTCCGTTTTCTTTCATCATCAAATTTCTGGACATATTCTGACAGCTTTGGAAGATTGTCCAATTTCCAGATCGAATCCCATTGTTCGTAAGAGGGATGCCAAAAATCCTGAAATGCACCAAGGTGAAATATATTATAATGAAAGGTATGCCTTAAGTTAATAATTTAAGAAGGTATGTTGTTAATATTCTTGGTTTTTTTTTACCTGCTGAATTAAAGGCTAGTATGACTTTTTATTATTGAATGGGATTTTCGTAAATGAACCTTGGCCTGTGAAACTGGACCCAGCAATCTCAGCTCGGCTTAAAGAAAGACAAAAGCTAGTAATGATGTGAAGCTGTACCATGAAGCTTTCCTCACCTCTAATGCCTTGTTAATCTCTCCACACAGCTTACCAGTTTGAAATAATATTGCAGGAGTGAGTGGGACTTGATCCAACGTCGTACCAAGAACAAAGCGGAACATGCGGACAATATAGTAATCGTATGGAACACCTAAAACCATAATTTGTTGAAATAAATGAAGTGGAATGACCAAGGCATACATTTTCTAGAACATCATGTATATAAAATGAGACTTAAATTCAGACACAAGTTGTGAAAGAATTTTAATGTTGTCTAAATGCTAAGATATGTTTCCCCATCCTAGCTGAAAATGTTATCATTATCACGTACGAAAGCTGCAGCAATTGGATAGACTCGGTGATTCAATAGACAAAAAAAGCAAATATTGGATTTATAAGACAAAACTGAGTTTTCGAAAGATTTATGATTACTTGCTTTTATTTGGAAAAATTCAATGAATTATCGTAGGCCTAATTGTGAGATTGCAGTTTCGACTTAGTGTGTCATTTTTTGTATTGAACGTCAAACGTCAAACCTTTTGAACGGAAAGGCAATACCATGAAATAATGACATACACAGTCCCGACAACAACGTGTTGCATATAGCCTATTTTCAGACGGGGTATGGTTGATGATATTTGCTCATATTGACGAGAAAAGTTGTTGATTACTCCCGAAACACTACCAGAAATATTGGAAAAGAATGATAAATTACGTGATCTTAAAAATCACCAGTACCATGAAATCATCACTGCTGGAAGGCGTGGCTGTCAACAGAATTGTTGTTTGCTACTTGTCGTGTCAACATATTGTTTTAAGAGTAAAAGACTTCAGAAAAAGCGTAAATCACATGAAAACGGCTTTCAGTGGGATTCCAAATAGACACGTGCGCCGAACTGCAAAGAAAACAATAAAGAGACGTGAAACGTGTTTTTTCTCACAAAAGACTAAGACGATTCAACCTGAGATTCTGGTTACATTTTAGTGTCACAACCTGAGGGAAACTACACCCAAAACTACCCGTGCCTTAGGGTTTTTATGAGAAGTCTGAGTAGAGTCTTCATAGAACAGGAGAAGAATAGCCAGATGGGTTACCAGAAAGCAAGTGATATGGGCAAGTTTGCGTCTGACAAGATCCCTGAACTGCATTAACCCTTTGGGACTGGCTACTCTGCCGTTATAAGACATTTTATAGGCCGTATAGAGTTAGTTCTGCTAGTAATACAGACCACAAAATTTACGAATGTGTTTTGGAAGACATTTTGGCAATATTAAAAACACCAGTGGAGGTCACAACTACACCTTTATTTCCGAGGACGACGAGTGTTCAGGACATACTCCAATAAGATAGAGCTCGATACTTCAGAAGGGTTAAAGCAGGGTGAATTTGTCTGCACAGACATAACCCAACAATTATAGACAGATTATCCTGAAAGGTCGATCCAACCGCAGAAATACTCTCCGCCAAGAAGTTTTCACAACTGCTGACAATACACATATTGAAAGAATACAACGCCTATACTATTCCCTTCCAAGGTGGATAAAATCCATTATGCATTCACCTATGGTTTTCACAAACAACTGATATTTACTTATTTTATGCTTTTATTTTATGTGGAATAAAAATGTTAAATATTGCTTATGATTTAACTTCCACCGCCATCAGTATTATAGAATACAAAGCACAAATTTCACCAGATTTAGGGGCTACCTCCATTTTCAATGCATTTGATAGTTTGCAATGCTTTTGTCGGGTCTGTGTTATGTCATCATATTGTATTGAAGAAGTAAATTTTGGAACGTTTTACCCCAACAGACATATAATTAATTGTCAAAGTAAGGTCAGATCCAGAAACAAGCCTGCCCATCAAACATCGATTCCTTCACCTTTCGTATCTTTATTATTTTCTTCTAGTTGATTGTGCAGTTTCTCTCTGGACCAGTATTTCCCATGGATATTTTGCACTGGCAAAGGGACTTGCATTATCTCACCATCCACTTTTATCTTTTTGTTATTTAAATGCTTCAAAAGTTCAGTTCGTCCATCTGAAACGACATATTTTTATCTTCAACAGTGAACAGCCAAATAAAATTGTACAATAATATTTTTTTAATCAGCATTTAAAAAAAATTCACAAACAACCCAACTACTGTAATCGTATGATATAAAAGTTAAAGGGATAATAACTCTTCGTTTTGCCAAAAAATGAATTTTCCTAGAGTAAACAACAATTTCCCCATACTTACCAATAGTTAATGAATCCATTTTTACATTCAAAGTTAGTCCCTGGTTTATTTCCAAGTTTGGTTTTTTGTTAAAATCTCTTAAGAGATTATATAACAGAGTATAGCCATCAATGGAGGTCACGTGATCTGAAGACAAGCTCAGATATCAGAATAATAGCTATAACTGCTGTTTTTGTCGTAAAACAGAATATATTATATTTCTATGAGTTATTCACAATGTTTTTATTGTGAAATATAGACCTCATTCGAAGAGTTATTATCCCTTTAACAATCAGTAAAAAAACCTACCCACGTGTTCAGGTTCTTCAGAATCGATGGCATTCAGTATTTTCAGAACGTAACCATGAGGCCAGACTTCGGGAATAAATGGATTGGTGGAACATGGCTGAACCTTCACATGGAAATTCTGGTCATCATAACCATCCAATTTGTGGATGCTGGAAGTGGTTAATCCATACAAAGTCTTCACCAATCTTACTGCAACTGTGTCTGTTATACATGGACGAACTACCCGTTCCAGAGGTCTTCTTTCCGCCATTGCTGAACAGAGAATCCGTTAATTTGTGACTATTTTATTGATGGATCCCGGATTTTCCTACCAGGAAGGTGGGCAGAAAGATAAAAAACTGTTACTTTCAAGATAAGACTGACTTGTACGCCACCATCCGGCTGGCGATCCAAACAGCAAATGGCACATAACTTGTCACAGTTGTTGCATTTAAAATACTTAAAATGTGGCCTAGTAGACATCTTTAATTTTTCAATGTGTCACTGTAAAAATGCTGGACATGCTATATACATTTTTGTAGCACGACTACATCTTGTACAAAACAAACGTCACGATGCATACAAATAACAAGGCAAACGGAAAACTTAAATGCAAATTGATAATTACTATTAGACTTAGTTTATCCGTTTCGCAAGATAGACTATTCAATTAACGTATTATGGAATTACAAACAATCAGTCAACATGACACAATATTGATTGTTGCATATAAGATTAAATAATCATAATCAAATCTGTGATCAGGAGTTACAATAATGCTTTATATTTTAATATATGGATGGAAACTGTGCCCCTAGGGAGTTATATCAATAGCCAAAAAAGGCACTTTATAAAACATCCAAATGCGTGTTACCTATGAGCATTATTGGAAGTTAAAGGTACATATTTTCAATTTCCAGAGTGACTAAAAATAAGGACTGGCATACTTTTTCTAAAGCTCAGTTAGGCTCCGGGCGATATGTATCGTGAAATATATTGATAAAGCTCATTAATCAGAATCCAGTCAACCCATTTATTACAAATGGATGCCAGAGCCGAAACTTACCTCCCTCTTCCTAAGAAATGGAGAGACACCTGGACACCCACTATTTGTGAAATTTGGGAAAGCAACTTAAAAGCCATATTTACCATAAAATTGGGTTCGACAAAACGCCGAACTTTAATGACATTAAAAGAGTCCGACCAATGGTACGCTATCTCATGATTGAACAAACATGCATAAACATGAAATCAAACTGTATTTATGGAGTTACTTGTATCTTCCTCTAACAGTGGCAAAAACGTCCTTGTGTTTTTGTACAAATGCACAATACAAAAACCATATAAAATTGATAGGAAATCAAAACTGCTCAGAATTGCCACCGTGTAGGCCTATTTATATGCACCAAGATTAAGTTTTAACATAACTTCGTTTGCATTATAGAATAATTTCAAGGCCATCAAGTTAAAAAAGAGATAACTTTCATCTTAACAATTCCAATGCGACGAAATTTGATCGTGTATTTCGAAAATGGATCATATATTAACGATCGTTAAGTTTCGACTTAAGGTAGATNAAGGTACATATTTTCAATTTCCAGAGGGACTAAAAATAAGGACTGGCATACTTTTTCTAAAGCTCAGTTAGGCTCCGGGCGATATGTATCGTGAAATATATTGATAAAGCTCATTAATCAGAATCCAGTCAACCCATTTATTACAAATGGATGCCAGAGCCGAAACTTACCTCCCTCTTCCTAAGAAATGGAGAGACACCTGGACACCCACTATTTGTGAAATTTGGGAAAGCAACTTAAAAGCCATATTTACCATAAAATTGGGTTCGACAAAACGCCGAACTTTAATGACATTAAAAGAGTCCGACCAATGGTAGGCCCTACGCTATCTCATGATTGAACAAACATGCATAAACATGAAATCAAACTGTATTTATGGAGTTACTTGTATCTTCCTCTAACAGTGGCAAAAACGTCCTTGTGTTTTTGTACAAATGCACAATACAAAAACCATATAAAATTGATAGGAAATCAAAACTGCTCAGAATTGCCACCGTGTAGGCCTATTTATATGCACCAAGATTAAGTTTTAACATAACTTCGTTTGCATTATAGAATAATTTCAAGGCCATCAAGTTAAAAAAAGAGATAACTTTCATCTTAACAATTCCAATGCGACGAAATTTGATCGTGTATTTCGAAAATGGATCATATATTAGCGATCGTTAAATGACAGACCGTATTGCGTCTTTGTCTGTATACATGTATGTAAACTTTGCTGCAGTATTTTGAAAAATAAGCACACCAAGTATAGTGAAAAACATTGCTTGAACATTTATAATGGTTTTTTATATCTCGACGTTGCTGCTAAGGTCATGTACGTGCTTGTAAACACCAGTTTCCATTGTTGGAACAGAAACAGAAAAAGGAAGCACATTTGTGGTTTTCGAAGAAGACAAGTCTCCGACAAAATTAATACAGACCTGCCATGCTATTAACTAGCAAGTTAATGTTAATGGTAATTTCTTGCAGACGAATAAGTCTTTATATCTACTTTAGGCCTACTTTCTCACTTTGTTGTTTCGCTGTTGTTATAAAAGAAAAGAATGGATCAAAAAAGTGACACCAATATGCTGTTACTTTTGACACCAAACTTGAAGCAGCGAAATCTGACGCAAAGTTTTTACAAATGAAGATTTAGACCGACTTTATCATGTGTATCCCCTTGACAGCGTCTGGCTCCACCCAATTATTAGCATGATTATACTTGTACTGGTCGATTGCTTGCATTTGCAGGAGGTGCATACACATATAACAGCCATAAAGAGATCTACACATTGTAACAATTGTACATGCACTAGCACATGCAGAGATAAATAGTACTCGTCTCCTTTTACTTATTGATTAGAAGTCAATCATAGTGGGTTTTCCCGTCACTGTCACATATTCATGCGTCACGCGTAATGATAATCTCTAGAAAGATGAATAATCTTCTTTGTATATTTTATCAAAACAAATATAACCTCACCTCTCAGCGACCTTCTCCACGTCTACGCCAGTGCTCGAGCCTTCACCCGTTCTTGCCACTTGGATGACCAGACTGGTTAGAGATGATATGACCAGATTTGCAATATAGGGCAGGTTTAACACGCAGTCCAGTCCAGTTCACGTGTATACCTTTACGCGGTCTTAGCTAGGCTTTTTCTTCAGTTTAGAATAAATCTGTAGCAGTTCATTAAAAACAACTATATCCGTCTGAAATATTCCTTTTGTGAAGCAGGTCTAATAATCTCATCTCAGTGGACTGTAAATGGTTATGGTATGTTGACATGATCTAAATATTTCGATTTTACATAAAGAGCAAGTTTTCTGTAGAGGGTCAATCGCAGGGTCCGTTGAGGTCACTTTCATATAAAATTGTACATTATCTGATTTCTTTGTTGCTTCAGCTTCCAGGCATGCGTGACAGCATTGTGAGTGACCCAGTGCATACAGTAAAGAACACTTCTTCGTGATGTTAGCTCACTACTTCCAGTAGTATATCTGACTGCCACTTTGGGGGTAATTCGTATGTAAAAAAGGTGATTTTAAAAAAACGCTTTAGTCATCAGACTGGTTAAAGACGTTTGTGGTAAATTGAGGGTAATAAAACCGTGAACAGCTTTGTGTCGCATTATCTAATCTTTATTTGAAGTGTACTTCGAAAATGTCACATTTAAGATGAATCTGTAAGTTAAAAACCCTACTAAAAGGATTGTTTTCAAAAACTTCAACAGAGCTGGATCTAAAGAAATCTAAATCTAAGTCAAAAGAAAAAAAAAAGCGAAAGTACCTTTTAGTATTAGCAAGACAAGAGGGGCCCATATCTGGTAATAACATATTAGTACTTTCTGGGACGAGACCCAGTCCGCGAGTTTTCTTTTTTTTTCATTTAGGAAATGCAGTACCAGAAACTGAGGGCTAACACATTTCTTTTGATTACACACATATACTCTTGCACTAATACTTGAGCGCAGTGCCCCTTATCTTCATTCTGGGTACGGAATGCCATGTCAAAGACTCTATGAACTGTGCACAAACGTAGTAATTTACCTCAAGATGTTTAAACGATTATATTTCTATCATTTTTAAAGCAAAAATTGGCTTTAAAATGTTGCAAAATTAGAAATACCCATGTCTTGGATAATTTATCTTGTTACAAGCACAATGCATCCTTGCTTTGCAAGCGTCAACGAACACTCACGAAGTCACAATTAAAGATTTTTATGTCCTCATGATAAACTTAATTTAAATCAAGCGTTTGTATTTTATAATTATATCGTTAATCGAAATAAAAGAAGTAAAGGTAGAATATAGCATCTATTGTTCAAAGAGAGCCGTTCACCAAGTCCTACTCTCTTTTAAAAAATATAAACGATTTTCTATTTCGAGTTTGATCATCTTAAGGTGCGGTTGTTTTAAAGTGTTTGTTACTAAACCATGTACAAACAACATTTAAGGAAGGATGTACGACAGGTGGAGTAAGTAGGTGAAATTGCATCTCTAGTTAATACGGTACTCCCATATGCAAGAGAATGTAAGCATACACATTTTATTTCATACTTCAAAGAGACCATTCCCAGACCCTATCTTACTAACTTTGGATCGAACTATCTCCGAGGGGATTCTCGCGTAATTGCAATTTACTTGGGCGGCTTAGAGTGGATTCCCATAGATTTAGATAGATCCATCTAGATCGACCTAATTCCCTGGGGGTTCACGCTAAATTGATGTCAGCCGAGCGCGCACAGTAGTTATTTACCCCTTTACAGCTTTTAGTAGGCGGGACAGACGCTTAAGCGGCTAAGCTGACAGTAATCTAGTGAGACTCCCCACAGGGAGAGATCGATCTAAAACCTGTGGGTGCAACTAGATCGACCTAACTCCTGCGGGTTCACGCTAAATAGCTGTCAGCCAAGCGGGCACGAAAGTTAATTACCCCCTTACAGCTTGTAGTAGGCGGGACGGACATTTAAGCCGGATTATCTATCAGTAATCTAGTGAGACTCCTCACGGGGATAGATCGATCTAAAATCTATGGGAATGCGCCCTTAGATGTCTGTCACGCCTGCTGAGGCTGATAGGAGTAATTAACTATCGTTTAGCAGCTTTAGTGGGCGTCCCAGACGTCTAAGCCGCTTGGGCTGAAAGCAATATTGATCGAGGGACCCCGTGGAGATGGACCGATCCTGTTAGATCAATCTAGGGGTGGGAACCCAGTCAAAATCTCCCTACTTCAATGTCAAAAATATAAAATCAAAATATTGGATTCAAATATTTTATTTTAAAAGGTTTTATTCTATATGATAATACTTATCAAATCATGTTGTCAAAATTAAATTTATCAAATTATTAAAACAAAAATATAATCTAAATAAGTGCATGTGTGTGCGCGCGCATGAATGCATTACAGTCATCTGACCAATAAGAAGGGAAAATCTTTGGTTCTTAAAATATAACAAGATTTCATAAACGTTACGTCTTTGATTGTCTCAAAATTTCACATGAATGATAATGTAAAACTAATTACCTGAATTATTCAATTAAGCTAATTAAAATCAAGTAACAGTTTGACCCCAAAAACTTCATATAAGTACTTAATAAGTAGCAATCAATGATTGGCACATGCATGTGTTTACAACCTTCCTGTAACATGGAAAATTTGCGATTCTAACGTAATGTTTTACATTATTTGGAAAAGCGTAGCAATTTACAGTAGCCTTCAGTAAAGCCTGTAGCTCTCCTGACATGATCCATTACATCTAGACGCAAGCTGGTAAAACATTTTCCGCGGGTGCCGTACGATGAAATCGCATAAGACTTTCCGTGCGATTTTTTGACATCGTTAGTGGTTACGGGTACATAACACACAGGTGCCGTGTCATTTAATTCTCCAACATAACCTTGAGGTTACGCAGTAAAAAAATCACGTTTTCAGTTGAAAAGTGTTGGTACGAAGTCCTTTCAGTCTGTGCAGTTGCCGTACGCAATCAGTGCGACTTCCTTGAACGTCGGTGCACCGGTCCCCCCTACGATTTTTCACCCGTGTGGTCAAAAGTACAATATCAAAATTATGCAAGCGAATGACATTAAGTTTTAGCATATTTAGTGTTAGAGACTACGCCAGTGTGGTCCGTCTGTTTCACCATTATGATGATCACCGCAAGTCCACCGAACAGTACCCGTATGGGAACTGTTCAATGCCATCTACGCTAATGTTATGACCTACAGGCTTACGATTTTCCAAATTTGTCAAAAAGGCTACGGACACAGACGCAAAGGAATTAGCCAGCAGCACAAGATATACGGACGCCACATGGCAAATGTAATCTAGGTTTGTCTCTAGGTTTGTCTCTGTAATCTAGGTTTGTCTCTGTTTGTCTCTGTAGCTCTCTAGATGAAAGTATGCAATCACCACATATACATGTTCCAGCATGAGACCAAGTACCCTAAATTACTACAGGTACCTCTTGGGTGGGGACCCAACTCAAATATTCTACTAGAAATTAGACAAATCGCTTCTGGAGATCATTTGGAAATCTGTAAGAAGACCTGCAGAATGTACCCAGGTAAAAGCCAAACTAATGGTAAGAATCAATGACAGCCTTCCATTTAGTATTTAAATCTGCTTTGCTTGTAGCCCACAATTTATCCATAATCCTCCAGCCACTCTCTTGGGTTACTAATAAATAGGTATTTCTTTTGTCTTTCAAGTATCCATCCCATCCATAGGTCAATGACTGGGCAAGTCTAGCAGCAACACATATCCATAGTACATCCATTTCCTTGCTGGTAAGTTGACGGACCTGTAAATATCCTGCAAGAAAATGCCCACCTGCAAGCAAAGGATCAATGACTTTTGATTCTATCATCATGTATGCCATTCCAATGGCTACTTCAAAGGCGTAACAACCATAATGTGAGTCTCCAACATCAATTACGCCACACACGTTGTAAGTAACCTCTACTTCATCTTCGGTCTGCCTTTTTCTTGTCAAAATGTTCTGCTCATTGAAATCTCCATGCACTATACCTACAAATCAATCAAACTGATGATAAATATTTTGCTAAATCATACATATGTAATCAATAAGTCAAATTTTCCATTGGAAAATTCAAATTAACCTTGCTGATAGACCAATTTATTATATTTCCCAAATTAAGTTAGAGGATGTACTTCTGCTGTCTCCACAATTTATGCTACAAATCAATCATATTGGAAGGCCTCCCAGCCATGTAAAGCCCCAAAAATATAAGAATTAGGCCTATAAGAATTTTTTGTTAAAATATAAAAAATACTAGTCCACTTAATTATAGGAACAATATTGGAATTTTCAAACAAAATTTATTTCTAGATTTCTTTCAAAGATTTAAATTCAAGCTGAGACTCCCATAGCTTTTGAGGTTCCCACCATTCATTTTCAATGACTATTTATTTTTCACTGACTTTACAGCACATGTGCTGCAGCATAATTTGTCACTTTGACATTGTTGATCAACTGACAGCAATTTGTTACAGATATAACTAATCATCAATTAATTAAATTTTCAGCAAATAACTGAAAATTCAAAAAAGTGTGTATTTCTTCCTGATTTTCTACAAATCTCAAATAAAATTGAAGCTCCTTACCTTTTGAGAGATCCATCAAGCTATCTAATACTTCAGTCTTAAATGCATCTATAACCTCACTAATTATTCTGCGCTTTTGTTCATCTTCAAATACATGAACAAGTTCTGAAAGCTTTGGAAGATTATCCATTCTCCAGAGCAGATCCCTTTTACCATATGAGGGATGCCAAAAATCCTGAAGTGAATTGTGATAATTTTTAGTTTTCTCAGTCTGTCTGGAAAACATCAGCTGTTAAACAGGTATTCATGGACAATGTATAATATTAATTTAAACAATCCCAATTAAACATCTCCTAAAACTAGAGGATCAGAGAGGCGATACCACCTCCAGATTGTACCACCAGCTGGAGTGAGCGCATTTGTACGGAAAACCAAAAACAAGGGACACCACCACCAGTCTTGTGCTTGACAAGCTCTATAAAATGTAATCAACAAGAGTTCTCAAAATATGCAAAATAAATGCAAAAAACTTAACTATTAATGGTCCAATCAAGCAGATTTTGGAATTGACCTGTATTTTCCTAACATTGATCACTCCTGTGATTTTCTAGACAATAGACCTATTGGTTTTCTTTAAAATGTGTTATCAGTATTGCATCCATAGTATGCTGACAAAAGAAAAAACCTGGGGCCAACACTGGGCAGATCTCTGCTGGTTTTGAAGATATGAGGAGCAAGAAAATATGCTAAGTTCAGTTCTTGGTGAAAAAGTAGGTCAAAGGTCAATTTCAAGGTCACAGTATATGAGTTCCTATTCAAGTTCAATAGTTACCATGGGCATTGACAAGTTCTACAAAATAAAAAAAATAAAAGGTCTCTGGCATTTACGGTACCAGAATTAGAGAGAGTATTCAGTTTCAGTATCTGATGGCTGCCTCTCCCATGAAAATGCACTAATTGACCCCAAACTCCCAAAGATGAAAGGAGACCCTGATTGTAACCCCTCACCATAATATGAGAGCTTAGGTCTGTGTAGTTTCTGAAAATTGGTACAAACAAATATTTTTTTGCAGAAAATTCCCATTTTTAGAAAATTTTGGCCTGTTTGACCTTGAAATAAAAGGTCGAAAGTCAAATCTCAGGGCATATTTGGAATCTATACATATGACTTTCTGTCAGACTTCTGTAGTAATTTTTCCCATAATTCCTTCGGTTTGGGAGATATTTAGCATTGAATTTTCAAAAATTTTGACAAGGGTGCGTTTCAACGAGCGCCACGCCCAGGCCAATGCACCGACTGAGACAAAAATACCAGGGGGTTCAAGTTGAGATGATATGTGACCTAAATCCAAGAGATGGGGACACAGGTCCTTGTGGTCTAGGAGGAGAAGCGGTAACGGTGACTTGTATCCCACAACACCCTGCAGAGCCAACGAAGCCAACGGAGCCGGTGGAGCCGTACGAGACGGGTTGGGACTAAAACCATGAGTACCGCCAGCGTACAAGCTGGTGGTACTAATAACAAATTAAAAAATGATAATTAAGCAGGGCAGCAAATTTCCCGAAAAATGAATGTCTAATCTGGCAAAAGCAGTAACACTAAAACAGTCTGAGAATTTAGATATATTTCCCCCTAAATTGCTATCAACTAACTGGCTTAAATGTCTGTCACACTCACCAAATCAGCTAGGGGTAAAGATAATTACCCCCCTAACAGCTTTACTATGCATGACAGACATTTAAGCTGGTCAAGTTGATGGCAATTTAGTGAGACTCCCCATGGAATTAGATTGATCCAATATATGTGGTAATGGTCCCGTAGTGCTCATGCCTGCTCATTTTGCATTAAATTGTGGCTCAAGTCGTTAATTTGGGTGTTCATGCTAAAAAATCTGTGGCTTGAGTTTGCAAACTGCTAATCTGTTTTTCAAGGCCTGCATTGGAAGTGACCAAAGTTACCACAAATGAGAGAGACACTCAATTGTTGTCCAAAATATTTGACACTCATTGGCTCACATTGTTTATTTGTACAGATAATGTCCAACAGTTCGTAAGTGAGGCTCTTGCTACTTTTATGAAGGGGCTGGGATTTTTCATCAGTCAACCAGACCTCAGGCCAATGGAGTGGTAAAATGCTAGAAGATAATCTCTTGCGACATTAGGAGACCGATGACAATTAGGACAAAAAAAGTTTAATTTCCACATTTTTTATTACTTTTTCAAAAATTAAAAGTCTGAAACTTTGAACGACTTACGCAAATTTTGCAGCTATACATTTTGGAGACTGGCTAATGAGCTCTCTAGTTTGTTACTCATACCAACTACATCTACAGTAATTCTTTGAAGAGCTTAGACATTATCTATTATCATGAAAAGTACTTGGAAGTTTACTGACCTCTAAAGCTTTGTTCATCTCTCCACAAAGCATGCCAGCTTCAAAAAGTATTGAAGGAGTGTATGGAACTTGAAACAATATCTTTCCAGGGACAAAGAGTAGCAAGCGGACAATATAGTAATCATATGGAATATCTGAAATCAAAAGTATGTGCCACCAGATGGAAATGTGAATGAAAGTGGGCCAATATTATACCATTAGTTTTCATCTGTAACTGTTGATACATTGATACATAAAACATTAATTATTTTTAATTATCCAGAAAATACATATATTTCACTGGCCAGTATCATATTCAGAGTTTGTAACCTTCAGAAACAGGTGATTTAATCTGGGCTATGTTACAAGAGACTGCTGGCTTAGTCAATTTGTTTAAAGGTACATATGAACCGAGCATCGGTGGAGCGAGGATTCCCAGTAACATATATAAACCACATCTATAGTTTCTTATACAACTCAAATAAATTCGACATGCCAAGGGGTAAACTGAATAAATCACTCGATCAGCCATAAAAAAGCTTTAAACTGCTCCTTTCTTTAAATTTTTGGTCAGAAATTTAACCTACTTTTCTGCGCCATTGATATACAGCATAGACTGCTAGCAGAAAAATCCATTCGCATATAATTTTGGGGGTAAAATTAAACAATTGGTAATTCTCCAAGTTATACTACTAGAAACTGTATGCTGGCATTTGGTTGGCTTTTGTGGCAAAAGGTTGGCTTCATACACATCTTTAAAGCCCCAACTAAAATGTGATACAGTGTACAAATTTCCATAAAAGGCTGATAAATTGTTCATATTTTATAATGAACTATGTGTTTGAGACCATTCCCAGAGACTATCGTACTAACTTTGGATCAAACTATCTCCAATGGGATTCTCGCTTAATTGCAATTAACTTAAGCGGCTTAGATGTCTGCCATGCCTAATAAAGCTGATAGGGGGTAATTAATCACCGTTTAACAGCTTTAGCAGGCATGCCAGACATCTAAGCCACATAAGCTGAAAGCAATTTAGCGAGAAACCCTGTGCGGATGGACCGATCCTGTGAAATCAATCTAGGGATGGGAACCCAGTCACAGTCTCACAAACTACATGTACCTACATGTACTGCCTTATGTGTCAATATGTACTGTATGCACAACCTTCATTTTTCACATTGTTAACAGTCCATAATTCTGGTCCCTTTGTGTTGGTAAATATACATTATACATGACTTAATTCTGCAAAACACTAACTGCTGCACTTTCCTACAGGTTTTCCCACCTTTAGTCTCCTTGAGATTTTCATCCAATTGACTGTGCAATTTTTCTTTTGACCAATATTTTCCATGAATATTTTTTACTGGCACAGGGAATTGCATTTCCTCATCATTCACTTTAATCTTTTTACCATTTAAATGCTTCAAAAGTTCAGTTTGTCCATCTGAAATGACAAAAGGTCTTGTTTCTATGCAAAACATGGTCGAATGAAAACATGCATGTACAAAGATTTAAAGTATTTTAAAATTATATCTTTATTTATAAAATTAGTGAATTAAACCCTAGTACAAGAAAAAATTCCTGAACAACTCAACTGCTGTCATCCCATGGCTTGGAATTTGGCAATTAGTAAAAACACCCTACCCATGTGTTGAGGTTCTTCGGAATCAATGGCATTCAGTATTTTCAGAACATAACCATGGGGCCAGACTTCAGGAATGAATTGGTTGGTTGAACTTGGTTGAACGTTCACATGGAAATTCTGGTCATCATAGCTATTCATCTTATGGAGGCTGGTTGGTGTTAATCCATACAAAGTTGTCACTAATCTTGTTGCAACTGCATCTGGTACATATGGGCGGACTATTCTCTCAGAGGGTCCTTTTTCTTCCATTTCTAAACAAAGTTCAGATATGTTTAAAAGTTAATGAATCAAGCAGCTTATAATAACACTTACATTACATGTAGACATATCAAAAGCAAGTGTGGAATTCCAGAAACAAATATATTACTTCTGCTATTTCTTATATGACTAAAATAAATTTGACATGCCAAGTCATAAACCAAATTCATTTCTCATTCACCCAAAAAATTCCTTTAAAACTGCACCTTCTTCAAATTTTAACATACCATGTACTTACTAACCAGGACTAAAACTTATTTTCTGCCAAGTGCAGAATAAAAAGGGGAGAAAGCAACTGATTCAATTTGGTTCTAGGTCTGGATTCATGATGCTGCAGCATATTAATTGCCCCATAGGGAAACAAGACAGCCTGCCTGCAGAACTCTCTTGCCTCCCTGCATACAAAAAAGACCAAATGACGAATAGAATTATGACCACTACGTGGGTCGTAATTAATGATTTGCAATACACAGTCTGCAACCCATTACCTTTTGGTGACCTATGACAGATGTAGAAAACAAGTTTAATTTCAAATGGGTTCTTACTGTACTTTTGTGCAGATACAGTTTTAGTTTGGTAATGCTGAGCTGATTGGTTAAGTAGCACATGTATGGTAATTGCTGGATCTTTCCAAATGGGGGAAAATTGTGAATTTTACAGTTACTGTTTTTTAAGTCATAGTTTTTTTAAGTTAGGTAACAAAATTAGAAAGCAGGCCACTCTATAGTTCTATTCTATTTAATAAAAGCATCAAAAATGTATTATATAGAAATATAATTTTTGTGATTATAAAATTATGTATCTGAAAGTTTGATCATTTTTGCCCATTGAAAAGATCAAGTCATTTTCATTAGTACTAGTGTATGGTAAGTCCTTACAATATTTTGTTCATATTTTACAATGCACTTCTATTTGATTCTATATTGTTTCTTCAAAGACAGCAATGTGGGGTAACAGACAAAGATATGAACACCACTGGCAATCCAGATATGAAATCTTTTTCTTGTTAACTGAAGAGTCAAGAAAATGACCAGCTGTTTCTGAATCTGATTGTGCCCATTTTCTACCTAGAGTCAATGTCTTGGTATGTTTAACCATGTAAGATATGTACCGGTAGAGAGTTAAATGAATAAGTACATTGAGGCTGATACTGTGAGATTGCAAGAATAGTTTGGTACTGTTTTCTTGTTATGTTGCTTTTTTTAAAATAATGTCTTGTTTTGCATCACAACTGTTTGGAGGCCCAGGGGTGATATAATGACTATAGAAGCAAAATGGTATATTTCTACCATATTTCAACCACCTTGCCATGAAGGTGTAGGGGGAACTGTTTGCCATGTTGAGACATGTTCACTTGAAAGATTACTCAACTTTACTCAGGTTGATACATCGACCTATGAATAAATAATATTTTATTGGATCTTTTCAGGGGCTTTTCCCTCTACCCCCCAAAAGATAGCATATAAATTACCCCCACCCCCATGTGCACCAATCGATATCCTGGATCCACCCAACAACCTGAGGCAAACTTCATGAGCCTTCATACACTGAAAAACAATTTCATTTCAGTATAATATCAACCCTCAGAGTAATTGTTACATGTATAATCGCTTTACCAGATCGTCTATAGGCGGTTAGGACCTATAAAGGTCGTCAATTGCTCGTTATATTGCGTAACATTTTTAAAAGCCCCATGTGTAGTCACTTTGGTTACGTTTTCTGATACCAGTAATTACACATATTGGTACGTACATGTAGGTACGTAGGAGTATCATTTTACATATGTAAATTATAATTACAATTAGGCCTACAAACCAATTAAGTTGGTCCTCCTGATAGACCTAGATGTACATACTGTAGGCTTATATAATATCAGAAATCGAATGCTAACGCGAGAAACTTAGTGTGAACTAGTTGAAAACTGCAACCAATCTTGATCAAGTGAATCTAACAATTAAAAGTCTTCATTTCGAAAGAAAGTTTATGCATAGGCATTTCGTAATTGGCGTTCCTGAAAACTGACCTTTCACTCGATTCCAAACTTAACCTGGTCTTTTCACCTCAAAGTGCAAGATGGATCAAAATAAGATGTGCTGCTTTGACGGTCGAAATGTTTGGTCCCAGCATACATAAAAACACCTTTGACCCCTGGGCATGACACATAAGCTAACACACTGATGGTGGTGATAAGATCGTAAGAGGAAATTTACATACGGCCGGTGGTCCCAAGGGGGCCGTCAAAACAGGAAGTACATGTACATGAGCTACTGCACACATTTCAAGACGCTTGATTAGTTGCTAAGAATGAAAAAATATAACAACAAAGTGAGAAGCTAGGTTGGTTGCAGTTTAAAGAATAGAGGGAAATAAATGTTCGTATTCGTATTCTTGTAGAATACTCAAATTCAGCAGAGAAACACTTTTGGTTGCCCTTAATTGGCGTTGAATTCCCTGGGTTGACCAAGGTCCGAAAATGCATGCAGGGCGCATGTACTGACTTGTACTCTGCCCACAGAGTACGCTAGTTACCAAATTTTGGAAAGCGACACAGTGTGAGTAGGTATATTTTAGAAGGCCCTGGAAAGTACCCTCAACGTTTTTGTAACAGATTACAAGCGCATAGCTATACTCGAGTATACAAGTACTGGTATACATGTATAGTAGTGCAACGGTCTGATAATTGTTTAGCACTGCAAAATATATATTGCGTAATGATCGAATTTACCATTTTGAGATACTTTTACATGTGTATTTTAGCACAAGAAGCAAAGTTTACTTTACTGAAGTGTAGGCATTTTACTCTTTATTTCGCCCCTATCTGATACCACACAAATACAAGTGAAATTGAAAAGCGCGCCAAAACAGGTGACGCGCGGAACTGAATCTGAATAATGAAAGTCCCTTGTTCATATCCGCTGTAGAGTACCCGTATATGAGGAAGTAAACAAACGCAGAAGTAACGAAGCCTTGTCGACAGATGATCACAAAATAAAGAAATCAAGGTGAAGGTATGTTTGGAAAATTTTGAATTTATTTAAAATTTGGATTTTACTCTGATCTTTAATTCCTTTTATTTTCATTTGTCCGCCCCTCGCATGGTCTCACATCCTCCCAATCTGCCTAGCTCGATCTTGCTCGGTCTTCATCAGTCTGATCAGGACTGGAGCTTTTTCTAGAACTGTGTTAGTAACAACAGGCCAGGACTAATATACTAGTAGTTGCCATAATGTGATGGCAAGAAAGGAAGAAACACAAAGTCAAATTATATGCTTTTAAAAGCTATAGAAGGTAAACTGCTTCATGTTAAATCTGTTGCCATATATCGGTGCATTTATACTGTAGGAACATGTACTGTATGTTCAAATACATTTTGTACTGAGGTCAGTCTACTTGTTCCAACCACAATTGCCTCAGTTCCCAAGCCTACATTTCACAAGGTACATACGTGCTACCTTAAGTAAATGCATTTGTACAAACTGTACCAGTACACTGGTACAGAATATTCTTCTTGGAGACATCTTTATAATTTACATACAGTATATATTTATTACAGATGTTACAGATCAGGATGAAGATATGTGTTGTTAATGTTGTTATCATAGCAGGACTTCTGACAGCTGTTGCTGAATCTCGTGCACCCATACATCTTGACCTTGCTGACTTTGAAAAAGTTGTGGTTGAAGGTACAGTATGTTTAGGGGAACTTTTACTCACAGTGACTGGCTGGAATCAGATGAATTCCATCCTTAAACATTGAAAGTAACATGGTACTTTCCACTTAAAATGAATTTGTTTACATACATGTATTTGTACAGCTTTATATCCTTGAAATAGTCATAAAGCAATTGGCGTTTGTTTTAGTCGGTGCCCATAACAGCACCATTTGATTTACTTGTAATACAGAGGTGTAAAGAAAGAACTAACAAAACTGCAGTGATGTTTCATGATGCTTCAGAAATGAAGTACTGGACTTTATATCATTGTAATTGTGAAAATGTATGTTTTGAGTCTTATCTCTTTTTTAATAGACCTTTTGTACAGTAAATCTGAAGTGAAAAATTCTGGATGCAAATGTGTCAATTACAACTGTGGATGCTGTGCTCACATGGAAGTGTCCAAAATTGAATTAAATGAGACTGGTAAGTATATATAAAATGCATTTTTTTTTTGTACCTTGGGGTTTTACCCCAACAAAAACAACTAAAGAAAGTGACCAACATATATTGGGAGCAAAGAAGCCTGGCTTGGATAAGATGATTAATGGACATAAGGTTTTATGGTATAGCTTTTTACTGATTTTTCTTCAATGGTGGGAGGGGTCCTGTTGAAAATGGCAAAGTAAGTCTTTTTAACTTATCCTATTTTTCTGTTTTTTGATATATATAAAGAAATGTAAAACAAATTTCACCTTGGGAGTTTTCCACCAAGTACTGCCTGGACAAGTTATCAAGTACCTCCTGGCTGGCAAAAGTAACAGCAACTTGCCAGTTCAGTAAATAGCAAACAACACATTACACTACAGACTCATTTAACATGCGGGCATAAAACACATTCTTTTATAAAGCAAACATGCGCACCTTGTAACTACTAGAATTCAACAAAAACTTTCAATAGGCAATGCTGATGTGCAAAATGGCAGGAATAAAATGACTTGGATTTGTGTAAAATGGATGCTTAAATAATCTAATTTGACCAAATAAACAACAAATGTGGATTCAGCATCCTACATTGTTCACTGCAACTTTCTAAAATCGTTCCCAAATTTAAGAATGAAAAGTTTTCGAGGGAACCCATGGAATGAGAGAGCCTATCTTCAAAGTCCCAAGGAAAGTGTACAAAAATTAATTCATATTTCTGATTTCCAGGGTGTGTGAATGTGAGCTATCTGCCTGACCAGTATGGTATTTCTCTAACATTCTCTTTAAATGGGCATGTGTATGTGAATGAAACCATTTCTGGTAAGTGTAGGCAAAATAGGAGTGTAATTTTATACCCTATTAAAGTTTCAGGTCTGTCAACTGGATCAAGCTGTTTAAAAATGTTTGTAGATGAATAAATGTTAGTAGCTCACTACACTAAGCATATGCACAACTAGTTAGCAATATTAATTAGGAAACAATATTTTTTTACAAATGTTAACTGAATACATATTTTTATAGATTTCTAAATATTGCTTGGTATTAATAGGGTTGTATTAAAGGCATGTTTCTGCATAAATGAATCAATAACTTGTAGAGCCGCTGATTGCCTTGATTCAGCATGATTCAGTCACATTTGCCTTTTTTTCTTCTAAATGGCCTCTGAAAATGCAACTTTTGGAAGTCCTTAAGTGACATTCTGCAATTTTCATACTCCCCTTTTTTCCACATCTAAAATTACCTCCAAGTTAAAACCTTGTGGAAACCCAATATGCACCCACTGATTACTGTATTTGATAGCTTTGAACCTACTAACATTCATTTATTTTTTTCTTCAGCCAAGAACCCACCACCCCTGTGCTTTGCCATACCGCACTTGAAGGACTTTGCCAGTCTCTGCATAAAGTTCTACAATCTGAGTGTTTCTAGCTCCAAATTATCTGGCTGTGTCAAGATCCAGGCTCGTCTTTACCACGTAGACATTGAAGACATTCCACTGGGATGTTTTAAACTGGGTAAAGGAGTTAATGTGCTGTATGGAAGTGATCCATCCAGGTACTTGCAGATAGTGCACCAACAAACTTTCCCCAAGAAGACAATACGAGCCCAAAATGACTTGAAATTGATCAGGCTAGTTGTTTAAAGTTTAGACCATTTGAATTCAAGATCAAGACGTCATGAAAAATAAGTGTCTGTATGCAGATCAGAATTGTGGCAGACTCCTAATGGAGCACGTGTAACAAACAAAAGTTTTTTTAAAAATTCCAGCACGTTTCCAGTAAAGTGCAAAGGTTCTCAAGTGAATGAGCAACTTTTAAATGCATAGGGAAAGTGTCCCGCCAAAATGAGACGGAAGTTTTCTGACTTGATGATCTGGAAAACTGGTTTGTAAAATATTTAGACATTAGCAAATCAGCAAAAAGTATGAAAAATACAGTTAGTGCCAGTTTCCTGGAGTATAGAAGTTGAGAGTTCACCCCCAATGCAGTTTGTAATCACATTTAACAAGACAAAACAGAAAAAAAGAACTTAATCCATTTCTTTATATTTTATTCATTCAGCAGTCTTATGTACATATTATTTTACAGTTTCCTCTTCACTTGAAATATCAAATATTTTGCTCGAAAAATAACTGACATGAGAACTGAAACACTTCTTATGTAATGACTTGTAATTTTTCAGTTAAATGACATCTTTTCATTAACTTGCGCAATGCCCATTTAGATAATAACCAGAAAGACCTACAGGTCTAGTGCGCTGGAGAATACAAGATGATACAACTTTATACATTGACATTTTATTACAAGTAAGGATACTGACAAATATATCTCTCTCTTATAAGATATGCACTTGTAATAGTATCCCAGACTTGATTTCAATAAAAGCATGGGTTTTCCTTCAGAAGTGGAAATTGTCAGTCTCACCAAGCAGAGCATGCTCTTTCTACAAAGTATGGATTTCTACCACTTAGAAATCTTATTTGCTGTATTCCTCTTTGTGTTTGACCTGAATTTAAATGATTTTCACAATAAGGGAGGATTTTACAAACAACTGACACAATAAATGTACTTGACTTACTAAATGGGCTGCTGTCACCAATGAGGGTTAAAATCAGAGTTCAGACAGTCACAATTTGCTTTTTAGGGTACAGTTACTGTAATAACACATACTAAATTTCAGGTTCCATAGTCATTCCATTATAAAACTTTTTACAGCACTTATCAACATTATATTGAGAGAAGTGCAATGTCTGCCAAATGAAATTCTTTCAAAAAAAAAAAAAAATCTGGCCCATACTTAACCTACCCTTTTCTCCTTGCAGCCAACGGCGTTCCTTAAAATATTCTATACAACTGTGAAATTCCTCTTCAGAGTATAATTCTGTTTGAAATGGTATGAATGGATCCAATACTGCAAAACCCTGAGAAACAAAGAACTGGGTAAATACTTTATAAAAAAGCTACAATATTGTTTGCAATTCTTTTCTTAAATACTGGTACTAGTACATGGCATTAATTTACATCCTGACAAAAAAATCGGAAGAGTTCTTACAAATCAATCATTTCAAACATCAATGGCTAATTGCTTTACGTAACATATTTATATTTTAATTGGAAAAGAAAAACATTTTTTTACCTCTTTTCCCAATAGATATTTAGGTAAGTCTGATTCCCTCTTGTCATCCTTGCTGGCATTTCTGTCCACCGTGAGTAGCACAGCACCACCAGCCTAAGTAATTGAAAAAAATATCACATGACAACAGCATTAACATCTAACTTAAAAACTGTTCATGATACTACAGTGGATTTACAATTCATTGTTTTAGTACATAATTAATATTAAATGCTCTATTCTTACTGGAAATATTTTAGTTGAAGTCAATAAATATCCTGAAATAAATGATACCAGAGAAATTCAGAAATGGCACATTATGCTAATTTTGTAAATGGCATTCTTTACAACAATTTTGTACTTAAATTTTGTATCTTAAATAGAAAGACAATGTAACAAATACTATGGTGACAGGACTTATACTGTTTATGCCCCAAAATTTTATGACAAACCACCATATATTAGAGCTGAAAGTGATTATGACAGTTTTAAAGTCTCTCTAAAAACTCATCTTGTCAGACTCTTTAATCTTTTTAACTACATTTGTATCATTTTAGTACTGTAATTTTAGAGAATTTTATATTATATACCTGTAAAGTGCACTGAAATGCATTATAATGCACTTTATATCAAATAAATGTTATTTAGTAAATAACAAAGAACAAACCCAATCATTTTGCAATAACTTCATGAAATGTTGCACAAGCCCAATTTGGGAACTTGGTCTCTGGAAAAAAATTATTCAAAACTACATAAATTATATCATGTTTGATGTGCTGGGTACAGCAATTAACTTCACAATGGAAAAGGAGCTGTCATTAGTTTCTGTGTGATATAAAGAAAGGGACATGGATTAATGTTGAAAGCAACATGCTGCTTTCATCAAATGAGCAGATGAAAAAAAAATGGAACTGTAAAATTTGCTAATACCAGATTTAGCACTTATCTAGCTGGTGATGCAGTGATATGAAAACTTGATGTATTTAAATTCAACTACTTATTATTAATAAGAATAACTTGGTAATCTAAGAGTTGACAAATCAGTTTGTTCTTCAAGAGAAAAAATAAACTTCATAAATAAACCCATTTTAAAACTAATAATATATTTTTCTATCCCATTAATATTTGATCATCACATGTCAAGCAATAGGATAATCCGATATGAACTTTCGCAAACTCACAAACTCTCCTGGTGCAACTTTTACAGTAGTCTCTTGAAATAAGGAATTCACACCATCAACAACCACCAGAACCTTTAACCTGAAATCAAAAGGAAGATATATGTTTGCTCTTTGTCTAATAACCATAGTGCTTCTACATGATCCAATATCTTGATAATATATTTCAATACATTTTTTCCATTGGTTGTTCTCATACCCTGACATAGGCTCATAGCAGGAATGGCTTAACTGACACTGTAGAAAAAAACAAACTTTTGGGAAAGAATGGTTTGAATGCTGCCAATTGCCTTTGTATAGCAAATGTTATCCCTGAACTAACTTGCCCAGTTATTGTGGACTCCCATGATTTACTGTTAAAGTCTGTTGTTGTTGTTGTTGATCCATTCCCATTTTGAGCTGTGCATAAACAGGAAGTAAAAAAATCATAACCAGACTGCTTGCCACCCATGTCAGGAATCTGGTATTCTTTTACAGTCAAGGTTTGCCCTGCTTTGGCCTTTGCCTTTGTAGAAAATTTAATGCTGAAGTCAAAATGTACACGATGGCTGAAATAATAGGTAAATAATTGGTCGTACTTACCCTAAATCTGCTGCTTGCTTTTTCACTTCTCTGATAATCATGCCAACTATATCTGGGATGTGCTTCTCTCTATCTAACCCCTACAGTGAGAAAAATAGGAAATAGATGGAACACCTTTATTTTAACGGATTTGAATATGCTCCAAAATGGTTATAAACATTCTCCTTATATCTGAAAAACAATGTTCTCATTAAAATTTTCTCAAATATTGAAACAGGCACAAATAACATTTCTAGCTAAAATATTTGTACAATCAACTAAGTCTGCCTCCTTTTCTAGTCTGAGGTATTCTTGGTTGTAAAATAATTTTTGTCGCTAATTTGGGTTATTACTACGTATATATCTACACATATGTAACTTAACTTCTGGTTTTTACAACATAAGCTTTATACACTTTTTTTACCTCCACCAAGGAGGTTATGTTTTAACCCCTGTTTGTCTGTCTTTCTTTCTGTCTGTCTGTTTGTTTGTCATCAACATAACTCCAAAAGTTATGGACCGATTTTGATGAAATTTTCAGGGTAGATCAGAAATGGGTTAACTTAGAAGTGATTAGTTTTTGGTGGTGATCCAAATCAATAATCAATCAATAATCAAAAATCAATCATCGTCATAACTCAAAAGTTATGGACCAATTTTGATGAAATTTTCAGGAACTGTCAGAAGTGGGCCAAGGAACAAATGATTAGTTTTTGGTGGTGATCTAGATCAATAATCAATCAATAATCAATAATAATAAAAAATTGCTGCCTTGGCGGAGGTCTGCGCTCTCAGAGTGCTTTTCTAGTTTCTAATACTGTAATGTTGACTTGGGTAAAATGTAATCAAATTTGTTATTGTTCACAAACCATTTCTATCAGATCTGTGATAGGAGTTCCTTCTAAAGATGAATCCTTTTTTGTCCAAACACATTTCTTTGTCGTTTTCAACTGCAAAAAGAGTCACAAAATTAAATAATTTACCAAAGAACATTTTATAATGTCTTGAAAATTGTTATTGCAACTTCAATATCAAATATATGTAAAAAGCATGTTTTTCTGCTACGAATAATAAAATATGTTAAAAGATGTGAAAGTTGATCATAGATGTATTTAGTATTACTTAATTCTTCATCCTTTCTTAAAGCAGTTGGATAGAAACTTATGTATAACATTAAAAATGGTGTAAATATCACTTCTGTTGAATTGCTATAATAATTACATAAATACAATGTATGATTACAGCTGTCCACACTGTCAATAATTACTTCACCTTTTCTAAATGATGTTGATTCAATTTCCTGAATGAATTCATCCACTTCAATGACTCAACCAATGTGTCATGACGGTCTTCCTTATAAGTTGATTCTTGGTAAGTTGCAGGAAACTGATAAATGTGTTTAGCTGAAATTAAAAAAAAAAAGGTGAGAGGCTAGCTCAACATTACCTATTGAGCACGTGGTTCATGCAATAAAACTGATACTGTCACATTATATAGCAAAATAAGGTGTCATCGCTTCAGCAAAAATAGGATTCAAAAAGACATTCTTGCACTGAGTTTATCAAAACATCTTCAATCATTTCTTGATCAATATAGCTAGTTACTTACGCCATGGTACATGAATAATCATGAAGTCTTCCTCTAGGGCATAATGTGCAACATGAGCCAGGGTTGTACTTTTGCCTGTTCCTTGGGGACCATCTTGTACATGTTAAGTGATAAATGCCAAAATTTTTGAACACAGAAAAGTGATTACAAATGATAGGAAGGAAACCCAAAGAAGTGGAGAGAAGCAAACAAAATAAATAAACAATCAAAGGCAAAGAAGCACCACAGAATCTGACTAGACTCGTGGAAAGCAAAATGACAACTGTGGGTTGTACAAGCTGTATCAAAAGCATAAGAAAGTAAAACAAATAAATAAAATAATCACTGCGTATAATTTAATGAGTGGCAAACCAATTTAAAATCTTAAATACTCATTAAATTACCTATAGATTTGGAATGCATTAATAGTATCAGTAACATTTCCGACTACAGTCATTCTGATAAAGCGAACTAAAGTAAAAATTCCACAGGGAGCAGCTAGGAGCAGTCATAAAAACAGAGGCTTTTTAATCCATAAAGCCTTACTAAATTTTAATTCTAAGCTATGAAAGAACACTGTTGAATTGAAGGGAATTTCAAATTACTTACCTGGAAAAAGCAAGAAAGTAATTTGAAATTGCCTTTGTGATTCAGTTCAAATTCTAATAAAATGTGATATTTCATTACAAACTGCAATTATTATTTATTTGTACTATGGAACTAACATACAACATGTTTGTATTGTGTCCTACTTTGAAGTGTTTTTCTTTAATTTAAATTTTTTTTTAAATTGCTGTTGGAAAAGATAACTTACAGATCACCTCTTAATTTGTCATTTGTTCAGACCCATGAAAGTTCAAAGTCACACCATGAAATACCAATTTGTGAAAAATGAAAGAAAAAAAGAAAGAAAAAACTGATGTCTGTCCACAAACAAATAAATATAGCTATTAAAAAATGTACTTTTGGCATTAAATATATAAAAAATAAATAACAAGTCAATTCTTACAATTCTCTTGAACTGGAAACAATCCAACATATAACACCAAGTCATAATTTGATATTGACAAATTTAGGAATATACCTGTATCAATATGTGCCTGAGTAATAGTGGTGTGCAAAGCTTTGGCTCAAGTTCCAATAATTTTCTAGCAATACCAACAGATGCAGTGATTGCTTTAGGCACATGCAAACTGTGTCCGAAAGCAAAAAATACTTCCGTAAATGTAAAGGATACATATTACATATTTGATAACAGGATCTTTATAATTTGCACTTTTCATCAAGTCAATTATCTCTAGGGCTGGTTTTCTCACCATTATGCTGGTTTCATTAAAGGTGTCAAACTGAAAAATAAAAGGACTAAAAATACTGAACTGAAAACATAAGTCAACATGATACCTGATGAGAAGCCCTGTAAACACAAGCAGTGAAAATCTTATGCTAAGTTCAGTATCAGTAAAGCTCACACAAAAAGTCCACCATACAACAGGGGAACTGATATCCTCTCTCTCTCTGACAACTTGCAGACAGAGTTGTACTTAGGAAGCTAAATTTTGTAAAAATCCTGACTAGGAACACAAGAATTTTAAAAGTTCAGCAAGCCAGGTGCAGTGATGCTGGATTGCACTGTGATGTACCATGATAAACCTGTCTACCCCTGTGCTCCAAGGTTGACACTGGGCAGCAGTGTGGTACTGTTGACAATTTACCTTTTTATGATTTATGCAGACAACAATACACTAAAACTGAGAAACACTGCCACCTCTGGTAAAGACTAAATAGTGTAAAAGACCACTGACTGTGATGAAATCAAGCTAAGATTTTTAATTCTTAAAGTATATTGTTGATCCCTGAAAAAAAAAAAATATCCATATCTGATAAAATTATTCATTTTAACAGATACCAAATTTTTATAACTAGAAGGTGTATTACCAAGAGTTGCACTTTAGCCATTACCTTATTTATTTTAATTTAATATGACCTACAGTCAGTGACATTTAAAGTGACCACAATTGAAAAAATAAACAATATTTTACGGCTACACACACACACACACACACACACACACACACACACACACAATTCCTTACCAATTGCAATAACTTAGGGTTAAGCCAACCTCTTGTAAATACTTTTTTTGCTATTGGTTCTGGAACAGTATAAAACTGCCCTATTTGGTCTTTTGTTTGATGTGCCTGAAGAAAAAATAATAAAAATTGTGCCTTAATATAACTTCACAATGTATCTGTTATTAAAAACATTTTATCACCTGTTTATTTAATGATGCCATGAGTTGTGTCTTTCTCTTATGTCTTTCTCTAATGTCAACATATCTCTTTGGTGCTCTATCAGCATAAAATAACATTTATGTTTTGCCTGAGCATATAATTTACCTTTGCAGAATTAATGTCTAATTACTCAACTGAAAAGTTATTTACAACACTACCAATTCCAACCAGATATTCACAACCAGATGATCCACAGATTAAATATAGCTGACCCATTTGAAAGCCTGACGCGTAATCCCCTAACAGACGCTAAATAGATTCCCTGTGAGGATTATGCAGCAAGCTTTCAAGCGGGTCGGCCATCCTTGATCCGCTGATCTGTTAATCCCCAGACCAAGGCTCTATTCCCATAGATTTTAGATCGATCTATCCTCGCGGGGAGTCTCACTAGATTACTGTCAGATAATCCGGCTTAAATGTCCGTCCCACCTACTACAAGCTGTAAGGGGGTAATTAACTTTCGTGTAAGCCCAGCTGACAGCTATTTAGCGTGAACCCCCCGGGAGTTAGGTCGATCTAAAGTAGGTCGATCTAATCTATGGAAATGGGGTGAGACTCTGGTTGTGGATACAGCCCAAGGCACATCCAGTACTATGCTGATGGGACAGTAACAATTTATCAACTATAAAATAAACAAAGAAATAAAACATCAAATTCTTTAGTGAACGTAACTTGATACACACTACCTCTTCTCTATGATTATTATTCATGTGCACAAATCCTTGTATATACATTAACTCATATACATTTAAAACTCACTGGGCTTGACACAGTTGTCCTGCAAACTCTAGGCCTACGTGGTTTGACGTCCTGTTCTGTTCTAACATTATCATTACCATGCACAATACTGGTGCAGCATCGGTAATGGTTCAAGCATACTTTTTTATGAGGAAAACTATAACCTAGAAATAAAAAGATTAAAACATTTTATGACACTTAACTGACTTTGTTCATGCACTTGAATAGATTGTAAAGCTTAGTGCTGCAAAGGATTATTCCCTTAAACTCATGCCATCAAATGCACCATTACTGTCCATGTGATATGCCAAAATAAATTATAAAGAGACTGGGCTTAAGATGACCTTTTGACAATGAACAGACTGTTCAGAAAAAAAAATTGTGTTATTAAGTGATTTAAAAAATATACATATTTACGGGATCATTTTGGACAACATTGTTAAATCTTTAAGATAAAGTATTGATAAATCTAAAATCCTTTGCAGCACTAAGCTTTACAATCTATTTCTTAAAATTTATACAAGGTTATATTATTAAACTTAGATAATATTTTTGATAATTTGGAACAGCAACCAATTAAGAACTATCTGGCCTCATATTATAACTTAAATTTTGGTACATGGCATTGACAGTTTCTCCAGAAATGGACAGGAAAATATGGGATTTAAGAAATTTATGCGCTTACATTTCTATTGATGGGAAAACTGGCTGGCTGTACAGTAATGTGCAAGTTGCGGAGATGAGAGGTAAGATTAAAATTTGAAAGCTCCCCGAGTCACGACGGGTTTGGCAACCAGCCCTCATTACACACTTTTTGAAGCCTTTTTTCATGCACTAGCAGAGCCAGTATATATCAATAAGTGTATATCAATAAGTGTGCTAGCACATGAATTTCGTACTAAGGATTTAAATGACTGGCCTGTTGTTTACTAAATTTAAAACTTAATCAAATCCAAGTGCAAGGGTGGGTCCAGTAATGATTCATGAGTAGGAGAAATTTGCTTTTCGCCAGAGGAAAATTCATTATGGCGGGTAAATCCCGTACAAAATACCTTTATTAATTAATCTACGCTGACCAAGTCCAGGATCACCTTGGCAATATCATGCAGTGCAATCAAAAAATGTCATGGTATCACATTATTGGTCAAAGAGTTTGTTCAGTGCTTAATAAATAAAAAAAACCTATCAAATACATTTAACAAACAGTAACTGACTTGTCAATGCTTACCTATTACTCGAAAAATATTATTTTGGCCCACAATCATGTTTTTCAACATGGAGGCTGCCATTTTACTGTTGCATGGTGGGAGTTTTCATCTTACTTTGAATTAATCTGTAATTTTAAACACGTTATTATTGGTGACGCCTTTTTATAGAAAAATAATTAGAATGTGTTTCTTAAATCCAAAATACGCTTACTTAACAACAGAATTTAAATTGACATTTTAAAATGAGACACGTAAGGACTTTTAAATTTACACATCATTTTGTTAATATTAGATTTTTTAAAACTATTGTGCGTTTTTTTGCCCAAATACCTTATCTAAAATATATAAATACACTCTAGTTATGAATTTTACTCTTTTATGCATATTATTTTCTCTACATTTTATGATCAAATATATGTATTCCTTTCTTGCTTCAAACCACACAGCGCCATTTTGATACACAGAGGAGAGCTCCTGTGTTCTAATGGGAAGTTGTTTATTGACCGATATTACTGTGTCTACCCATTAAGATCTTTCAGAACGACTTGCAGTTGAAAGGTGAGTGAATGGGGCGCTGTATGATCATCGTTTTTCTGAGTAGCTTTTTGTTGGATCTTTCCTGAATGTTTACCTGTCCACCTACACTGTGAATGTTGTCTCTCCGAGTTGATACTTAAACTACTTACTCAGTAATTTTGCCAACGTGCTAACATTGATATAAAGAACATAATTAAATCTGGTCAGATAGCATTGATTCAAATTTTTCATGTGGTTACTGTACCTTCAAACTTGATTACTCAAATCTGATGTTCATGGTGAAGGTAAGCATTTTCCATAGCACTGTTATTTGATATATATTTGTTTAGATATTTACAAACATACGTTTATTACTGCTTTGTGACTGTTTAATTTAGTTTAAAGCAGCAAGAATTTTCCTCGAATGTATATCGTGCAGCAACAGAGCTTGTAGAGTTAAGCCAATCACAAATATGCATCAACTTTCCCCCCCACAAGATAAGAGCTTCCAGACAATTGAATGAGGTTGAAATGAATGAATATATTTTGTAAACAGTTACATGTTGCATGATACACACAGCATTATCAAGTTCAATTGTTGTAAAATGCCTTATACCACCTCTTAATGATTTTTAGCTTACTTGCTGTGCGCTGTGTGTATGTATGCGCAGTTGGACAATGATATAATTATGGCCTTATAAGCGTGTCTAAATATATAAATGAATATTTTAACAGAGTTGGGTCTGTGAGGTGGCCCTTTTGTTCAAACACATAATATCCCAGTTTTTTTTGTTTTTTTTTTCCATTTAAGTAATTTTGATTTACATAGTCAGATTTATATTTCACAGTTGTAGATTGCCAAGCTTCTACAAATCCAACAAGCACATTTGATCTGAGTGATACCTGTGCAGCACTGAAGCAAGGCACAGGGCCAATGACCCCGTGATCCCTGAATCTGTTCCTTGACATGGAACAAAATGAAGAGGATGGACAACCCAGGCCCACTGTGGGCCAGGGTCCTTGTGAAGCAGAAGAGGAAGAGGAGAAGAAACCCAGCACCAGTGACTCTGAATCTGGGAGTGAGATAGATGAGACTCATGAGCGCCATTTCTCCATCAGCAATTTTGATCAAGGGCAGCTGAAATTGAAGATATCTACAAAGCTTGTGAAAAAGTCACCAAGGGAAACCCCTACCACAGAGGATGGAGGTGAAGATATGATGAAGTTTGCTGGGAAGACAGCTGGACAGGAGTTACCTTGTAATGAAGAGAAGGCAGGACATTCTGAAGTCCTGTTGGATACTGAAGATCAGAAAAAGGTGAGTTGTTTTTCCTTTCTCTCTGTTGCTCTTTTATGTTTTTTTATATTGGTTAAAAAGGAAAATGTTGAAATTTTAACTCAATTTAGTGCTTTTATAGGATTTTGAGTTTAGAAGTTTAATTGAACCAGTATATATTTCTTGTAATTGTAAATATTAAAGTAATATTGCCTTGCTTTTATTACTTTCATGCATAATGATCAGTTTCTTTTTAATTGGAATGTGATGAAGGTGGCACATTTTATGCAGGCTGCCTTAAAAAAATTGCTATGAGATAAGGGCATACAATCATCATGTGATGTTTTGTTGGCATGCACAGTTAAACTACTTCATTTCCTACATGTGTGTAATTTTTAATTGTCAACTTTCTTGACTGAGAAATTGTATTGGATGGTCCATATCGTTTGATTGAAACATTTGAATATACTGCCAGATTACCATACATCACACACAATCAGGTAGATTAATAAAGATGGAATGAGGTATGTTATTTGTCATAATCTCATCTTCTCTACAATGGAACAGCTCTGCATTACAGGTCAGGCAGCTAATTGGACCTGTCATCTGGAGATTGAAATAATACCAAGGCCTTGCAATATCAGTATTAATCTCAGGCCCTCAGGACAAATTATGCTTTATCCTAGATAATTGGAGTAGTGGAATACACAAGTGGCATTGCTGGCAGATAATTGGAAAAACAGCAAACCTGCTTGTGGGTTGTGTTGTGTTTTTCTTGATTCAACTGACTAGAAATGTAAACATCTCTTCTAACCTTGATATATATATATATATATATATATATATATATATATATATATATATATATATATATATATAATGGTGTATGGGAAGAAAATGCAGTTAAGCAGGATAAAATATGGCACTTCAGCTAGATACATACTCATGATTAACAGAGCCCTAATTATAGTGTTTAATTACACCAGAGTAATTATCGTAATAGTTATTGCTTTTATTGAGAGTGAGAGGCTTTCAGGGGTTGACTGTCATGCTGTTAACAGCAGCTTAGTGAATATCAAGCTGCTGCATTAGGATGTCAAAACTCAGGTGCAAGATATTACTACATCCAGTCAAGTAGCATTTAAGGAGAAGTCAATTAATATGATTAGCAAGCTCTGATAGCTTTTTTATATTTGTCACTATGATTCATCACTGGTGCGCATTACAGCCAATGAACAAAGCAAGAAAGCCAAACCAATACAGACCAAATTAATTAACACTTTATAGGCTCCAGACTGTAGGACTATTAAATTTGATGCAATATGGGACTGAGGGATGTTATGGATCTGGGTCACAGGCACTGAACACAGTAATTGCATGTTAAAGTAAGACCAGAAAGGTTGAGGTCATCATTAACATAAAAGCCTTGCATCTTATCGTTAATCAAGTGACCACCAACATGTTTGGAGGCAAAAACAAATGCTAAGAATAGAGGGATAATATTTTGCTAGTATTTTGATATTTTTTGTCCGTGTGAAACATATGGTTCTCTTTATTTAAAAAGCCATGTAGCTATTTTACCAACAACCCATTTATGACTGGGTGTTGGAAACATAATTTTATGTGTTTTGACCTTTACACATTTTCTTAAAATATATATGAGCAAACTAGTTGAGGAATTTATACTGTAATAGATAATGAGTCTTGAATAATTTTATTGCATGTTGTCTGTCAGCCATGGGGCATGACAGATGTTTGCTGTGAAAGAAATTCTACCTGCCTTGTATGCCATTATGAATAGAATAAAACACAGTTGCTTTTAGAAATGATATAGGGATTAAGTTAGGTTCTTCCATTATGGTAGTCACTCCATGAATTAATTCAGATTAGACTAGGGCCTCTCACTTTGTCAGTTTATTTAAATAGTTTTAACACAAAGGTGATAGTCTGTATCAATTAAGGCACTACAATAGGTAAGACTCTGCAACTGCACTTGTCAAGTAAAAAGCCTCAGATTTCATGACTGGGTGGTGAAGGGAGATTAATTGCCATTTAGGGCATACCAGCTGCTGCCTGCTATATGTGTGCTAGACATTGTGCATTTCTTTGTGGCAAAAAATGCATTGATACAATTACAGGGGTCAATTCTTTAATACCAGGGAACAAAGAAGTCCATAGTCAGAAATGCTTCCTAGAGGTATGTAAAATACATATAGAGTTTGTTAAAAAATGTCATTTTAAAAAGACGCAGTTAGTCTGTCATGTTATTTCATTTAAAACTAATGGTTTCTAATTTATAAATAAAAGTCAACAAGAAGCAGACTGTGTAAAGGTTATAGACAATGAGGTTAATAGACAATGAGGGGCAGGTGTCTCATTTGAACCAGATAATAAGGTAGTTGTACAACTCCTTCTACTTCCTAACCCACTGGTCAGAAATCTTGGTTCCTGTCCATGGTTTTGACACTTAAAAAAACTTCTACATCTCCATTGACATGTCTCTACATGGGTCTTACTTGATTTCAATAGCCAAATAGTTATCTGAAGAGATAAGATATGGGAGCATTCTGTGTATTAAGCAGGTGAAATAGTCATGTCATGAAATACTTCAGTGGCTGATCATATATTAAGCTGTTAGGGTGAGGAGATAAACCTAAGCTAATATTCAGATAACCTTTTTGCCATAACTGTCTAATTGTGGTCAGCCCTCTTTTCCTCCCAATTCCTTTTATTATCTACAGCCCAAGAACATTTAGCTTAACCTACTGAAAAACCCACAGCAGATTGCTTGGTGTATATTTGATATCCCAGTAGCATTCAAAACAAGAACTGAAAAGGGATGTCTTACATAGCAAACAGTTTTGAAAATTGCCAGAGGGCTACCGCCTGTAGTTTCAAGGTATGGTTCCCAGTCTCTGTGTGTTGCTGTGGAGGTTGTGACCTACTGAAAATGAGTCAGTTTGTAACATGACATATATGTGGGTCATAAAGTTACAGTTTGTCAGTTATGGAATGTTCTGGATTTGAGAATATAACATTTTTTGTTATGAAGTGCCAGTATCTATATGGTTCTCAAAATTAAATGTGTTAGATTGCTGCCTTGTTCCTGCTGAACAGGACTTGGCTTTCCTGGAAATGGTGGTAATGATGAACATAATACATAGCGATAAGTGAAACAATCCAAATAGTATCTGAGATGAAGTAAGGAGTAATTGTTTCTGACAGGGGATTTAACATCCTCAAACATACATGTATCATCCTGTAGCTGCTTGGTCAATAAGAAGTTGGAACAAGTGTATTCTTATTGCTCTTCCCTGAAAATAGATCCACACCAGAAATAACATGGTATCTATTGACTTTCGTTCATTGGTTTATCTAAGCCAGAGGGATTATTAAGTTGGGTGCTGTGACTCGTTACAAAAAGATTCTCACAAAGTGTCCATTCAGAGATCATGTTACATCATGAGATGTACTCTGAATGGCTTGATTCTAACAATATGAATGAAATAGATTGTTTTGCCCGTCGTGTCAAATAGATTTCCATGGTAAACATTGGAGTGATGTAAAATCCAAGTACTTACTATATATTTGATATCCATGTTTTAATGTTATGTGCTTCACTGGGAAAATTGAATTGATTAGATCTAGATAGGTTTACTCTTTTGACATAGCCAGCAGAGGGAATAGAAAGCATGCTTGTATCCAGATAAAAGAAGTCAGTTCTCAGAATTCATTGATTCTTGGCGGTTTTTGTTCATGTGCTGTAAATTTTGAATATATTTTTTTCAGTAGTAAAGCATATGTTTTAGCGTCACCTCCCTCCTGGTATTGGTATAGAAGGACTGTGCCAAAACAGAAGCAAGTCACATTAATATCTGTGAGCATTATATCACACCTGTTTTGACAGTTATGTCATGTTGATAAAATACTGCATCACCAATCATGAGAGAATTATGTACCTTTATAGACAGTTGGAATTTTCTCTCACTCATACACAAAAAATGAGTTTAAGACCCTACTAATTGTGTTTTACTACTTACTGAATCTGAAAGCTCACCCAGATGAACAACACCAGAATTATATGTTAAAGCCTCTTTTGGATTACACAATGTGCAGGTCATGATTATCATATTACATGGCACTGCTGTCTAAGCAAGTGTATTGGAGTTAAATAAGAACGGAACACATTTTTATTTAATGGCTGGCTCAAAGGTCTATTCTTCTTTTCATGCTTTGCAAACAGCATTCACCTTTGGTGAACTCTGCCCTGGTTTTCTAAGGGTCATTTTCTGCGTGCCTTACATAATATTTAATGTAAAGCTAGTGTTGCATTATACACAGTTCTTGGGGATATCAACTGGAGTGTGCAGTTTAGTGGTATAAGATTGAGAGAGAACAGATGATATCTTAACCCCCAGTAAGCGTTTTGTCCCTTGTGTAACCAGAGGTAAGTTTAACTCACTGAGTTTTTATATCAAATTCTAAAATGCTAGTGTGACCTTTCACTTAAGATATGGTATTTCCTCTTCTAGAATGCCAATATGTTTCCTGCATCATTTTGAGGTGATTTATTTCTGTTTGTTTACCAAAAAGTTGCAATTAGCTGCCTTACAACTAAAATAGTTCCCCCCTACCCACCCCAGCAAAAAGGAAACCCAACCTTTGAACTGTGCCTCCTATATACTTTCCAGATTCTCTGGTAATTGCTTCATCATAGGCTATGATTGTTAGGTTGTGTAAAGGAATATGTAAAATTGATGGGTGGTGGTATATGGTTAGTGCCAAAAACAGGTGTATAACGATGTGGAGAGGTCAGCCATCTTGACAGTTCCAGGCTGCTGCTTACAGGTAGGAAGAAAGGTTAATGCCTGGCTGTCTGGGGGACAGCAGCTTTGTAGTGGTTGTCTTTTCTTATCCTTTTTGCCTTCATTGTTTAGGGGAGGAGAAGAGACAACTTGTTAACCCCCCAGTTATGATTTTTTAAAGGCCCCATGTTGTACATATCTGCTTTATAAGCTGATAGCATGTATCAGGTTTTTTAGGCAGATCAAGGTTCACAACAAACAATAGTGTAACAATATACCTTAATGCAGGAGTGAACATGCAGATGCTGGTACTTTAGCTGTATTTGCCATACAATGTGACACCATTATACTGGAATTCTATGCATAACTATGCAGACATTTATATTACGCACAGATTTATTGCATTTCATTTGTCGCAAGGTTGTTTGTTTTATATCATTTGAGGATCTGCTGGAATGTAAAAGCATTTATAATCTACTGGTTGAGTGAAGTATTTGTTTTTTCAATTTAAATAAAAAAGACCAGACATTTGAAATTTGATGAATTAAATTCATCTCACGTCTTATTCTCCCTTCTTCATTGCAATAAATATTGATTGTTGACCTGTTCATGTCATTTTAACAAACAGCAGCATTAATAATAATCTGCCCTTCGCTTTTTTATTTACTGACATCTTTTAAATAGCTGTCATTTTCAAACGATCTGTTGGTGTGGGTTACCTGTGCTCACCTTTATTGCTATAGTAGGCCAGGTAACAGGTAGAATAGCCCCATGTGGAGGCTTTGAAAGATGGAGTGTCAGTAGGTGACTGCAGAGATGACAAATGGTCCGTCATTGTGAATTCAAGTCACATGCAGAACAATGCCAAATACACCTTACAAGTCAGTTGATAGTCAAGACAATTCTGTGGGAAAGTAAACATGTTTGTGCATTTGGATGTATCCTGTGTTACTGCAATCATCCAGGGTCCTCCTGTTGTTTGTCGAGCAATATATCTATTCCCTTGCTACTATTAGTCATACCACTTTGACCAAATAATCCATTTGTTATCTTTTTTTTCCTTTTCTTTTGTTACCTGTAACTAGAGTTTTAAGCCCGACCTGTGACCACAAATGATCCATTTGCTATTCTTGACCTTCTAATGATTTTGTTTGCTGCATGTTATGTATAGCAGTATAGATGACAGGCACAGAATTTTCTGCACTTCAACTATTGTTAGGTATGGTAGGCAGTACATTGTACATCTTATTTAAATTGAACTAAAAGACTTAAGAGATTGCAGGAGAAACTGTTAAGTTTGTACTTTTATCTTCAAATTCCTCATAGTTGCAAATGTGTGTTCTACCATATTTTTTAAGTGGATTATGTATGGTACCAGTGAAGGAGGGGGAAAGGCATAAGTTAAGTGAATTTGGTTGTAGCAAAGGCATTATATTGCATAAGAAGGTGTTAATGGTGAAGTTAAGTAATTCCACATTACTGTACTTTTACTTGTCAAGAAGAGTGGAAAAAAGAACAGCATTCCATATCTGTTTATCTGAAATTTGAAGCAAAAGGTGCACTTAGTAGATAACTAGCTCTATAGTGGCCTGTGTTATCTGGGGGTCAGGCAGGAGATTGTCCATGTAAACCTCCTCTGTGCTTCCATGGTTCATCTAGGATCAGATACATTGGTCATCTGGTACACTCTTGATGATTTGTTATGGCTGGGCTGGTGACTCCCCAGTGGAGAGACCACAGGCTGTATTGGTATTATATAGCCACTTGAGTAATAGGGGATAGGGTGTTAGTTAAATGGGGAATGCTATCTTCTTATTGTGGGTTAGGCTTCGNAGCAGTATAGATGACAGGCACAGAAATTTCTGCACTCCAACTATTGTTAGGTATGGTAGGCAGTACATTGTACATCTTATTTAAATTGAACTAAAAGACTTAAGAGATTGCAGGGGAAACTATAAAGTTTGTACTTTTATCTTCAAATTCCTCATAGTTGCAAATGTGTGTTCTACCATATTTTTTAAGTGGATTATGTATGGTACCAGTGAAGGAGGGGGAAAGGCATAAGTTAAGTGAATTTGGTTGTAGCAAAGGCATTATATTGCATAAGAAGGTGTTAATGGTGAAGTTTAGTAATTCCACATTACTGTACTTTTACTTGTCAAGAAGAGTGGAAAAAAGAACAGCATTCCATATCTGTTTATCTGAAATTTGAAGCAAAAGGTGCACTTAGTAGTTAACTAGCTCTATAGTGGCCTGTGTTATCTGGGGGTCAGGCAGGAGATTGTCCATGTAAACCTCCTCTGTGCTTGCATGGTTCATCTAGGATCAGATACATTGGTCATCTGGTACACTCTTGATGGTTTGTTATGGCTGGGCTGGTGACTCCCCAGTGGAGAGACCACAGGCTGTACTGGTATTATATTTTCTCAATTATATACAGTTCTCAATTATATAGCCACTTGAGTAATAGGGGATAGGGTGTTAGTTAAATGGGGAATGTTATCTTCTTATTGTGGGTTAGTCATGGGTTCTTTGAGGTCAGAAGTAAAATTCACCTCAAATTGTGGTTTGTCCATCCTTGACTAATAGTGTTGTCTATCTTAACTGTGAAATGTTGAGTAAAAGTCAAGATACTTAGTACAAGGCTGTAAATAGGCAATAGTAAACAAAATAACATAAGTATCTATAATGTCTAGAATTATTTGATTTATGCCATAAGTGGATATGACATAGACAAGCACTGTTGACCCATAATACTAAATAATAATATGAAGTCAAAGTGACAGGTGTTCTTTTTTTTTACCTAGCTTTGAGCATGGTTGTTACATGTATCAGCCACACAATAAAATATTTATGATATATGGATGGATGTGCATCATTAAGCATCATAATTCCAAGCAAACACATTGCCCTAACATGTATTTCTGGAAAAGAATTGGCTCACTTCCAACCCACACCCAGTGTTGTAGCATAGTAACTGCACATACATTTATAAGAATAATGCTGGGTCTTGATTCTGCCTTGGTGTAAACAACTCACTTAATGCCTAGAGAAAGCATTTGTGATCAATACTGCAGAGAACTGCTGCAGCCAGCATTCCAGATAGTATCTTTGAATAGCCTAGATTTGCAGCAGATTAGCAAGGATGTCCATGCGTAATGATTATATTGATTGATGAAAAATAAAAAAAGGGGGCAAGAAAGGTCAGAAACCCTCATCAAATTGTTCTCAACTAATAGCAGATATTAAATACCCTTGGGCAATCCACCATTCACTCACTGGTTTTCATTTTATGCTGGCAAAATAGCTTTTATGATGTAGGTATAGTGTACCTGTAGCATGTAAAAATGTTGGTCCTAAGAAAACATGTATTGTTTATTCAAATTGAGTTTATTAAATGTACATAACCAATCTTTTTCCAAAATGATGATTATTGACCTTTGAAATAGCCGTGATAAAAGAAGAAGCAGAGTTACTTTGGAAGTTAATATTTTTAGCCAGTGAAGCAGATGTTGCAAATTACCATACAGGTGAAGGCAAAGGCCTAGATCAAATGATGAGCTCATATCTAACAACGAGGCTAGTTTGGTCATATTATCTTGTCACTTGTGTATTGATTTCACAGGAGTCTGTTAACACAGTGTACATAAAATGTGGTATACAATCTGATGTAGCAAAGTGATTGTGTATCCCCTCCCCCATTTAAAAAAAGGAAGGAAAGGAAACTTTAGAATTGAGATTTATTTGTGGTGAGATTTTGTCCAATAAAGCAAGCTCTAAGGGATGAAGTGTTCTCTTCTTGTGTCCCTGTATTAAAGAAGTGTGGTTTGTTTCTGTTCTTGCCTTCAGGGTTGAACTAAAAGAAGGATGTATGCCCTGAAATGTATCATTATATCACCTTATTTAATTTTTTGCTTTTATTTTCTTATTTATGTATCAATCTGCATTTTACACACTCGACTTAAAACCATGTAATAAGTTGAAATTTTTCTTGTTGCTATGCCCATCAGATCTTGGTTCATATGCATTACATGGAATCTACACTTGCCTCATATTCTACTAGTACTGTATATGACTCGAATAAAGTTCACATGCTAAAGGATAAACCAAATTAATTTCTCGATCAGAAGAGTGTAAACCTGCAACTTCCTCAAATTTTTGGTTGTAAATTGACTTATTAATCTGTCCCATTTTTATACAACACAGAAAGTAATAAAAAAATATCCATTCAAATATCATTTTTGGGTAGTGGGAAACGATATCTTTCGGTTTATCTGTTATTTATACTATTTGAAACAATATAATGGCATTTGGTCAGTTTATGTGGCATAATTTTGACTTCAAATGTATTTTAAATGATATATATTAAAATTGCTATGTATGACATCAGTAAAATCACCACTCTTAACTTGAAGAAAAATAATGCTCAAGAACATTAAATGACAATGTAATAGCATAACAACAAGTTTGATTTTAGGGTTTTTTTATATTGATATATACTGATATTAGTTAACAGGGTATATATCCTTGAGGGACTGTTTGCCCTGTACTTGGCTCCATCCAAGATGTCAAATTACCTTGAACTGTTAAAACCATGTGAACAACAGGTACATTGCTGCATCCTGTTAAGCTATCATAGCATTATCCAACCAGTTTGAAATTTAATAGCTTTGACATTTGAAAACACTAGGCTTGTGTAGGCCATGCAGCTTAATTGCTACTATTTCTGTGACTTCTATTTCTCAGCTAGCTGGAGATTGATACAATTTCTTCAGTAAACACGGGCATGTGCAATTGATTTGCGTTTCAAAGTATACTAGTGAAGAAAATGTGATCACCGGGAGCTTTTTCAATTGTTGAATTAGGATAGTGCTTCATTGAGGGCGATGTAAGTCATGCTGACGGGGTCTGACTTTATGTTGTTTACGGACACATATACCTCACATAGAAGCAGAAACTCTGAAAGAATTTAACAAGTTTCCTGTCACTAAGTGTAGAGAGAGGGAAGCATGGTTGAGAACACAGCACTTGGAAGATTAAATTGCCCAAGGAATGGAGGAGGGGCCAAACATGGTGGTAGAAACGAGCATGTTGCTTCTGCCTGGTGTATTTGAATAGGACATTAGAAATGTGGGGAAATTGGTACTTGAGTATGTCAGATAATACTTCAGAAATCTACCGATACATGGTTTAAAATGAATTAGTAGATTACATGTTTAAGTAAAGCTATAAGGGAGTTCAATTTAAAGGGTGTTGTATTGTGCTAGAGGTGAAAGCAATGTGTTTCTGACTGTAGATTGTGTTATTTTAAAGTTTGGTGCTTTAAGTTTTATAATATGTATTATAAAATGTGAAAAATGTGAGATTGTTGCTCTGTACTCTGATGATTTGTAGATAAATTATCGAGAAGTAGGGTATTGCCTATTTTTAGACTGTGTTTTTCGTACCTCAAAAGTTACAACCAGTGAGTTATTACTGAGAAATAAATACAATATATATAGTAGTTATTTGTAGGTCATCACAAAAATTCGAAATCGCCTTTTGTATATCAGTTGTATAGTGAACAGTTGGCTTAAACCTTAGACAGACTGAATAGCTTCCTGTCTTACACTTTTAGTGTAATAAGTCATGGAAAAGGTGCCACCTTGTGTAGCTATTGATATTCTAGTCACCCAAGTTATTTGTTCACTGGAACTGGCTATAATACAATCAGAGAGTTGACTGTTGTATGCAGGTCACATGCATCTATGTCTTTGACTGTCAGGAGGATGGCTGTCCTATAGTTCAAGAGTGTGGGTTACTTTTTATTTCCACTTGAGGTACATAAAGACTCAGTATATAAGAAAAAACGTTGACTGTGAATACTTACCAAGTTTTATTGCAGAGAACAGTGCTATGTTGAAAGCAAGGCTTGTTTGCGCAGGCGTGCATACATAAGGTAAAAGCTTAGAACATAAGATGCTTACTACTACTGTCATCTGCGGATGAGTGTTTTATATATATCTAATTAGGGATAAAGATTAGAGAAAAAAATTTACGTGTGGTTATGTCTTCAACAGACTTATACTTTAGTGTCGTATTAGATAAGATGAGTGTGCGTGCGCATGCGCCGTGCTGAGCATGTGATACATTCCTTTACGATACATCTTGAAGACGCATGTTCCACCATTCTGAATAAGGTCATGGCATCCTTCTTGTTACCATGGTATTATGTTAAGCATTTAACCTTTCTGGTACGTGATAGTTTTCATTTACTCGTAGGCTGCCATTTGAGTGTTTTTTGTTACATTCAACTTCAGTAACCTAATTCGCGATCTGGTTTTACCATCTCGACATAACAGTAGTGGTTTTGTATTCTTGCTGCACTACATAAGATTGCGTCAGGGCAGGATTATGTTATCAGTTCTCATTTTTTGGAGGACATGCTGAGTAGGAAGCCTGCATAGGAGTGTTGTCAAGATGGCACAGGGACTGCACTATGTCGAGCTACAAGACTGACCTCTTTTGGCAACTTGTCATCATTAAGTAAGTAGAAACAATATGCCATTGTTGGTTTGCTTTAAAAAAAAAGGCTTAAGCATGATTAAAACCATATTACATGCATGTTTTACATTGTGTTTCTCTGTAAGGCTGGTAGAATATGACTTCTTGGCCTGTAGGATCCTCTGGAATGTTTATTGTGGGTATCAGTATTTATGCCAGTAATAAACAATATATATGACCCTGTGGAATTTTCATTCACAAACAGTGTATCCTTGCAAGCTGTAGTTTCAGTTCCATTGGCAAATCACAATAGAATTCTATGCCTGACTCTGTTGACAGAAATGTGATGCTTTTTAGATTCAGCACTGCAGTGTGCTTGCCGAGTCTGTTTATTTAATCCCAGTATGAATGGAGGGATTACTCTCCCGAGAAAGGGACATTGTTGTGTGAAAGAACAAAAAGTGTTTCTACAATGTGCTGTGTGTAATATGGTGATAAATTAGGTTACGCACAAATACATGTGCGCATACACACATCTTACTATCCAAGCAAGCAAGCAGTAGAAGGCACTAGAATCATCGCGACATGACTTCCCCTTGATCTCTACTTGGAGGAGGTGAGAGCAAATATTGCATCGAAAAAAAATTATCACTTAGAAAGATGATCGGGGGAAAACCCATTTAACATACTAATAATTTTATGTAGTATGCATTATTAAATGTAAACTGAAATCTCAGCTGCACTGTCTCCCTTTCAAGATCACCAGAAACAGCACTGTTATATTGTGCTCAAAGGTCAAACCTGTATGATATATTTTAAACATGAGTACAGAATGTTTATTGACATCCAGTATGATTGAAGTGATTAAGCAAATAGGAAGCAATGCTGTGTCCTGTTATTTAGTGTATGAGTTCTTCGGTGTTTACTTGAAGGAAAACTACAAACTGGACACCAATTGAAATCAATAGGGCAGTCCACTGTTGTGTTATTTGGCTGGCCTATTTTCTGAGATCTGAAGGAAGGGTCAAAACAAATCGCAATGTGAACTGTTAAAGAAAGGTGACCACCTTGAGCTGTTCTCCAAACAATCTTGAAAAAGCACACCGTTTTCCTGTCCCCTCTCCCACTTACATCCAAAATATATCGATGATAGTAAATTCCAGATCATTGCATAAATTGATCAATTTCTGTTGGTATAGTTCTTGTATGATATGGTTGATCTATAGTGTAGTTTTCTTGTTATCTTGGTTATCCCTCCCACGGGGAGGAATTTTGCCTGGTCTTAAAGGCAGCCTCCGATAGATTTACATGTCAAGCGTGTATTGAGTGCAGCCTGCCCTCATGAGCTAGAGTAGTTTTGCTCTCTGATCTTCTTTACTCTAGAGTACACTTTTGCTGTAAAATGCTCACCCATTAACTCAGCGGGGAGGTATTGGAGGCAGGTGCTGCACACATCTACCTGGCTGTCAAGGTGCAGGAGCTATGACATCTACATAGAAAACAAGCCAACTGTACCAGGAAAATCCAATCTTCATGATTGGAAATTCTGGGAATAGAAATATCTTCATGTATAACATATGTCATATGTATCTGAATGTATATCACTTGATGTCTTTGCTTGCAAGCCACATATTTTCAATTTCTGCCCATGATATTGAATTTATACATATTCCAACCTGAACTACTAGATTATCAAACAAAAATATTGATTCTTGAAAGAATATTTATTAGGTGTAACAAACAGGAAGAGAGAGCGTTATGCATCATATTGTGGTTCAGTTTGACGGAGTCAAGTCACCCACACAAAGAATAAAAGCCTTTGTACCAGGTGTTGATTTCTGGACAGGTGATGTTCTCTTTGGCACCTATTAAGCATTTAAAAGGTTCCATTTATTGAAGCAGGTGCCCTTCAAACAGTAGCCATTGGTCAACAGACCCCCTATCCAAACATTGGTCAAGTGTCTAGCTTGTCAAACATCAATCAGTGGTCAGTACATTGTCTAAGGTCTTAGCTGGAATATCTTTTTATGAGAGTGACATTGAAACCATGACAGGTTGAAGCATATGGTTTCTTCTCATTATTGTCTGGCACTTTCCATGGTGATGCTGCAACAGCACTCCCACTGTTCTGGGAATATGAATTTTTGTATATGTAATATGATGAACAAGGTAAACGTAATAACTGGCATCTTGCATTTTATTCTTATGCTGCTAGTAAGTCAGGCAAAGGAGCAATTTGGGTCCTGGGTTTTTCATAGCATTACGTAGCATAATTAGCAAGTAGGTATGTCATGTATAATATGAGATGATACGAGACTGCAGGTGAGCTATGATGGTTTAAAGCTAGGCATCATCTGTGTAACATATCTACACATGACATTTAGCTTGTTTTATCTTGAGTTGCCATTTCCAGTAAATTGTTGACTCAGCCGACTGGTGAGTGGTATAATGTGTAGGAAATAAGTGGGCTGAGGCATGATATCAACAATCTGATCGCTTTGTAGTTTGCTGGATGATTTCATGGCATTGAAAGGTCTTGCAGATGTGGTGTGGCAATGACAATCATCAAAATAGTGATAATGGGTGTAAAATCAACTGGAAAGCTACCTAGCTAATGAGAGGAAAGAAATTGCAGTCCCCGGCCTCGCCTGGTGATACTACACTATCTTAATCTGCATCTGTGTGAAGCGCACCTCCAAGGTTCTGATTACAAATGAAGTAGCAGGGAACAGTTTGATCCTGGGTCCCAGGAGCCCGTGATGTATTTCCCAGAAATGTGAATACAGGATATGTTGTGTGAAATCTGTATTGGCAATTGAGGCATTGTACAGGGTGTTGAATTGATAAACATGGCTCCATTGTGCTTGGAGGGGTTTTATCATATAGTCAATTATGGTAACATGGGAGTGAAAGCTCATTACTGTGAACAAAGATATTAGCCACTCCAGTAAAAACCTGGTATTTACACTATATCACTTCAAGACCTGAAAATCATTATTCGTGGCACAGCTATGGAGAGCCACAGTAGATCTGTTTTAGCCTTGTATTGATTATTGGACTTGCGCGTTCAATATTTTACTTAGTTATGGATACAGCATAGTGTATTTACGCAAATGTCAGGTTGCAAACACACTTCTTCCAACCAATTATGACCATGACAGAAGAATATAAGAATTGCACAAGATCAGTAGCATGCATACATAGGCAATAATTAATTGAACCATCAGAGTCGCTGCAGATTGCAGTCATCACATGATCTGTCATGGTCCTGCTGTGCAATCTGGCTACAGAGAAGAATTTCAGATCCATTGACTTGGTATGCTATATTGAATGACTACAGGGTAAGTAGATTATTTTTATTTGAACTGAAGGCTTGATGGAGTAATTCATTGACAGACTGTGGAATATTAATCGAAATTACTTCTTTAAATGAATGGGTCAGTGGGCCTGACACAAGAGGGCTTTTACTGGGTAAATACACTAGAAGAAGTGTAGGATTGGATTAGCGCGGAAAGCTGTCAGCAGAAGTAGCAAACACTAACAAAGCATAACATTAAACAGCGAAGGCTATTATCTGATTAGTCAGAAATTGCAGTCATTGAAAAAGGTTCTGTGTGCCTTACATGGCATAAATGGATACCCTTCAAAGCAGAGTTGTGAAAATGATGAATGGCGAAGTGTAAGTGTGTGTGGAGGTGTGTCAGTGGCTTTGGAAATTAATTGAAATGAATGAGCTTTTCAGTCATCACAGATTTAAGTTACATGCAATAGATATTACATGCTACTGGAGTGGATACATATACTTATATTGTGCTTTTGACAAAGTAGGAATCATCCAAATCTGGGTAGTGTCACTTTTTAGTGGTAATGAAATCCTCTTAATAACCATTAATAGATCTGACAGCAATGTGTGTGCCTAAGTGTGTGGATGTTATTATCTGGTCAAATATTGCTTTGCAACTGTGAGCTATGTATCTTTCTAAAGGCAGACCAGGCTGATGATCCATCAGTAATTGGGAATCAATGTTATTGCAATAAGCTAAGCATATAATTGATAAATATTATTCTTGCTCTGTGATCTGGGTATGCCTTGCTGCAGATTTGATTAAGTAGAAGCCTAATGCAAAAGTGTAAACCAGGTCTTCTTGTTGCAGATTGTGTGTATGATTCACTTATTTTTAAGATGTTTATCAAGTCTAGTGCTGTGTATTGGGGCTATCTTAGCCGCATCCTGCCCGGCTTCATGAAGGACTCCAGGGAGGATGCTGTTATTCGGCTAAACTTGCAATATTTGCTGTTATACCTACTATCCAAATGTAATTTGTTGCCCTGTGCTGTATTTTCTGCTGCTTGATTAACATTTAGCTCTGTTATCTGGGGATGAATTAGGAAAGCTTTTCTGGAATTTAGATTGTTCTGGCTTGGCTATGCAGACCATAATGGTGTAACACATAAAACGGAGAAGGCACAGAAATTTATAGGATACTACTCTAGCCCCACCCAAGAAAACAAGGCACCATCTGATCTCATATGGAGACATAGTCTTTGAAAAATATAATATGAGGGGGTGGAAGGCAAGGTTTATGAGCCAGAGGTGCTTCTGACAAAATCTTTTTCTAAGGTTCAGTAAAGGTAAGAATGACAACATTCGCCCATCTCTTTTATTTGCAGAAGTATATATTTGAGAAGATACTAGTACACACAAATCATCCTGCTGAGTAAAATTGTAAATTGGTGAAACAATCTAACAAGTCTCTCAAGGTTTTGTACATGGCTTTCATGTCATAGTAACAATAGATAAAAAGTTCCTCAGTTCTAGCTGACTGACACAGGTGCTAGTAAGGTACCAGGTTACCTGGTAAGGTATCTAGGGAAGGGTTATCAGTGTTGCTGTCTGGATTAAGTGTTGTGTAATTGTACACCTGTGTTAAAAATACAAGACATGTATTATAAAGCATCTCAGGTGTGGAAGCAGTTTTATGATAGAGTGACACCTTTGGAGTTTAACCACAGAAGCGACATGATAAATTAGGATACATTTGAGTGTAAACTGGTGTACAGAAGTTTAGGGTATGTCATTTTTACCCATGCTCAATCTGACATGGGTTCAGGTCATGCCCCTGTGTAAGAAACAGTATTTCCATAATCAGCTGACCTGGATTCCAGGCCAGGACTTCTTATGCAACAGCATGTAACGGAAAGAAATCGTTTCGAATTTTGAAGCCTTCTTTCAGGGGCGGCTCAGGGTTAAAAAAGGCTAACCAGCTGTATAGTTGGATTGGTAAGTTAAGCGGTGAACTTTGAGTCTTTCCATTGCTTAAAAGTTTTCCAGTTCCAAGCAAGTGTTGAGGTACGACCTTTGGATTGCTTCTGCAGCTAACTACACTTAAAATCTTCTATCTTGGCGGTTATAGTTTCTTAGGCAGTTGGACTATCAGCAGATAAACATACTTTTAGTTCTTGGTTGGAGGAAAATTCCAGGTCATGCGTTATATTTCGACTCTTTTCATCTGATATGGATTTTGGTGCAGGATGTATCATATTGATATTTTTGCGCATTAATGGATTACTTTCTCTAATATTAAATATTCACCGACAGGATGTTAAATATGTATTCATCTGTGCTATATTTTACACTTGCATTTTTGAGGTGAGCTTCTACACAAGAATTTGATTGATTTGCCTTTGATCCTCATTTGCCATGTCAGAATTTAGAGTGTTTACCAACAATGTGATAAATGTGTGAAGCAATCAGTTGTAATGGGGATTGTATTGTGTTGTTTTACCTTGTGTCATATGTGCATTATACACCTAAAAGCAACTTATCCTTCGCCTGATGGGATACCACTGAATGAGACATTTCAGATGAAGGAAGCTTAAGATTTCTCCATGAATCACACCATGGAAAAGTTTGTTGCATTAATTTGTCATTTTTATCTCAAGTAATATGTATCAGGTTTACTTAAGACAGGTGGTGTTACTTCCTAGTGTGGTCAGCTGTCCTGCAATTGCATTCAGTCAGAATGTTTTTGAGTGATTCACTTTACATGCTTACTGAAACTTTTCTCATAATTGCTCGTTGCAGTATCGGCACAAAAAGGAGAAAGAAAGGAGCAGAGACAGGAAGAAGAGTAAAATGAGATCCAAGTCGTTGCCAAGCCCAAGAACTAGCGACACCTATAACTCGGCATCTGAAGCTCGTCATCCCCAGATTCACAGGTCCTTATCCATGCTACAAGATCACGACGTCCCTGATTTGACTGAGTCTTTGACAAAGACTCTTGTGAATGGTTCAGCAGGACGTGAGGAGTCTGGCAGCCTACAGGAGATCAATGAGGAGGATTTGGCAGCCATCTTACCTGATGTCAATAACACAGCCAATGGTGGGGACCATTGCCAAGTGCCATTCCCCGTGGACTTAGCTGAAAGCGGGAGTGAGGAAGAAGTGGACGACGATGCACTTAGGGAACAGATTGTGAATGAACTTGCTCGTGCTGTAGAAAATGGCTCCCTGCCTATATCAGAGGTGGAATATACAAGTTATGGCAGTGAAACATGTTATCAGCCTGACAGCAGGCATGGTGGGGAGAAACATGAGAAAACCAGTGAGACCAGGGATAATTCAGTGGAGGAAACACAGAAAACTGTTTTGGCTGTTTCACACTCAGAAAACAAAGCAAAAACAAGAGATGATGAAAGTGATAAAGACATAAGTTGTAAGGCTTCACAGGATTCCTTAGTACATAACAGTAGACATTTTACGGACGCTTTGGTCCCAAATCTCAATGAAGAGCAGCATTCACAACAACAGTCACATGTGCAGCAGAAGCCAGAGGAACCAGTGAAAAGAAAGCGAGGAAGGCCCCCAAAAGCGAAACCAATACCAGAGCCACCAAGGGTTGCTGAAGTTGCAGTACCAAGATACGAGCCTCCAGAACCTATACATTTACGCATTGACACGGAGTACAATGTGTCCCCAGACAGTGGGATTCAGTCAATTGCTGGTTCTCCAGAGGGACAGGAGTCTCCTAGTCCTACTGCTGCTGCAGAGCCAGTATCTGCACAAACAGACCAGCACAGGGCCAGGGCATCAGATGAACCTCCTCCTGGGGGTGGGGACTCTGAACATCTCCCCAAACAACAGGAATCAGTTACTGTTGAGAATACCCTGGAACGTAATGTTGAGGACAGTTTTGTGAAAAATGAGACTAAAGGCAATTGTGATATATCGACTGGACATATAAATACAGAAAACTCCACTTCAGTAGGCCATGGATTAATAAGCAGCACAAATAAACCCCCCTTTGAACAACCAAAAGTCAAAAGACCTAAAGGCAGGCCACCAAGTAAACATAAGTTGCTACAGAGGACAGTAACAGCAGAAACATTGTCATCTATTACCAGTGATAGTGCTGAATGCACCAAAATTAGTAACCGTAAAACTAAGAATAAGAGGATTGGAGCAAGGAAAGTCAAAAACATTTCTGATTCTTCCATCCAAAATTTGTCAGAGATTCCACTAAAACGTAGGCCAGGCAGGCCAAAAGGTTCTGGTAAAAAGAAAAAGACACTAAGTTTAGTGCACACTCTTTCAGGTTATCAGAAACCATTTAAACAGAACTCTCAGACTGTGCCTGGAAAAAGGAAACCAGGGAGGCCTCGCAAGCACCCCTTGCCTCAGACGGTGGGGGATCAAGAATCTATTTCTAAGGGTACTTTGGATGAGCTCCCGGTGTTAGAAAGGGCTCCGTGTTTAGAACATTCTTTGAGTTCCCGGCGTAGACTCAGAAAATCGTTACATGATGATGATGAGCTGCCAGTTCTTGTCAAAGCTCCAGGGATGGAGTGTCAGAAAAGGCGACGCAAATCAGAAGACTTTGACACTCTCATCAAAAGTGTTAATGCATCTATCAGTACCCAATTTAAAGATGTTGCCAGTAGTGAAGACGAAGGGGAAAATGTTAATTCCAGGCTTGATTCAGTTGATTTAGATCCAGTCAAGGTGACATCACAACTCAAAGACTCACGGAACCCAAAACCCAAAATTAAAAAGCCAAAGCTTCATGTGATGATGCGCAAGCATAAAAAAAGGGGCCGTAAAAAGAAAGCACAAATTTTATCAAAACAGAGGCAGCAAGAAAGTGACGAAGTTGTTGACTTTTTCAAGGATTTACCATCAACTAGCACTGATGTGTTCTTCCAAGAAGGTGAAAATGTCAGTGAAAGGGATGACGTTCGACCACGCAGGCGTGACACAATGACATCCATGTCTTCTGACATTTCTGACAATGTTTCACATATTTTGCAGTCAAGCAAATTAAATTTTTTATCCTGCTCCCAGCATAAACCCCCTTCTGATGGCAAAAAGAGAAAAAAGAAGAAACTCATTTACTTTAAATCAAAACATAAAAACATAGTGGACCCTGTTTTCTTGGCAGACTTGGATGATATCACAGAGGATTTGGAAAATCTTGCTTTAAGTGCCAAGTATCCATTGACTGTCAGCTGCCTGCCAGGACAGACATTGCTTCCTAGCATATTCCAAATAAACAAAAACATGTGTAGGAGGAAAAATACAAATCTCCCTTTAGAGATCAAAGAAAAGAAAGCCAAACTGAAGATAGCAAAAGAGAGGAAAATGCTGATGTCCTTGGAACAGATGCATGCACTCCAGAAACTGAAGAAAAAACTTCCAGAACATCACATTACTAGCTCTAGTCCTCCTCCTCTGCTGGACCACAAACAGAACTGTCTCCCCCTCAAGAAACGGCACAAAGTATTGTCTATGTTACCGTCCACGTCAGTTCCCAATTCCCTATCCCCACAGTTTCCAGTGGCCTCACTCCCACCACAGGGAGTCCCAGTGAAGAGGAGAGTAGGGAGACCAAGGAAATACCCAAGACCAGAAGATCTCCAGCTTCAGTTGGTGCAGCAGTGGCATCAAGTACAAGGTAAGATATATTAATATTCATGTGCAATGTTAACTTATGTTAACATAGCAGTGATTTCAATGTTCAGATAAGTCACAGCAAGTACAGCAGCTGTATTATCTGTATAGTGACCCCCTTTCCAAGTGTATGTTGGAAGAGGAACTGTGGGCCTTTTTCGTTTTCACATTCATCCAGATCTTTTGGGTTTTTAGGGCAGGTTTATATAAATTTGGTGATAATTTGTTTTGCCCACTCATATTTGTAAATTTTATTTTCTAAATTCCTGTGGAAGTGCTGGGGAGTGTGAAAGGTTCAAAGTGCACAGGCATTAAGAAGGCAGAAAAGAAAACAAATACTCTATTACCTCATCTAAATCAATTTTGGTACTTAAAGTAAGCCCTACCTGTAAATACTTGAAAAATAAATTTGTGCCATTTTACATTTAAATGATGCCTTTCATATGCGTATTTACACCATGCGCATAGTATTAAGAGTTTGATAAGAAATTAGGTTTGCAATACTTGAGATGATGAACAAGGTGTTTAGGTGGGGTCGACCCACTCAGTAGAATTAAAGGAGATGCACTTGCTGGTAACTAGCCAAAGTATTCCTCACCGCACCTTGAGGCATTTAAACACATTCCTGGAGAGTCACACAGCTTAGAAAACTTGAACTTTCTGTTGGAAGAAAAATGATTCATTTATAACATGGAACCCCCACTATATTAAATGTGCATGTACAAAAGGCTTGTACCCTTTCCAGTTTACACAAACATGCATAAAATGTATGAATAACAAAAACACTGCTGTAGAGGGTCTAAAACGAAGTTTATTTTGGCTGTTAAAGGTTGGTTTTGTAAACAAGGACTGCTGTGCATTGATCCAATCCAAAACTCTTCCCACTGAAAACTAACACAGTCATAATGCCACAGTAGCTGTTGATTTGACATCATTGACCGAAACAAAAGTCGGTATCATAAGTTGCCCTGTTCTGTCATAATTGAAACATTCATTGGCCCTTATAGGTTTCCATGCTGTGAAAAGGTCTTGTTTAAAATGTGATGCACCATTCAACATGAGTAGATTTTGGTAAAAATAAAGATTTCTTACAATGCTGTTAAGTGATGACCCATAAACTGTTTTTAAATTGGTTGATTAAATTTAATATCACCTAAGTTTTTTTCCCCCACTTTTTTTTTCCTTTCATAAAGATTTGAGCCAAGAATCTGTGTAATAGAAAAGTTCCATTTCATGCCTTTCAATAGAAAATTGGCATTCTCAGCCTAAATGTAGGAAGAAATAAATGTCAGCAAAAAAGTGATCTATGTTGAACCTTCCATGTGTTGGCATGTCTCTATCAGGGAATGAATGTTGACCAGCTATAAAACGTTAAATCCCAAAATGTTTCTGCATTCCAAACCACATGTTATTCTGGCCCAGTGAAAATTATGACTTTATTCAAGGCAGACTATTTGTAAAAGCAACCTTCAAAGATTTGAAGGCTAAAACAGATGTGGTAAGAAAATTTTAACTGTTTCTGTCTGTCAGAGAAATATCCCATACAATGTGCAAGTCAGGGATCCTTGGTATACCGTTAGTAACCCAACCACTGGCTGCGTGAGTAAGTGACAGAATGTGAGCCGCAGAGTTCACATTTCATAGGCCTCCTTGGGTCACAGAAACCTACCTTAAAAACATTTTATGAAGTTTTTTTTAAAACAGCTCTCAGGTCAACAGTACAAAGCTTAATAGGATAAGGACTGAGTAAGCAATCTATTCAAGCATTGAATTGGATTTTTTTAAAACCTTTAACCAGACAAAATGTTTTTTGAAAAGAATAAAAAAGGTTTTAATTAAACATTGGGCTTAGTTGGGAATAACAGCACTTATATTAGAAACTGCTTGCTCATGTTACTCTATGCTTGTGCATTAAAATGTGTTAGTGAAGCTTGTGCTCAGTAACTGGCCGAAGATCTAAAACTTGAAAGCTTTGTCCAGTTTTCAGGGCAAGTTTGTGGTCCTTTTTTATTTCGGCCAGTTGGAGAATGTATTCATAAGATAATTGTGGCAGGATGTTTTTGCTTAGATAGCTGCAGATAAGAGGAAATAATGTTCATTGATTTTTTTTTCACTTACACCTTATCATTGCATGTAAAAGTTAACCTGGTTCAGTTGATTACATTTCTATAGCAACATCTTTCAAATTAAGATAATTACTCATTTTATATTAATTGGTTTGGACTCGTTAAACTTAAAAAGGTAAAATAAAGCAATGTCAAGGGAACATATGCTTAAAAGTGCATTTTGTCTGTAAGAGAGAAATTTCTCATATATTGTTGCATACTTGTGTGAAAAAAATTTTTTTTAATTTAATTTATTAGCTGCTGTGCAATATATCATTTATAAAATTGATGAGAGACATATGTTTAAACTTGTTGGTTTTGAGTAAGCTTACACGCTATAAGCAAGTCTTCATGTTGTATTCCAGTTCAAAATAACACCCAACAACACACCAGACCATCTGTGACATCAGTGCAGAGTACCTCTACTCCATCTTCATCGCACAAGGTGCAAAAAAAGCGTGGAAGACCAAGAAAATCCCCACAGGAGAAATTAGAGACAGTTAGGAGAAGGAAGTTGGCCGAAATGAAAAAGAAACTTCAGATGGGCAAATCTCTTGATAATGTGCCATTAGCACTTCTGGCAAAGGCCAAAAACTTTCAGTTGAATTATAGAAAAAAGGAGAAAACAAGGACTGTAACAGCATCTAAAGCATCTGTCAGAGATGAAATAGCCAGTGTTTCTGCAGACAGAAATATTGCCATTGTACCAAAAAGAAGGGGCAGACCCCCAAAAAAGAAACCACTGGGAAATAAATCACAAAACCTAAACATTCCAAGGCAACCTCACAACTTCCAGCATTCACCCAATCGACAAATCAGTAAGCCCTATGATTGTGTTACTACTGGGATTTCCACTGAATCACAAGACTTTGAGGGAACATTACCCAGAGCTCGCTCACAGAGTCTCAACATTGACATGATTGGTAAAGGAAGACAGAGAAATTGTAGTTCTTCAAGGACAAGAAAATCGAGTTTGTCCTCTCCAGTCAGAGAGTCTGACAGTTTGAAGCCATTAACTTTAATTGGAGAAAAAAGAAAAGGCAGGAAAAACCGGGAAAGTTCACTTAGCCCAAACTGTGATTCAGCATGGAAGAGACCAGTTAGAACTCGTAGTGTGTCCATGTCTTCGTCATCAGAGAGGAGACGGATTAATAGTGGAAGCTCAGATGCTGTGGCATCCTGCGATGGGCACAGATCACCCAGCATGTCAAGATCAGGTGAACCACTTCAAGGAAATAGGTCACGGAGTGTATCTGGGTCGAGAAAGACAATTTGTAACCAACAAGAGATACCAAAATATACATCTGATACCAGGCTGTCAAGGTGGGACTTACCTTGGAAAAGACAGCAGAGTCCTGATACTGGCTCTAGATCTGGAGAGTCCAGCACTACATCTCCACTGAGAAAGGATGATCATGTTGACCATGATGACTTTCCTGACGGCAAAGGCGAACCCACATCTCCCAGAGCCAAAATGAGAAAACTATCAAAGGATGAGGGATCACTTAGTCCCAAAGGCATGTCTTCATCGGAAACAAAATTGATAAAAACCCGCAGCATCTCAGGATCCAGGTTATCCAGTGCTCATGTTCCAGTCTGGCATAAATATACTTCTGGTGTCAGTTCACCCCCAAGACAAGGACATCATAGAACTCAGGAAACCATTACCTTGGAAGGAGAAGGCCCAAATAGTTCACCGTCAAAAAACTTGGAAAAGATTAAAAACAAAGCTTCTGCTATGTCTGTGATAGAATCTTACCATAGAGACCAGAATGACCAAGTTGCTATTCATTCACCAAGTTTATCTGTAAGTAAAACAGAATCAAACCACAAGCATCAAAAGAACAGGACTCATTCACCACAAAACCATTCAAAGATGACGCTAATGGAGTTTCAGTCTGAATTTGAGCAGTTTATCAAGACCCCAGCACACGGAATTACTTCAATGTACAAAGAGGGGAATTCCCTGTCACAGAAGATCTTTCATGAGGAGGGAGGTTCTTTGGATTTAAATAATATCTCCAAGTCTTTGAGTTATGATAATACAGGAGACAACAGATTGATATCCCAAGAGCCTGTTGTGATATTAGAACATCTTCAAGGAAATAACTACAGAAAACAGCCACGAGAGCACAAACCTGGCAACTATAGAACACCACAGAGTGACTCCGACTCGGACAATGAAGTATTGACTATACTGAGAGAGAAGGTCAAATCAAATAAGAAAAGCAAGGATCTTGAACAAGCCAAGGCGATTAAAAATAGGCAGTCGGACATCAAACCTCTTCCAACCAGCATGAAAAGAAAAAGCACTCAAGATGGGAGACTGGAACATAAAAAGTTCAAGAAAAGCAAGGTTGCAGACCCAATCAGGTATTTTTGATTATGTATATTAAAGACTTTAGTTAATATAAATCTTGTTGTGTACCCCTTATTTTAAAATATTAAGAACATCATGTTATGACTTTTATTTCTATGCAAAAATGTGAACATTATTAGATGTTTTAGTGATACTTCAGTGGTACTGCTTGTTTGGTTTGAAGTGCCAGTAGTAGCATATAGCCACATATTTTTATGCAAAGAATGATAAAAAGATAATATTGAGAATTCTGTTAACAAACTTTGTTATCAGGGTTAGGAATGGATAAAATGTAGAAAAACTGAAAAATTGCAAATTATAATGAAGTAAAACTTGTGTTGGTAAAACAGTTATTGTGTATTTTCCTCAAAACTGTTCATCTGAAATTGTTTCAGCTCTCCCCGTGAAGGCTGCAGTGATCCCCAGAGAGTACTGAAACCACCCAAAAAGAAGTACCAGAAAGCAGGCTTGTTCTCCAACTATTACAAGACAGATGAGTAAGTTATATTTATCTCAAACTCCAAAAAGAGAAGAAAACCAGCTGAAAATCCGAAGGCGGACTCAATGGGAGTCCATGTAAGCTTGGGAATAGGAAAGAGGGTTAGGGGGATAATGTAACAGATTGGTCATCTTTAGTGTCTTGAATTCCTTAGGGATTTTTCGTTATCCAGACCAGTTTCAGTAAACTTAAATGATGCATTAAGGAAGTGTCATTAGAACCAGCACGTTTACTGAAATTGTTCTGGTTCTCCGATAGGACTTGAATTCCGTCTTCTCAGATTAACCCTTCTGTTATTTTAGGCCCACTCATTCTTTAGCTAACTTCTTTACACTTATGATTTTACTTACAGACTTTAGCTCAACAGCTGTGAAGATAAAGCATAATACTACCATTTGATGATCTAAGTAATTATATTTTCCATTCTTTAGCATGAATGTTCTGAGCACCTTTGTAACATTGCACTTTCACCTCCCCCTCTTCTCTAGTGAACACTGGGGGACTGCTAGGCTTTAACATATAGATGCTCTGGACAGTAGTGCTGGAAATTATTCTGTTGTAAAAAATACAAGGGACTGTGAGCAAAGAAGAACATGTGCATAAATTTCAGGGCTGCTGTCTCTATGAAAATCGAGGCTCACACTAGCATAAATGATTGTTTTTGGAAACAGTATAAATAAATTTTTGTTGGTAGATTTTTATTTTGGACTGTCCTTGATTTGGTTACAGGTGAATAAAAAATATGCTAGGGTGATTCCAAAATATAAACAATTGTATTATACGTGTAAATCTATTATAGTTCTTTAGGTCATTTGTTTTATCATTCCAGGCCAAGAAAACCACAAGAAATAAAGAAAGACAAACTATATTACAATCCCTCGGAACACGAGCATGGCCTGATGCCCCCTCCTATCCATATCGGCAAACACCTGCGCCAGAAGAAACAGGAGTTCAAGCTGTCTTATGATCTGTGGTGGTTATATAAGCACAAAATGGTAAAGACTCAAGCTGGCCCAGCTGAGAAGCTAGTGCACAGTGGACCTGCGTCCAAGTCTTCTGTGTTGTCTCCTTCGTTATCAACTCACCATAAACTTTCTCGCTGTAATACTACTGATTCAAAGAAACATAAAAAGAAGGTGGGTGAGGATATATCATATCACGTTGAGAAGCTCCTGCATTCCAGAGAATTATAATCTGTTTTTTTGGGTATTGGATTTAGTGTGGTTAGGGAGTTGGTTGCTCTTGTTGGTTTGAATTACAGCATCCCCTCTGTTATTTATTGTCAGTTTTCACATAACTTTTTTTCCTTTCTTTTTCCTCATCTGGTATCTTGTACATGTGCCGTCTTCTTTACTTTACCTGGTTGTTACTTATTCTCCTTCATATGTCTGTATTAATCCTGTAGTTTTTAGTTTAATTCCTTGTCAATGTGGGAGCTTCTCAACTGATATGTCCCTCCACAGCAGTAATATTTATTGCTAGTTGAAAGTGGAAACGGAGAAATATTTGCATTCAATTGTTGTTGATGTCAGTTTCCAGAAAAAAAAATGTTTCAAAATTATCAAAGTTTTTGTCTTGCATGCTTATGAAGATGATGTATGTAGCAAGATATTTTTATATGGTATGTAAAGATTTAATTGGATTCTGCATGGGTTCTACACTTAGCTTTATACTGTAAGTAGATTTTCTGTAAAGTTGACTACACTGTGGATTTACAACTTGTAACATGTTTTGCCTCTTATTCTAGTTAAGAAAAGGTACAAGTAGCCCAAAATACAAGAAGATAAGGCATAGTAAGTGATTTATATTTACATTCCTTTACATTTAGTCCAAATTAATGTTATGATGCAGGGTGACATGCAAGTGTTAATCAATGCAAAAACCTATATATGTTTTTCAATATGCTTAAGCTGTGGTAACGATGTATTTTTCATGAACAAGTTTGTTTGAAGAGTGATTGTGCTGGTAAGCTGACAAATTATTTACATAAACATGTCGAAAATTACACAGCTTGTGAAGTGGTAGAAATATATGGCAAATATTGTTCAATGCTTCTCTTGAAAAGGTAATTTGCTGTGGCTTATTTGATTAAAAAATGTATAGCATTTGGCCTTTTTTTCTTTTCTTTTTTTTTCAAATAGTTTTTGTGTATATTCCAACCGTTAGTGTACAGGACTTTTTTCCATAACATTAAAGTCAAGAGGTTGACTGTACATGTGCCAGTTGTATAAGAAATATTATAAGAAAAAATCTCCAACAAGTATTTATTTTTCTATGATTACTCTTCAGATGTGTATGTGGATGCTAAACCCATGTGTGACTATGAACCCCATCCCTGTAACTGTGAGAGGCCTGCAGACAGGCGCGGCTGCGGGGAGGAATGCCTCAATAGAATGGTGTACACCGAGTGTGCGCCAGGTTCCTGCCCGTGTGCCGACTTCTGTCAGAACCAGAGGATTCAGAGGCGAGAGTGGCTGGACTGCCTGGAGAAGTACCAGACTGGGGACAGGGGGTATGGAGTGAGGACCAAGGCCCATATTAAAACAGGTAAAGATGGACTGCTACAGTTGTGAGGTTGTGAATCTCATCTGTGCCATTTAGAAAAATGCTTTTTTTATTAGATCAGATCAGACGCGTCATAGCTCATAAACTATTAATGATTTTCTAGTGACGAATGTTGATATAGTCTCACCTGTCCTATCATTAAGCAATTTGGCTATATGAATGCAAATGAAATGTTTTTGTGATATACCAGATAGTTATCACCATCCCCTTTTAACTTCTTTGTTACTGTAGGCAGTTTCATATTGGAGTATGTTGGCGAAGTTGTGAGCGAGCACGAGTTCAGACGCCGTATGATGGAGACCTACAGTCATGACTTCCACCATTATTGCCTGAACCTGGACAGTGGGACGGTCATTGATGGCTACCGGATGGGCAACATTGGCAGATTTGTCAACCATTCCTGCCAGCCGAACTGTGAGATGCAGAAGTGGAATGTGAATGGAGTGTACAGGATTGGGCTGTTTGCATTGAAGGATATTCCAGCAGATACTGAGCTCACTTATGACTACAACTTCCATGCTTTTAATATGGATTCACAGGTAAATGTTGCTTAGTTGTTGTTGTTAAGGCAAAAATAAGGGTTCTCTTCTTGTTGAAATTGTTGTATAGTAATTGTGGTGCTAATTTGGAAATAGATAAAGTGACTGTTTATTTTTTGTGGGGAATTCATAATGATTTTGTTTATTTGTTGTGAGGTTGAGAGGAGACATATAAATAAAGAGGAACTGTTGGTGTTTTCAGCAAATCTGCAAGTGTGGTAGCACCAAGTGTCGAGGCATTATGGGTGGAAAGACTCAAAGGTTGAATGGTCAGATTAGGGATAAGACCAATACATCAAGACCGGTAGGAAGACCACCTAAGGACAAAAGGAAGTCAAAATCTAAACTCAAGAAATATAAAGATAAGGTAGTTAAAGAACTTGGTCTGAAATAAGTTTTGTTGTGAAAACAATTGTTTAATCATTAAATACCTATTACAGCTTTTCTCTATTTTACTTGCTGTCAGAAATGTGTTTGGATCCAAGCTGTTATTTCTAATTAAACTATTATTAACATTTTGCCAGAAACATGACAACAACCACAAGAACACACCCATCAAGCCGATGTCCCACAGGGAGCGCACCTTTGCCCAGAAGCATCGCATTTTCTTGCTGAGAAACATTGAGAAAGTGAAGCAGTTAAGGCACAGACAAAACCATCAAGATGTGACCAGCCGCCAGAAACAAAACTACATCACCCATACTCCTTTCTCAAAAACTGGTAAGTAATCTGAATTCAGATCAGATTTATATTTCAGTTGTGTAGATTTTGTGTTAATATTACTGCATTGTTTATGTAAGATATTCACTTGTGATATGTCTGTAAAATTAATTGTTTTCTTCATTGCTGTTGTAGATGTTTTCATGACACAGTTTACTGCCTTGAACACTGCCAGATCTGTCAAAACCAGGTGAGGTTATTCTTCCAAATGTCCTTTAAAAGAAATATCAGGACGTTTCATTGAAGATAATTCATCAGCTTCCATAGTTGTTTCATTAAATTTTAAGGTGTAAGTTGGTAAGAATAGTTTTTGTCAAAGTAGGTACTGTGATCTTTTTTTAAATGTTGCTGAGAGCAGTACTGTTTGACATCATGCTGCTGATTTTAGGCGCCTGACACTTGCTGAAGAGAACAGTGAAGTGACGCGAGCTGCCAGATTGGCCCAGGTCTTCAAAGACATCTGCACTGCTGTCACTTCATGTAAAGGTGGGTAGAGTGATGCCAAAGTGCCACTTTAAGGTTAAAGGTCCTTCAGGTTGGTCACACAGTGACAGGTTGTTATGTCAAGTTAATAGACTGGTGTTAATACATATTTCATTCTTGACAGCTTGGTTCCTCCGGTCCTGTTTAATGCATAAGATATGTAAGAAATTGACATCTATGGATATTTGTAGAGAACTCGCAAATGTGAGTAATCATGCATATAATGCCTCAACCATTTCCTGCAACTGTTTGTATGCATATTTCAGATGAAGATGGCAATATACTGGCAACTCCTTTGATGTCCTTACCATCAAAGAAAAAGTAAGTCAGCCTTTTTTCCAATTAGTTGCTTTCATTTAATTTGCAACAGAGATATGACAGGTTTCCAATTATTTCATTAAATGACAAGCCTTGTATGAGGAAGAAATTGAATTCGTTATCTTGGTGATATTAGACTTAATTGTCTTTTGTTTCAATTTAAGCCTGTGGTTTTGCAGATATCCAGAGTACTACGAGATGATAGAGGATAGAATAGACCTCAGCACCATCCAGAATAACATCTTTACTGGTCGCTATGAAACAGTGGATGCCTTTGACGCCGACTTCCTCAAACTATTTCGAAATGTTGAGGTATATAATTTATTTGCTATTTCAAAGTTACAAAATAGCAGGTTTTTGGGACTTCCCTGTTGTGTAGGGTTAACCAGACATAATAGGACAGTATTAATCATGCTGATACAAGGTTAAGACTCTTAACCACAAGCTACTTTGTGGTTTTTGGGACTTGAAGATATTGCTTGTTGAAATGGTATTTGTGGTCAGATCTCTCTCAGGTTAAGTACCTTGTCTGGAGGGTCTTTGACTTTTGGTTTTGTTACTCTGCCCCTGTGCCATGCCTAGAGAAATATCAGTTGGTTTTTTATTTTAATTTATTTTATTTATTTATTAATTTTTTTTTTAGAATGTACTTTTAAGCTGTTATAAACCAGTATTGGTTTCAAAAGGAATTCTGATTTTTTTCTTCCACTCTGTGCCTAAATTAGCATTTTTTTTCAACCTGTGTGACAAAAACTAGACAAAGTTTTAAGAATGAAACTGTAGTTCAAAAGGAAGACCTCTCACCAGAGACAAGATACAATAAGCAATATGTTTATTCTATTTCAGAAATACTGTGGACGAAAGTCGGAGATGGGTCGCCTGGTATTGCGCCTGAGGAAGGTGTACTGTGCTGCCAAGGCAGATGCACAGACACTGTTTGAGGAGATTCTGGGTGAGAACATTCCACACACCACTTCTGAGACTGAGTCTACTGACATGGGGGAGGGTGAGTGGCAACATTCATATATATATATGTGTGTGTGTGTATGTGGAGGCTGTAATCAGGAGTGAATAATTATTGTTCTTATAGCATTAGGTAATGGGAGGTTAGGGACCCATTAACTATACTAGTTTTAATGATGTATGATGATGCAAGTGTCGTAATGAGGCTTGTTTTTTGTAAAAAAAAATTTTTCTGAAATCCAAATTCTTATCAAATTTTTACTTTTGTTGGCTTTGAGAAGTTTTGACAGGAAAGTTCCATACCCTATTGCTTGCTGTATATGATATTGTATCTCCATAAGTAATGTTTATATCAATTTCTTATATTGTGTTTTTATAAAGTTAGTCATGAAGTCCTGTTTTCTAGCAGGTGGCAGTGAGAAATCACCTGAGGAGGAGGAGAAAGAGGAGGATGCTCCTGAGGAGGAGGAGGAAGAGATCATTAGGTGTATATGTAACATCTACAGAGATGAGGGTTTGATGATACAGTGTGAAAAGTGCATGGTAAATTTTCAGTTATACTGTTAATGATATATTAATGAAGTTACTGCTTTTTTATGCTGCAGAAAGGAGTTTGAAACCCTAAGTAAATTTTCTTAAGATTATTACAAAATTAATGTTATGTATAACAATTGTCTATCATTCAAAAAGAAATTCTGAAGTAGCACAGGGAGGAAGGTTATGAAACAATTTTCATAAAAACTGGCATATATATTCCATTTCCAGATCTGGCAGCATTGTGATTGTGTTGGCATTGATGGGAATGTGGAGAACTATCTTTGTGAGCGCTGTGATCCCAGAGTCATCAATCCAGTGAGTGTAGAAATATTTTTGTCAAAATGTTGGTCAAAATTAAAATAAACAGTTTATTGGATTTTTTTCTTTTTATTATTAGAGAGATAACCATGACAGACAGGCATTAGGTGATAGTATTACTATAACCATAAATATAACTTAGTTTAGTTTTTTTCAGCAACACTGAATTCATAGTTTGTTCGCCAATATTTAGGTGACTGTCGGTCCACTTTCAGCTGGTAAAAAATCTTAACTTCATAATGCTAATTTTAAGGTAACCCCATATCAAACCTCTCTGAATTGTTTCAGGAAGTGTACCAGATCCCCCAGCCCCATGATGGCCTGCAAGGCTGTAAGTACTACATGACATTGATGAGAGATGACCTACAGATCAGGGTGGGGGACTGTGTGTATATCACCAGAGAGAATCCTCAGCGCCGCAGTGATGGTCTGCCGGTACGCATGTCATACAGGCTGCTCTCCAACACTAACCCGGATGATATGGAAATATTCCGCATTGAAAGGCTCTGGATCAGTGAGAAGTAAGTGTGCACTTGTATCACAGAATCTGCAGGGATTGGGGCTCTTAGGTGAAAGGAAGACTGATATTTGAATTTTTTGAACATTTCTAATAAATCTACCAAGTTGTGCTTGTTTGAATCTTTGTTGCAAGCATGTTATCTATACAAATTTTGGTTTTTGTTTTCAGGGGTGAGAAATTTGCCTATGGTCACTACTACTGCCGTCCACATGAAACATTCCATGAACCTACTCGGAAATTCTTTCAAAATGAGGTAAATTTTTACAATAAGGATGAATGTCTTGATAAAAATCCCGTATTTAGAATTTCTTTATATGCTGTCTTACTTAACCCAAGCATTTTAAATTGAATTATGAAATTGAGCATAGTTTTAAAGGGATGTAATTGTGTTGCCAGGTGTTTCGTCTCCCTCTCTATGACATCATCCCCCTGGAGTGTATAGTGGGGCAGTGCTGGGTGCTGGATCTCAATGTCTACTGTAAGGGACGCCCATTTGGCTGCAGGGAGCAGGATGTCTACATATGTGAATACAGGCTGGACAAGACTGCACACCTCTTTTACAAGATTTCCAGGACAAAGTAAGCCTTCCACATGGATGATAATCCAGACCATAATTTTTCTGAAATAATTTTCTTTTATGAGTTGTATAGGTTTGGAGAGTAAACTTTTTAAACAATTATTATGGCAGAAATATGTGAAGTAGTCTCATCATGTATTTTGCATATTAAGTCCTACTATTTGTTGAATTTGAATTTATTAAATATATATCAATCTTGTAGAGTTATCTTTATGTTGGGTAAGTAGCAATGTACATTGTAAATTGTTTTTTGTTGCAGATTTCCAGTAAACACAAAGTCATATTGTTTTAAAACATTTGAGAAGAAACTGCAGCCCAAAAGAACATTCTCAGTAAGTGAACAGATTGTTGTTGTGTACAAATAAATACCATATTATGTCTTTTGGTTGCTTGATTTGCTGTAAGACAAGTTCAGTTCTGTTCTGTTAACAAGAGTTAATTTGAATTCAATCAGAATTATTCTAGTGCTGAAACATCAAACCTACTTGCTGTTCAGAAATACTTCAAAATATCTGATATTTTCCCTGCATACTCATTGTTTTGGCTCTCTCTCCCTCTGTAGCCCCATGATGTTCCTGATGTGTACAAGAGAAGGAGCCCAGCAGAACATCACTCCTCAGACCTGAACACCAGGATGAGGCAGGAGACAGATGAACTAAACGGTAAACCTGACCTTGACCCCTGTAACACAGAGGATGAGAGTGACTCTGAGAGTGTGCCACTGGCAAAGGTGAAACAAGATGAGGTTGGTCGATAATTCCATTCACCTACTAACACACTGTTGTAAAGCTAAAATGCATTTTGTCATGAAATTTCAGAAACTCCCAATATCAGGTTTATATTTTGTGTTATACAAATTTACTGTGACTGTTTTGAAGTTGGGAATGAATGCAACTTGCGTGGTTTTGAGTTTAATTTTTTGAGCAAGATAATATCAAAAAAAAAGTTATGCAGGTCTGCTGATTTTTTTTTTTTTTTTTTTTTTTTTTTATAAACATTGACATTTTTACATCTGCTTTTTCAATCTATATTTCAATATGTATATATATGCTGTATTTCAGATAAACAAGAAGAAGACCAGGTTGAATGCATACTTGATTAAACTGTTGGGTTCTATTCCTGGTAAGCAGAAGATTGATATCACTTACTTACTGGATGAGGGTTGTGGAAAGAGAGCCAGAAAGAAGTCTCTACATGCTTTTTAAGTGTTCCACAAGATACAGAAAATATGACATGGAGGTTCTGGGATCTGCAGCAAACTTGTCAATCTGAAAGCAATCCAATGAAAATATAGAACAATATTGGCAGGTTTGGTGGATTTTATAAGCACTCCTTGTGCTTAGACTGTGGAGCTTGGAAGAAGTGTGCAGAATTTGGAGTAGTTCTGTAGACCATCTACATGGAGCAAAAACAGCAACTGAAATTTTATCCTAAGGAAAGGTGTAAAATACGGATAAAGCACTAGTGGCCAACTTTGCCTTGTGAAAATCCTCGCACACTTTCACCTCAAGAGCCACAGAACTTGGGAGTGGGTGTGTCAAGTATTTGTATTTAGCCACAATCATGAAATGGTTTTTCTTATCTAAATTATGACCATGTGATTTGAAGATTATACTGTATCAAACAACATCATTAACAGGAGAAAGGTTGAATCCTCAACAAAGGAAATCATGACCTACATTGTATGCAAAATGAAAAAAGATAGGCAGCTTAAACAGAAATACACCAACAACAGGAGCAAACTTTGTTTTTTCTGAATGCAGATGAAATAAGTATTTGGAGGGAAGTAAACTTAAAAATTTTGCATTTTAGGCAGCTACTCTCTTAATATGTGACTTGTGCTCATGCATTTACTGCAAGGTGGATATATTTTGATTTTTACCCAAACAACAATATTTCAAAACATGCTTAACTGAAGCTTGAACATAGCAGGTAATGTTAAGGCATAGAAAACTTCTTATCTTAAATATACGGAATGGCTTCTGACATGCTCTGCTGTTACAGACATTAGCAATTGGTGCTACTGATGCAGGGCTAAATTATTGTTCTACATGTATTATTATATATTGACATCTATATATATATATATATATCCAGTTTTTAACAAAATCAGCCTATTTGGAATAATTATTTGGATATCATTATTTGCCTTCATTAATGAAAGGCATCTTTTGTCAAATACAGGTACTTTTTAATCAACCCAATGGTATGAAAAATATTTTATTTTTTATCTGAAGGTCACAAATGTCAACAGGTAATGTGTTGAGAGTCCTCCGGGCATTCATGTCCATTGTATATGTATTGTTTGTGGTTAAATTGATATGGAACATATCCTGTTAATGTAATTTGTTTTCTTTTTCTTCTATGTTTAGAGTATATGATACTCTAGGTTTCAAAAATCTGTACATACATTGTAAATGTGTAGTAATCTAGCCGGTGATAATTGCCAATTTTAGGTATGTATACACTTATTCATGAAAATGGGTCAAAAGTAGATTTTAGTCATATTTATTTTTCATGAACTTATTTTTATGCCAGTGCAAGATGTATTTTATGAGCACAGTTGAATTGTGTAGAGAACAGATTGTGTAATAGATTGTGATCCTTTTAAACCAAGTCAACTGTTGCTGTGTGCTGCAGCTAAGGTGCATTTAGTCTACTATATAGTGCTTCCTGCACATGGTCTTTAGAAATGTATTCTTACCAGAATGTATTTATGTCTTAAGGATCTGTGAAACAGTAAAAAGATTATTTGTGGGTGGTATAGAAAGATTAAGTAACACTACAATCTACAGGAGATCTTTTAATTTATTGTTTGTCTTAAAAAGATTTCATCTCCCACTTAAAGCAAATCATGCCAGACAATGAGCCAGTTATGCAATAATTGAGCCGGGCAGGAATGTGACAGTGGGGAGAAGCAGCACAAATGTTGACAGTCGGAAAACACTGTCAGATATGTATATTTGTTTTTTTGAAGTGTAAATATCTTGTGAACATTTTATGAATGGATTCCTGTTACAACAGGTGTGTAATGTTGGAAAATAACATATCATTAAAGTAAATATTGTTTGAAATATTTGTTTGTTGTTTTTAAGTAAATCATACTCTGGTTTTTTATTGCATAAACAGCACATTTATCCATTTAATGGAATTGTTAAAATTCCTGAAATACTAGAGTGAGTCTAAACCGGTCATTGAATAATAACCAGAAGATTAACACCTTTTGTTTCTCAGCATTCTACTCCCCCAATTTCGATTTATTATAGCTGTGTCCCCGTTAAAACTAAAATATCAATTTTGTTTCCCCATTTTCAAATAAGATATTTAAAAATTATGAAATGGAAATGTATCTGGAATACCCACTGCTGATAACAGTTGACAATAGGATGAGACAAGTTCTTTATTGTAGTACCAAAAAGAACAAATCAATCATTTGTTTGATGAAAATAATGTGGCCGCTACTGACTGAGGGTGTACAATTAAATTCCTTTATCAGTCTTATTTGTTAATCTGGTCCTAATTCTTTGCCACGTAGCCAAGATGAACCATGTTGTGTGACTCTCTACAAGAGGAAAACATGGTGCAAAAATAGCTTGGATGAGCAATAGAGTACATACCTAAACTTAATGTTTTTAATCTAAATTATCAACATTTCCTGGGTGAAGAAAGGGGTACGTTGTTGACATGGGTAAGGTAAAATTTGAATATGCTTTTATAAAACTTATTTCAAATAGTGCCAGTGTGCGGGACTGGTTCTTCTAATCGCAGATGAAAGTTAAAACAAATGAATTCCTTGCACTTGTTGCACTTGAAGTTGCACTTGTTTTCAGTGTCAAATAAAATTTTACAAACATTCTTTATTATGTCACTAAACATTTAAAGAAATTTGGCAAGTTAGTGGAGTTATTGAGACCCCAGTGCCCACTCTTCGTCCATTTTACAGCAATTTTTTCGCTATAAAGGGCAGATCTTATACATAACGTTAACGTTAGAAGAGGGAGGGAGAAATGTTTTCTGCAGATGGCCCTCAGTCTACAAACAAGTTTTGTATGGTGGTGACACCTTTTGAGTAAGGAGTAAACTACATCTCGTAATATACCGCTTTAGATCACGTGATCAAGCTTTCAAAAGCAGCGGCATAAATTTGAACCAAGCCTACAGGTATGTGGTATCCAAATATGCATTTCTTAAACAATCATGCCAATTTTCGATAAAGTAAGCATTCACGTAGAAGAATTAAATGTCTGAACACCCCTTAACTGCTTGGCAAAGAGAGACTGATGGGTTTGGACGTTAAAAAATGGGTCCTGCTTTGGTAGGTTTCACTAGGTGGCAGTGCTTGCTCCGTTGAGACCGTGTCGTTCTCAGACACTGAAAGTGTGTCTTATAATATTTCCGCGACAGCTCAATTTATATAGATAATATAAACGGCAACTTAAAGTCGACAAGATATATTATATGTAAAAAAGATGTTTTAATATGTATACTTATTAGTTAAAAACAACTAGCATTTCCGTACTAAGTCTAAGGAAACATGTACATGTAATAATGTAGACTGAACCAAAACTTATTAGCCCACTGGCATTGTAAAAACGAGAAAACATGATCCAAGAACTTACAGCTAGGCTCTAAGTTTTACTGTGCTTGCAAGTTCTATTTTATTGGCACCAGTGGCAGTACTACTGTAATAGCAGACAAATGATCCATTGTGAGGGTGGCATTGTAATGTAATGGAAGTTATGATATTACAGAAAAACCTTTGCAGCACTGATGACGATAAGGTCAAATTTATTTATTTTCTTATTCATGCAGTTTAAGATAGAAGATGGCTCCACAGCTATCACTAAAAGAAGTGTTTACAGAATGCCAGCGTGGACTGCAAAGCCATGGAAAACTTATCAAGATGCTGAAAAATATTTATGATAAGGTTTGTGCTATCCAGTCTTTATTTCTCAGAATGGCCTTTTTTTTAAAGTGATAGCATTAATACCAAAAGAAGCAAAATTTAGCATAAGTAGTGGTGTTTTAGTTATTTATTTAAAAAAGTCTGTTGTATTTGAAACAAATTACATATTATTATTATTATACACAATTTATCTTCGTTAAAAATATGTTAATAGAGTCTTTTTTCTGTATATGAGCCATGATGCCTTGAGTCATCATTGACAAGTCAGCCATGTGATAAAAGCCCTTTGATGAAGGGTCGACAGTCATGCTTTAAATGAAGGATGTATACTAATTTGCCATCAAAACATGATGAAAAACTATAATTCATTTGATTTGTTGTTTCATTTTGTCTTTGTCTTTTTTCAGACTGATCTAGAAGAATTCTGGCTCGACTTCGTTCACCACCTCAAGTTCTCTATGGTGGTTTTTAAGAGGGAACCTGCTGTTGAAAGAACATTGGACTTTGCGGTGAAATTTGCCACGTCCCTAAATGAAGAAGAGAAAAACACAAATAAAGAAGAACAAACACAGACAGAGGAAGTTACTGATGATGAAGTCTCTGAGAACAACTTCCTGTTGAAGATGTTTGATTTCCTTCTACAGGTTGGTAAATATGTAATCGCTATTGTCTTGATATACACCAGGATGAGAAAGTATTTGATGTCAGTTTTTTTGTTTTTTTTTTTTGGGGGGGGGGGGGGGGGTTTATCCACAAACCCATGTATTAAGTAATGTGGAAGTGCAAATTTCTTTTAATGCAGAAAGATCTTTGGGGACAAAATGCTACATGAGAGATTGTCTATGTCTGGTATGAACTTGAAATCAGTTGTTAAAAAATGAATGGGAAAACTTGAATGGCTTTGACTTATTTACTCATATGCAGTCCCACAATGCACGAGATAGAGCTGTTCGCTTTCGCTGCTGTCAAATGATCAACAAGTTGCTGAACAACCTTGGTGAAGATGCCCAGATAGATGATGACCTCTATGACAAAATCTACAACAGCATGCTGCAGAGGCTGAAGGACAAGTTCCCCATAGTAAGAGTGCAGGCAGTTATGGCTGTTGCCAGACTTCAGGATCCCACAGATCAGGACTGCCCTGTTATAGATGGTGAGTAAATGTTTACCCAAATTAGAATGATTGAAGAAAGAATGCTGAAAATTGTTTATATCATCAATCTGCATTATATGACTTGCATGGTTGAGTTTAGCCATTGTGCCTCTGAAAAAAAATAGAAAATAGTTCTTAAGTATGGTTATAGTTTGCACACTAAATTTTAAGTTCAAGAGATTTACGTTTTATATTGTCTTTGAATTATATTCAAACATAATCTCTATGCTGATATAAAAGTATTGATGAATGTCTATGTTTCTTCTAGCTTACCTGTTCCTACTGAGTTCTGACCCCAACCCAGATGTGCGCAGGGCTGTGCTGCAGAACATAGCCGCCTCCACCAAGACCTTGCCGCACATCATTGAGCGCACGAGAGATGTCAAGGACACTGTCAGGAAGCTGGCGTACCAAGTTCTGGCAGAGAAGATTCACATCAGGGCCTTGACTATTGCACAGAGGGTGAAACTGCTGCAGGACGGCCTCAATGACAGAGCAGGTTGGTGTTTATGGCTACATATAATTGGATGTGAATTTCCTCTATTTGATTCCCTCATTCTATCCTGACCCTACATCTAAGTATAATAAAGATGATATTGTCAACTTTTTTCATATGCTCAAGGTCATTTAAATCCTTATCAGCATTTTTAAACAAAAATATTAACGGTATGAAGCTATATGGCAAATTGTTCAATATATATATATTCCTAAAATTATTTATTTTTGAAAGTTTAAAACCAGAAAACAGTATTCAAATCCCATTGAAAGATGAAATAAGTGGTCATTCCATCCCACTTTGTATTCCAGACATGGTGAAAGAGGCCTGCAGCAGTAAACTCCTGCAGTCCTGGCTGAGAGCCTTTGAGGGCAATGTTCTGGAACTCCTCAAGTGTCTGGATGTGGAGAACTCTCTGAAGGTGGTGGAGCAGACTCTCAGTGCCCTCTTCCAGAAAGTGCCAGCTGCTGAGCTGGTGCAGAACTTTGACCAGTTGAATGAGGAGTGAGTATAGAGATGTGCATTGAACAGGATTTTCTTTGTAAGGTCTGCCTTGAATGATGGGGTTTAGTTCGCATAGGAGAAGACCATAAGCATCAAGAGTGACCAAAAGATTAGGATTGGTGAAATTATAAGAGTTGGCCAATTTGTACAAAGTAATTATAATTATTGGCTGATATTTTAAAGAATCGTACTGGTTGTAATTAGCCATTCAACACAATAAATATGTGTGGCATCTTTTTTGTTCACCCACAGTGTACAGTTTAAACATACAAAAATGTAACTATTGTTCTGTATTCCAGGCTGGTGTTGCCTACAGAATCCCTAAGCTGTGAGAGTGTATACTACTGGCATGGTTTGTGCAAACACCTAGCAGGACTGGGGGAGAGTGGTGAGGAACAGCTGGAGATGGTGCTGCCACCTGCTGTCAAGTTTTGTGATTACATACACAAGTTAGTGTGGTATTTTATGGATACCTAGGCTGTATATGAATAGAGTTTTAGATTACTTGAGTAAGATAAAAAAAAAATAAATGGTAGTCACCATAGTTGTTCTAAAAATCTTAAAAGGACCTAGAGCTTAAAAGAAAAATACTTTATCAGACATTCTAGTTCAGTATATTTTCACAAAGGATAGGTAATATAGTAAGGGATGTTAATTATTGGCCATGATTGTAGTATGGGGGATATTACAGAGTGGGTCCATCTTTGATTTCTTCAGATTTATTGAGGACACCAAGGATGTTGATGATGAAGAAGAGCAGTTGAGAAATGAATTTATTGCCCAGCAGTTGCTCACCATGACAGGGCTACTGGATATCTCAGATGAGATGGGGAGGTAAATAACAGTGTTTTTTTTTAATGGGCATTGTGTTGATATGTTAAGAAAAGAGAAAAACACTGAGTCAGATTTCAGTAATTTATTGTAGTATGAATTATTAGTGTAAGGATTAATTTATATTTGAAAAATGGCATTATGTATTTGATGTGAAAAGTTCACTAATGTGCAATGCACTTCATGTTATAAATTGCAAAACATTAATGTAGTTGATTGTCAATCAATCTGCATATTGTCCTTTTGCATTTTGCAGGAAAAGTGTGTTCAAGCTTGTTCATGACCTGTTGGTGCTGCCCCACGTCAACTACACCTTGGTGAAACCACTGGTTACCAGGCTGAACCAGCTCCAGACCAATGAAGATACCAGGATTGCCACACTGGTGGAGATCATATCAGATATCAGGGAACCAATCACCACAAAAACTCAGGAACTAAGCAAGGAGGAGAGGAGGCAGATTGATCTCAAGGTTAGAAGATGGATGTGTTGGGAATTGATAAAATGAACTGATCCGTGTTAAAGAGCACTATCCATTGAAGTTATTTAAGTTTTCTGGTTTTCCCCAGCATGTGGAAAAGGTACAAAAAGCAAACCAAGAAATGTAAGTCAAGAAATGTTTAAATTTTTTCCAACTGTTTTTCTCAACCATTATAAACAGTACAGTCCGTCAGAAAGTGGTGTAACACATGCCATGACATCAGGCGTTTGTCTCCATGTGAACCACCTTGAGCATGAAAACTGTTTGCAAAGTCTACAATAACATTTCAGGTTGCTAGTATCCGTGTAGAGTTGAACCAACTCCGTGATCAGCTTGACCAGTGTGTCCAGCAGCAGGAGTTTGAGAAGGCAGCTGAGATCAAGAGTAAGGTCAGTGACCTCCAGACCAGCAAGGCCTCCCTCATAGACTCCATGCTGCCCACAACACAGGAGGTGCGAGAGGAGAAGGTACGTAAATTGAGATATTTCTGTTAACTTTGTTGTTGCCATTGTTGTCATCCTCCTTGTTAATTTCCATAACTATTCATTTTCCTGAAATATGACAAAATTTCCTTTGGTTGGTTATTGTTTAATACTTATGTGTTTTATACAAGTTTTTATTTGTCAACATCTAAAATCATGTCAAGAGAAATATCAAAACAACCTACACAGGACAGTATTGTCGGTGTGAAGATGCTAATGTGTTGTCTATAGGGAAATTATTTTACATGTGACATATTTTGTTTTGAAATGTTTCAGAATGATGCTGCAACTCTGCTGAAGTGTATGACCATCGCTGGTGAACTGCTGCAGGGCCTGACTATCAGAGAGCTGACCCCAGTGCTGCAGACACTCATTGAAAGTCTGGTGAGGATAGGGAATGTGTGGGGGGAAACTGAAATATGTTGATATTCCTTATTTTGTGAAAGGGGTTATCAGCTCTTAATGGCTTTGATGAAACGTATTTATGAAGGACTGCTTTAGTGGCATTTGTTGATGTTAATGATGTTAATTCTAAAAAAGAAAATGTTAAATTCGATATCATTAGATTAAGTTAAGTTGATACTTCTAGGCCCCTGGACTTTGAAAAATAAATGATGAGTGCATATTCCACATCTTGGGGGGGGGGGGATGAAAGAATACTGGACTTGCTCAGGTTTATATTTCCTATTTCAGATCCTGCCTGGCTTCCAGAATGAAGACCCAGCAGTAAGGAATGCTGCGGTGCGTGCTCTGGGTCTGTGCTGTATTATAAGCAAGGAAGCTGCTAGATCTCACCTAGTTCTATTTATACAGGTATGATTGTCAATTGAACAGATGTTTGAAATCCTTTCAAAAATGAAAAACAGATTTTCTTTCCAAGTGTGACTCATCGATTGTAAAAGTATGTTTGTATAAAAACTTTACATGACAATGGCAGTTTATCTTATAAAGTAACCAGTGTGACTTGCTGCATTTGAAGTTCAGCATCCTGTGTTTAGAAGCAGCCGTTGTTTAATCATGAGCATAACACTGAAACTAAATGATAGGATTTTTCTACTAGGTTTCCCAAGTTGATCAGGAAACGGTTAAGATTACAGCTCTCAAAGTGATATTTGACTTGCTGCACATCTTTGGTTTGGAGGCCTTTGATGTGCAAGAGAATGAAAACACAACACAGGATATTGACCAGACTAAAGACAGCAACAGTGACAGTAGAGTGACCCAGGAGAATTCTGAGGTCTCAGTTGTTGAGGGAGAGGAGAAGGAAGAGGAGGCAGATGACCAGAGCAAGAATACTAGCATTGCAGCCTCTCTTGTCACCATCTTGTTGGGTTTGCTTGACAGTGAGGTGGGCATGGCTACAATGTAGCTTTCTGTAGCCATTTGTAAATGTGTATGCTGTGTGTAAAGTTGTCTTTTATTTATTGCAGTATTTTTCAAGTAATTTAAGTGATTTTCCCCGATTACAGATATTGCAAAACAATTGATCCTACAGTCTCAGGCCAATAATAATCCTTTGGGACTAGAAAAATACTGAGGTCAAGTCAGTCCTATTGACATGGAGTGTATCTGATCAATTGAATAAATAGTACTTTATTTATAAGCAATTTTTCACCCGGGCTGACAGTGTTCTGGAGTTTGTGAAACACATTAAAATGATATATTTGACTCATTTCTGTAAATAGCTCAACGTATTTTTCAGAGCTCTGACATGAGGACAGCCACAGCTGAGGGTCTGGCCAAACTTCTGCTATCTGGACGCATGGTGTCGGCCAAACTTCTCTCCCGCCTGCTGCTGCTGTGGTTTAACCCTGTAACAGAGGATGACTCACACCTTCGACATTGCCTGGGGACCTTCTTCCCAGTGTTTGCTTTTGCTGGAAGGTAACATATTAACCCTTTGTTGGTGCATTGGCCAGAAATTCAAAGACTCCTGTTGTGTCACATTCCCTGTACTAATGAAAATACAAAAAAAAATATTGTTACAGCAGTGTAATTGTTTGTGCTCTTATTTCTTTCTTTCCTCAGTGGGACTTTTAAAAATCTTTTGATGTGATGGATACACAGTTTTTTGACACTCTGTTCTTTTGTTTCAGAACCAACCAGGAGATAGTTGAGCAGGCCTTCCTCCCTACTCTGAAGACCCTGTTCAATGCCCCAGCCTCCAGTCCCCTGGCTGATGTTAATGTGAGTAGTGTGGCTGAGCTGATGACCCAGTTAACCAGTCATAAACACCTGCTACAGGCACCGCATGGGGACACAGAGATACAGGTAATGAGATTAGAGGTAGAGATTAGAGTTTATTTTTAAAAAAATTGGCATTTTTTCCTTTTTTTATGTAACTGGGTCATGTTTTGCATTTTTTAACACCCTATTTAAAACCAAGGTATTGATATTAAATATAGTTTGTTTTGTTTTTGTTTTTTGTTTTTTGTTTTTTAACTTTGGACTGTATGTCTTATTCCTTTACTGGACCCCCTTTTTTTTATCTAGGAGAGTTCTGTCCATGATAACCTTGCAGTGACAATCAGTAACGAGGTCCTCAGTGACCCCAACTCCTTCAATGTGCGCACCTTGGTGAAGGTGTTGAACCTGCTGGAGCTGAGCCCTGGGAACACCTCCAACCTCAAAGACCTGCAGGTGCTGGCTGACAGGATGCTGGAGGTAGGAAGGCAAAGATAGTACACATAGAGTCACAATTACACTGGGATAATCCATAGCAAATATTTGTTTAAAAAGTTCTCTCTTTTTTTTCTCTCCACTTCTTTAAAGTGCTTTATTCAACCATTGTTTCAAGTTTTAATGCATAACAATTGGGGTATTCTGTTTTACATATTTTTTATATAAATTCTGAGTTTATTTTGTTGAATCATGCTGAGAATTGCGCTCTCAGCAGATCATTTTTTATTTAAAGAGGAATGAACTTTTTTTTTTTATCATATCTTACATAAGAAGTTAAACTGAGGCATAATTTACTTGATATTCTAGGAAGTAAAGGAGAAACAGTGTGTCAAAGCCTTGGAGAAATTCCAGAAGAGTGTTTCCAATCTGCTGCAAGAAGAACAACTGGCTGTCCCAGTTGCAGAGGACACAGCTGCTGTAAATGAAACCGTGAATGATACAACTAACATCACCACAACAGACGCAGAGAAACAGACAGAAGAATCTGCTGCTGCTGCTGAGAGCATCAGTCAAGTGGACAATGTTGTAACTGACCCTGTAGCAACAGAGATAGCTCAGCCATCTAAGCAGGTACACCATAAATATTATCATTTAAAATTGTTGTTAGA